GGATATTGTGAAATAAAATTGGTGTGATTTGGTGTTACAACCGTCTGCGCAACTGAAGAATTAGTGGAATCTTTAAAATATACGCTATTCCGGTCAAGTGGACGCGAGAAGTTTATTGTAGTGTTGACTACCTCACAGAAGCTTAGAGAAAAAGCCAACTCCATAAATTTCGTGTCAAACACTCCAAGAAACATTAGAATGCGTCACACCGACATTCGAATGTAAAAAAAAGAAGATTAATATAACTAAAGACTAGGCTTTATGGGAATTGTTCCCTTTGCCTTCCCTGAAAAGGGAGAATCTTAAATAATATTGACGTTTCATTATACTTAACGTAGAAATTATATACGCATACAATTTAGGTAAAGTTGAGATTTCTTATACTCAAAAAATGTATACTCATATTTAATATGAATGGAATTCATAAAATATCATTTTTTTGCTTGTAAAATTCTGCTCTAATTTATTATTATTTTATATAGACTATGATGTTAACTTAATCGAGAAAAACGGAACGCATTCGGCAGTAAAAGAATATCTACGATAGATATAATATCATTGGAATATCGAAAATCCACGAGAATAGCATTTTTAACCATCAGTAGATATTTTCAATAGATATCCCTACTTTCGATATTATCTCGAAGCCGATATAATATCTACGCCGCGAGAATTGGGGCCCTGGTGTCGATTATTGAAAATAGAATGAATCAATTCAAATTGAAAAAAAGTTAATTTTATAATGTTCTAATTTTACGAATCATTATGCATATGTTTTCCAAAGTCGCTTACTATAAAAAAGAGTTCAAAAGTTAATCTAAACAATACAAATAGAAAACTTTTTTCTATATTTTAATCCTGTATTTATTCACCATAAATATTGCTAAAAATGAATATTTCCAGCATAGCGGCTTCGGTAAAGATGATATAGGGTGAAACTAACAAAGTTTTTGCTAGTAACGGATGTGATATAAGCCGGGACAACAACCTCTGTCACTTTTTACACTCCAAACAATGACTAAACAATAAAAAATTGTGTGTGTCAGCTCCGACGCACGACCGGAGTTTAAACTCTAAAAACGATTGTCTTTGAACAGACACAAAACAAAATCAAGTCCGAAGAAGTCGGTTACAAGGAGAGATACCTCAGGAATCGTCCCATGGTTTCGAATATCATAGGTTCCATGTCACACATTTTATCATCTAACATCATCGATATTCATCATATATTTTATTATGTATTTCTGGAAACACACAATTACAAAAATATCACACACTAGTTATCATTTTGTAAATATGTATTATAATTCCACCTGTACTGAAAATCACTATTCCAGAGTGCTGGTCACTTACCGGCATTTCTCTATATTCTGTTATTTATTTGTTTTCATTAATTTTGCTCCGATTTTATCTATTTTTAGTTTATTTATTTTATTGACATTTGTGACAACTTGACAACGTGAAAGGTGCGCAGATGAGGTTGCGCACAAAAACGTAACGAGGTCATTTGTTCAGTAGATTTTACTTCTCACATTTTTCTTGTACCGGGCCCCTTATATATGCAAATCGATTCTTAATGAGTAAACTCCAAAAATATTCACCTTTACTATATTTTGACAGGCAAGCTAAAATAATATTACTGCATTTAATATAGAACATATACTTTCGGACATTTGACCGTCCCACTGTCAGATTAATATTATAAAGGCGAAAGTTTGTGAGTATGTATGTTAATTACTTCTTCAGGTCTAAACGGCGGGAGCGATTTTATTAAAATTTGTTATAGAGTTAGCTGACACTCAGGATTAATACATAGGCTACGATTTACTGCGGGAAAATATCCCTAATAAACCGTGGGTACAGCTAGAGTCTGCGCGGAAAGATAATGGGATTTAGATTGGAGAGCGCTGTAGTGCTTTTCTACCGTATTTGTAAGGTTTTACCCCTTTTAGACATGATTAAATACAAAAAACCGCAAGAAATCACAACAACAAACAAATCCGTATCAATACAAAACTTTGACGTTTAACAGATTGCTGGGTTTGATTGCCAAAAAAAAATCTTAACGGAACATTAGTTCCGTTTTTCGTTATAAGTTTTGACGATCTGTAACAAAAATATATGTTATGGTTGAGCAATAATTTTAAAAAACACACGAAAGGATGGTTAATTAGTCGGGTTCAAAACTGCGTAGGTAATTAATAATAAGTTTTAGCTTAATGTAATATTTATTTTAGCTAGAGATCATCAAAATTTCAAATGCTAGGTGGGCCGATAGATGTGTCCGGAAGTGTATTTTTTATACATATCTGTCTAAGATGCAGCAAATTAGCTTTCCCACCTAATGTTAAGCGTAAAGAGACTTCGATTGCTTAGATTTATCAGAATATATATGTCACTTTACGGAGCCGAGACGTGGACACTGACGGTACGGCTGGTCCACAAGTTCAAAGTCGCTCAGCGCGCTATGGAAAGGGCTATGCCCGGCGTTTCTCTGAAGGATCGCATCAGAAATGAGGTAATCCGACAGAGAACCAGAGTTATCGACATGGCCCACCGGATTAGTAAGTGGCAGTGGGCTGGCCATATTTGCCGAAGAACCGATAACCGTTGGGGTAGACGAGTTCTGGAGTGGAGACCGCGTCTAGGCAAAAGTGTAGGACGTCCTCAGGCACGGTGGAGTGACGATTTGCGCAAGGTGGCTGGCAGGAGCTGGATGCGAGTAGCCCAAAATCGATCTGAGTGGCGTGCAATTGGAGAGGCCTATGTCCAGCAGTGGACTAGGATAGGCTGTTGATTATATGTCACTTTAGCCCACTGTAGGAAGGCCAAAGGGGAAGATCTTCCTCCAAGCTGGGTGATGGTAGCTCGGGGGCCGCGGCCCGACTGATATTGGTCGGGCATCGTATATATGGAGTGTTTGACTCCGAATTTCTCTTGCGCGATGTAGGCTTCCATACGTTGTGCACGCAGCGCGCGCCGGTAACGCAATCTCTTAAGGAGGCAAGTGACTATTTCCTCTATGTTCATTATATGTGACCGCGGCGGATGTGTTTTTTTTGAGTGTGTATGCTGTTGGTCGCAGATGACCTTTACAGCGTCACCGGGTTTGGGGACGGCGAGATCCTAAGGGGACCTCAAGCCGAGAATTGGCGAGTGCCTCTGGAGGTATTCCAGTCGGATGGCGTCTTCCTACGGGGGGAGTCTCCTCTCCGTCTGGAGCCTCCAGACCACTCGAACCGGAGGGGTGCCCGGCTGATATTTGTCGGGCATCGTATATATGGAGTATTTGACTCCGAATTTCTCGAGGTAACGCCATCACTTAAGGAGGCGAGTGACTATTTCCTCTATGTTCATTATATGTGGCCGCGGCCCGACGGATATTGGTCGGGCATCGTATATAATGGAGTGTTTGACTCCGAATTTCTCTTGCGCGATGTAGGCTTCCATACGTTGTGAACGTAGCGCGTGCCGGTAACGCCATCTCTTAAGGAGGCGAGTGACTATTTCCTCTATGTTCATTATATGTGGGGCATTTAGATGCCGCCACCATATTTCTTGTCGGCTGAATGCAATCCCATTTACTTATGAAGTCCTGGAACTTTAGTCACCGACAGAAACACAACAGTACATTAGTACTGTTGAAAAGACCATACAATAAAAATTACACTTCTGTGTGGTCTTTTGTAAAGTGGAAGTTAATTCTTTAGAAGGCTCAAATAAGAGCGGAAATCCGTAATGCCCCACTTCTCAGTAAAAGGGAATCTTTCTTTCTCTACTAAGAGAGAAAGATTAAAATAACTATTGTAGCACGATGGCGCAAGTGGATAGCGCGTTTGGCTGTGATCGTTAAAGTTAAGCAACTTTCGCAGTGGTCGCTCATTGTGATGGGTGACCAAAAATTACTATCTCGAGCTCCTTCGTGCTTTGGAAGGCACGTTAAGCCATTGGTCCCTGCTGCATCTGCAGTCGTCAGCACCCCCCAATCAGCACTGGGCCCCCGTGGTGGGTCATAGCCCAATCCCCCTAATCAAATGGACAGGGGACAATAATAGGCTGATGATGATGATAATGATTGTTTTCTTCGAAAGTACTCATCAGGTACTCGCTAAAAACCGATTCAAATACGCATCTCGGAGTTTTCCATCCATAGGGAAGGCCTGTGCCCCAGCAGTGGGGACATTAACAGGCTGATGATGAACTATTGTATCTTTGATCCAGTCTCAATTTTTGCGATAGTCTTTTTAAGATACTTGTGATACCAAAACTATCAATCGCGCCGTTCGTTGCCTTACCGACCAAATCCCTTACCTCGTGGAGTACTGTAACCTCATTTACTGACAGAAGCATAACAACACCAAGTCTTAGTCTTTGTAGAACGGCGGGCTGTTTCCGCAACTCGAAAACTAGTGCCTATTTTGCGTGGGGATTGGCATCAGTCCTGCCATCCCAGCTCCTCCAGAAAGCTCAGCAGTCCCCGAATCTTACTGCAGGCCTCTACTATTGTCTTCGGGCTTCCCATTAGAGAAGTCCTTTGTCTTGCAACGCCCCTGCACGATAGCAGCACATGGGCGTTCTTCTCCTCGTCTTCCAGGTAGGCTCTGCACAGAGGGCTGTCAGAAATACCTATATTACAAAGGTGTTTGTTGAAGTAGCCGTGACCCGTGAGTGTACCCACGATTTGTTTTAGGGCTTGTCTAGGAAGTCTGATTAACTTACGTGTTAGCTGCAGGTTTACCTTGGGAACGGCTTCCCTAGCTTGCCTGCAGTCCGTGAGTTTTGTCCAGTATTCGTCGTGTTGTCGTTGACTGCGCTCCCTTATATAACACCACCAAAAGGTAAAGTTATTTCACTGTAGTCTTCTATAAGGTGGATGTTACCTCCCCGAATGGGCGCTCCAATTCGTGAGGAATATTCGCTATTCCTATCTCTCTTACGCCAGACCGAACGCTCATCAATGTTCTCTCGAAGTTTCCGTACTTATCAGAATCGGTGTTCAGGTGGTAGACATGAGATGGGGAGTCCGTGATGAAGCCACAGATGATCACATGACCACTGAGCTCTGCATGAGGGAGATCAAGAACTGCCAGCGTCTATCCATGGGACCTAACTTTGTAGTGTTCTTGGGACAGAAGTACGGTTATAGGTGAGTGGAAGTTTTAATTATTAATTTAAAAAGGATGGCAATTAATCATTATTTCACACCTGATTGTAAGAAGCTAACATAGCCTAAAGTAGCTTGCGATACAAAAAATATCACTAGGGATTAACCGATACCATTTAGGTATCAATATTGTATCGGTCATAAAGTATCGATGTCTAATCGGTATCGCATGAAAAGTATCGATACTTACTTGTATCGATAAATTTTGACGAACGATATTACAATTACAAATTCAATCACAGTTTTAATTTTGGATTATTATTAATAATGATAATTTAATTGGAAAAATTAGTTCTAAATAATAGCCGGTTTGAATGATAAAATTATTCTTTACTATTTTATTGCAATAAGTAATGTGTATGCTATAAAAGAAAACATGATTAAAACGCATAAGTAATTTGAATTTTTTACTGAAGTTAATGTAACTCTTTTAAATTAAATTGTTATTTTGAGTCTGAGTAATCTTTTTTTATTCAAAGCTTTCAAAAACCATGCTAGTGGTTATTATGCGAATAGTTCACAAAAATATTGTAAAAAGGGCCTGAATATCAAATTATTGTACTTTAATTGGCGTTTTTTACCGAAAGTCATAACATTAGTGAAATAAATAACATACTTCGTCGTAGGCAAACATAGCTCAAATGGTCTATGCAAGCTTCCATTTAAGCCTTTGCACCCATCTTCTAATCATCTTGTATAATGCTTCAGTGAAAAATATTCATTCCTTATTTCAAAATATATTATTTTCTACGACCACACCCTACGTCCGCCTAGTCTCTCTTTATTTCCAGACGAAAATTCTTCAAAACGCTATTCGTTTTAATCGTGATAGATTCAAAAACAGAAACACAGAAAGATAGAGTTACTTTTTCATTTAAAATAATAATGTGATCGTTGTCTAATCTACCCAGGCCTATTCCAACATACGTGCTGTCATCAGAACTCCAGATGCTAAGGGACGAGCTGGCAGCTGGAGGGGTGGATGTGATCCTTTTGGACACGTGGTACAAGAAGGACTCGAACGCCGTACCCCCGGTGTCGGTGCTGCAGCCGATCTCATCGATTTTGATCAATTTCAACAATAAGGTAACCTAATTTTTAAAAAGTAAAAAGAGACAAAAAAACGCATCCATGGTTGAATTACCTTGCAGAAAAACTGAAAATTTAATTATCGTTTTATGTACATTGGAAGATATTTTTAACATAATTCCTAATCTTTGAGTCGAATGAAACAATCAAAAGGTTATTAAAAGTGGATTGGCTGTGGGTCTTCTATTAGCTGGAGAATAATTATAACTTACAGACGCTTATTATACCAGAATATAACCATTCTGATCCCCACTGTTGACAATTGCCATACCAGGAATACCAGGATGTACCGAAATAACAACTCTGATTACCCTGTGAACCTAGAGCCTTACTCATTGACCGAAACTCAACACAACCAAAAGATAGTTTTATTTCAATGTGATCTTCTGTTATTTTATGTTAAAGAAAGATTTTTTAATAGTAAACTTCTGAATGGAGCATTTTACGTCCAACTAAGCAATCAAATCCAAAACTTTTTAAAACTTTGTCAGCCTTATTCCAAAACGTCAACTAAAGTTAGTCATGATTTAAGCCTCATGTTGCTCAATATTATTCTGATTCACCAGCGAGTGCCGAAGCTCCAAGCTGAAGACCAGGCAGTCTGGTGGGATACTCTCAACAAGATGCAGAAGTTGTTTCGTAAAGCTTCGTTACAGCTATTCACTGCTGGCAAGATTGACAAGGATACGATGCACAACTACTTCATGTCTGGTAAAATTATACTCAATATTATTATTTTTTTAATGGTGAGAATTAAGTAGTAAGAAGGGTAGCAGAATAAATATACTACTATGGCTAACTAGTTTGTAAACTGCTACAAGGCTGCTACCAAAGCCTATAGAGGTGTACTTATTTCGTGGCTATTGTGGAGGTTATTGTTTAAACTTTCATGGTCACTATCACTACCAATCCCGCTAATAACTATAATTATTTCGTGGACTCCAGGCTTCTTTTCAGTGCTTCTTAAACTTTTTAACATAAAATAAATATTATTGTTCGGACAGTATTATTGTTCAGACCCGAAAATACAGAAAGGAGGTAGGTACAACAGCACGCATCTTAAAATTTCTGTCGGGTGATAATTCAGTTTCGGTGATATTCGTCCACTGCAACACGACTACAATGAATAGGCTAGTTGACACTTTTTGTCATTTTCAATAACGAAAAATCAGCAAGTATTTATGTTCTGTTTTATTCCTTTCTGTTCTGCACTTACTCTTTGTTTTAACTTCGCGTTGCACGTTTCCGTCGTACGTCTTTGCTCGATGAAAACTTGAATACAAATCTACCCATTGATTTTGTAAAATAAGTTGGACTTCAATTGGTCGATGTTGGCTTCGTGAATTCGTTCTCAATGTTGTGTTACAAAATTAATGCTCGCGTATTTTTAAGTACCTATCAAAAAGTAAGCTACCAAATAGCTTCCTACGGCATGTATACAGAACCACCCCGAATCAGTATATCTTTAAAGAACATTATTCATAATATTTGTAGTGCGAATGCACGCTATCCCTAATAACTTTAGACCTATAACACTGTACACCTAATATTTCGATCCCGAATGCACGCTATCCCTAATTACTTTAGACCTATAACACTGTACACCTAATATTTCGATCCCGAATGCACGCTATCCCTAATTACTTTAGAATTGGTATTATTTTTCTGGCGCTTCGCCGGCCGCTGCTACGCTACGGCACGCTCGCTTCGCTAACCTACCTAACCTAACCTAGTGTGAAGTATCACCACTTGGACCCTCGAAGTACAGTTTAGCTCGCCTCAAAGTTATTAGGGATAGCGTGCATTCGGGATCGAAATATTATGTATACAGTGTTATAGGTCTAAAGTTATTAGGGATAGCGTGCATTCGGGCTACAAATATTGGGAATATAGTGAATATCTCTAAAGAACATTATTATTCGGGGTTTTAATTATTTATGGTATTAAGTGTAAAAGTGATACAGAACGTCCCACGGCATTGCCACACGGAGGGAAAGTATATTGAAATATTGAAGGTAGGATATTTTACTGAAAGAAGATATCATTTTATTTTTAATAATAAGTGAAAATGCATTCACAGTTTTTTTTAATATCGCCTGTCACAAACGGGAATCAAACTCGTGAAATGTGAAAAAAATACGCACATGAGGTATTTAATATAATATAAACCGACGAAACGGTAAATTATAAGTATTATTTTTTTCTTAATAACAAAGCATTTTAAATGAAAGGAAGATCATGAATTTTGAATATTATTTAAAATAATTGAACATAAACTACAGCAAAAACGAAACGGCACATTTTTTTTATATTTTATGTATCAAATGTTAAAATGTGTTTCATTCTATAGTATACTAATTGTCACCCTTTTAATAAAAAATTGGTAAAATATCCTATCTTCAATATTTAATATACTTTCCCTCCGTGTGACAATGCCGTGAAACGGCCTGTATATTACGAATAAATCTATTTTTATTCTACATATCTTTAAAGATTTTATCGAATATTTGATCTCTATAAAGATCTATATTAATCACAATTACCCGTTATTCGAAAAAAAATACATTTGTTATCTTAGTTTTTATCTGTAACAGAATGGAAGATTATAGTAATATATGTTACTAACGGGATTGTTACCATGTAGAATCAATACACACATCAGTACAATCCCGTTAAGAACATATCTAATATGTAAAATTCTCGTGTCGCGGTGTTTGTGGTTAAACTCCTCCGAAACGGCTTTTCCGATTCTCATGAAATTTTGTGTGCATATTGGGTAGGTCTGAGAATCGGACAACATCTATTTTTCATCCCTTTAAATGTTAAGGGTAATCCACCCCTAAATTATTTTATCAATACTATATATATATATATTTTATTTTTTTATGATACCCTAAATTTTCACCCTTCTACCACCAACCCCTATTTTTTTATGGCGGTACGAAGTTCGCTGGGACAGCTAGTGTTACTATAATATTAGTGACCATGAAAGTTTAAACAATACAAAATGAAAGATATCCATTAATGTAAAAAGTAAAAAGCATCATAATTTGAAAACAACTCAAGTAACTACTCCATTATATGAAATTCTGCTTACAGTAACGGAACGCGAAGTGATAAATGGCATATTGAACGTGAAGAACACAAAGAACCACTGCTTGGCGTACGTGCGGTACATAAACAATATCAACTTGCAAAATCTGAAGAAGGCCAGTAACTTCGTGGACATTTTGAATAGAAGTTTAGACTCGGAGGCGTCGAAACTGTTAGCGGACTTAAGGGACGTGAGACTGCCAGATAAGATCGAAACAACCAACATACAGAAGTGAGTGAAACCGACTAATAGGGGTGATGACGGGGTATAGTAAACGAAATTCTATTTAGTCCGTCAGTTAGATTATCAAAAAATAATGGACACGTGTTTTTTCTTTGGGCAATCAGCCAAAAAATGACAAAGTTATAGCGCTTCAAAGTTTGGGAGTAGGGGCTCGTGACGTCACTTTTGAGTGAAAGTTGTACCTACTTGTTTAATTGTAAAACGTGACGTCATGCGAATTTTCAAATCAGTATATCTCTGCAATGTTTTTTTGATAATCTACCTGATAAACGAAGAAAAAAACATTAGTCATCATCCCTATTGCATTGGAAATTCTAAAAGTAATAACTTTTGTCAAGTTTTATGTTCCAAATACCGAAAATTTAAATAATCTATATTAAGTACTCTTGAAATTTGTGTATCGTAAATTTCGTCGTGTTGTGTCCTACTCATGTCCTACTAATCCTAACCTATAGTGAGTTTGGATATTAGGCTAGGGGCATATGTAAGGTTTCCTGATTTGATTTCTTGATTAGGAATTCCCATTCAGAGACCTGAATGCACGTCAACGTCAACGAGGCGCACACTATTCATATTTTTCAGAAAGAGAATAAACCTAACTCTCGTTGCAGAAACTACCTTATTAATAAACCGCTTAAGGGCGTGTCGTGCCACGCGCAGTGTAGGGTGAGAAATCCTCATGTATACCCTACAGCCGGCTGCAGGGTTATGTCAGACTCTTACTGACTAAAAAAACACCCGTTGGGACTGCCTCTGGCCGAAACCTTAAAGGCCTTCCGCCTTTAAGGTTTCATCGGATGCGTTCGTCCCCTGAGAAAGGGACGATACAGCGCTGCCTAGTTATAAACTAACACATATGCGCTTCTTTGACAAGCGGCTCCCTATTGGAGCAAATTTGGGGGGCTCAACTCAAAAAAAATTAGCACTTTAAAGTTCACCTCGCACACACCGCGGCACGTGACACTTTTTGGTGCGTGCAACTGCGTCAATCAAACTTGATTATTTGGTTCTGACCACGATTTCCTAATAAATGTTTGATAGTTATCTTCGGGGCGTCATTATCTTGAGTATAATACTGATGACGCGAAAAACAATAATTACTCAGGATTATGATGGATCGTTTTAATGGCGCGGCTGTGACGTTATACGCCTACTTGTGCTGTCACGAATTATGCCTTTTTGTCGGTATTGATATTGATATTGTGGGTTACATATAGTCTGACTTTAAGGGAAAAATTAATTAGTTTCAACAAAATACTTACTAAACAATTAACACGGAATGCTTAATCACTTGTGTCTATTGACCCCTTCGGCCGTCTACGAAACCGTAGTTTCGTAACTGGTTCCGATGAAGGAAATATTTTTCTTTCTATCGATAACTAAAAAGTTAAGAAAAATAAATTAAAACCAAAAAACTTTTTTTAAAACAAGTCATTATTTAAATGCGCTAAAAGGAAGAAAATAAAATTTTCGTTTAAAACTTTTAGTATGAATATAACGTTATTATACAATTTTTAATAAAATAATTAAAATAAAAGCTTGTCGCGAGATTAAGTGTCGCCGCACGCCACAGCCACAAACTCCGCCACGAGAAGCAAGAAGCGGCTACTAAAGTGGCTGAAGCGCGCGACAGCGGCCGACTAAGTTAAGGGAGCGAGGGGTGGGGAATCGCGCCAGTGACGTGTAGCGGCGTTTTGTATCGGCGCATTAAGTGGCCGGTGCGGGCCACAAGAAGCGAGCAACGACGATTTGTAGCGTGTGGCGGCCACCGGCGAATCGTGTGTGGCGAATCCATATAAAATGTATTAAAACTACAAGAAATATGCCGGTGGCGGCGTTTTGTGGTTGTGATCGGTGCTCCGTGTGCGGCGACACTTACCTAACTATATAAACAAAATTTGATCGGCTTGATTTTTTTTTATAGTATAACTACCAGTACCTACATAAATCATTTGATACCCATATTGTAGGAGTGCAAAATTTCAGCTCAATCAAATGAAGACATCTGCTTCAAAATTGAGTTGCAAGATTCCACCCGAACAAACGTACATACATGCATACAAACTTACCTACATACATTGCAAGTTAAATAAAAGCTTTTAAAAAAGAAACTATGTGAAAGAGACTAGTGGCCCGCCCTCGATTCGCTTCGGGGTAGAATTGATCAAAATCCTTTCTTAGCGGATGCCTACGTCATGACATCTACCTGCATGCCAAATTTCAGCCCGATCCGTCCAATGGTTTGGGCTGTGCGTTGATAGATCACTATGTCAGTCAGTCAGTCACCTTTGAGTTTTATATATAAATATATGAAAGCCGATGAATTTATTCATCTTCACAGATATACAGTGGAATGGATTGGAAGGGACGGACTGGACCCTGAGACTCACGGCGAATATTTGAACCATTTCATCGCCCATTTCTACAAGGGCATCATCAAACTAGTCGACAGGTATGGCAAAAGTCTTATATTTTATATACTGACAAATTATGTGTCTATTAAGAAATTATTATTAATTATTATGAAATTGTGTGTATTATGTGTGTTATCTTAATTATTGTCCTTCTTTGCACACAAAATCTTGAAGACAACCCAGGGGGTCAATAGGGTATTTGACAGTATTAAAAATAAAGCAACCGATTGTTAGCATCTGTGTTTAGAATGAATATTGGCAGGGGTTTTTACTATTTTTACAAAAAAAAATATTCATGATTTTACTAAACACCCACGAAAAAGATAATAGTTTTCTTAACTATTGTCACGTGACCCAAAACGCTTGCGATTGGCGGAGCCTAAAATGACGTCACACGCAAGTAAACTTTCGGTTAAACTGACATTACATTGTATCTATAATTTTTATTATTTTAAAGCATGTAACTGCTTGATGTTTAAATCTAAAGAAAATATAACTAGAAAAAATTCCACGCGGACTCGTGCGGGTTCGAGTCCCGTCTGCTGCCTGGCCCGCGTGGATTTTTTTCTAGTTATATTTTCTTTAGATTTAAACATCAAGCAGTTACATGCTTTAAAAATAATAAAAATTATAACTATAATTGCTATTTCTTCTTTCAAATGTTTAATACTTGTAAAAGTATTCATTTGACATTGTGGGTTTACCTATAGTGCGAAGAGATGGCGCTGCCTTGCAGCTTAAGAATAGCTAGAAAGAATTTCGACGCGGTCCGTGAGGGCCGCGGTAGCATAATTGGTCAGTGCATTCGCCCGGATTGCGAAGGGTGCGGGTTCGAGTCCCGTCTGCTGCCTGGTCCGCGTGGAATTTTTTCTAGTTATATTTTCTTTAGATTTAAACATCAAGCAGTTACATGCTTTAAAAATAATAAAAATTATAACTATAATTGCTATTTCTTCTTTCAAATGTTTAATACTTGTAAAAGTATTCATTTGACATTGTGGGTTTACCTATAGTGCGAAGAGATGGCGCTGCCTTGCAGCTTAAGAATAGCTAGAAAGAATTTCGACGCGGTCCGTGAGGGCCGCGGTAGCATAATTGGTCAGTGCATTCGCCCGGATTGCGAAGGGTGCGGGTTCGAGTCCCGTCTGCTGCCTGGTCCGCGTGGAATTTTTTCTAGTTATATTTTCTTTAGATTTAAACATCAAGCAGTTACATGCTTTAAAAATAATAAAAATTATAACTATAATTGCTATTTCTTCTTTCAAATGTTTAATACTTGTAAAAGTATTCATTTGACATTGTGGGTTTACCTATAGTGCGAAGAGATGGCGCTGCCTTGCAGCTTAAGAATAGCTAGAAAGAATTTCGACGCGGTCCGTGAGGGCCGCGGTAGCATAATTGGTCAGTGCATTCGCCCGGATTGCGAAGGGTGCGGGTTCGAGTCCCGTCTGCTGCCTGGTCCGCGTGGAATTTTTTCTAGTTATATTTTCTTTAGATTTAAACATCAAGCAGTTACATGCTTTAAAAATAATAAAAATTATAACTATAATTGCTATTTCTTCTTTCAAATGTTTAATACTTGTAAAAGTATTCATTTGACATTGTGGGTTTACCTATAGTGCGAAGAGATGGCGCTGCCTTGCAGCTTAAGAATAGCTAGATAGAATTTCGACGCGGTCCGTGAGGGCCGCGGTAGCATAATTGGTCAGTGCATTCGCCCGGATTGCGAAGGGTGCGGGTTCGAGTCCCGTCTGCTGCCTGGTCCGCGTGGAATTTTTTCTAGTTATATTTTCTTTAGATTTAAACATCAAGCAGTCACATGCTTTAAAACTAATAAAAATTATAACTATAATTGCTATTTCTTCTTTCAAATGTTTAATACTTGTAAAAGTATTCATTTGACATTGTGGGTTTACCTATAGTGCGAAGTGATGGCGCTGCCTTGCAGCTTAAGAATAGCTAGAAAGAATTTCGACGCGGTCCGTGAGGGCCGCGGTAGCATAATTGGTCAGTGCATTCGCCCGGATTGCGAAGGGTGCGGGTTCGAGTCCCGTCTGCTGCCTGGTCCGCGTGGAATTTTTTCTAGTTATATTTTCTTTAGATTTATTACATTGTATCGTTTGACGTTTTAATAATAGTCGTGTGACGTCACACACTAGTAAGACGCCATATTGTCCAGAAAAACGTTTTCGCGGCAACTTGAAAGTAGAGTTTTTGATTTGGTTATTTTTTACTGAAATACGCAATAGAATGATGAATATCCACTTTTTACGGACTCCATAAACATTAGTCAATAACGTGAGATCGTTTTCTAAAACTTGTCAAATACCCTATTCCTTAACGGGATTACTATGGCTATTACTTACTATTTCATTTTATTATTTCTGATCCCCGAAGGTGTTTCTTACCTTACGCTTATTTTCTTTCATATTGTTATTACCAATTCAAAGAAAAAAAACGAGTGCGAGGCAATACAAAACCTTCAGCGGTCAGAAATATAAAAAATGAATTCGTAAGCGATAGCGATAGCCATAGAAATCTCGTTAGTTGTATAAAATGGAAGCTCGTTCTTTTGAAAATGGTGATATCAGATGCAACAGAACGACCACTTATGCTCCATTTAAAAAGGAAGTGGCAAGGGGATAAAAGTACAGCTCGAAGCGTGAAACAAGGGTATTATACAATAAGGAAGGCATGTACATAAAGCCAGCATGTTTCTTTGTCAGGTATCACATCAAGTATTTCGAGAAGCGCATAGAAATGAGCAATTGTCACAAGATATGTCAATATAGGAACTTATTATATCACCCTCCTTGCCACGCATATATTTAAAAGCCTACAATATGTTAATATGTTTAAATAATAAATTACCCGACATTATAAAATCAGAAACTGGAACAATGTTTAAAAGAAAGTTGACAAAATGGTTACAAAAAAAATGTTATTATAATATTAAGGAATATATGACAGATGACAAAAGCTGACTTCAATATTTGCATACCTGCCTGCAGGTAGAATACATGTACTTACTTCTATAAAATGTACCAACCACTGTATGTATGCACTGTATTTTGGCAAATAAATTATATTATTATTATTATTATATATCTCAGGAAAAAATATTAAAATCTCATCTCGCTAACTAGAATCAGTACTGGGGAGGCTAACGCCATCTATTAAAGACTTACTGTAATAAAACTTGTTTTGCTTGCTAAAACCCGAGGAACAGAGAACTATCGTGTAAAGGTTTGTCAAGGAATAATCCTTGACAAGATAGTTCCTCTTTTTACAGTAACGACAAAAAAGGATATCTTATCTTATATATAAAATTCTCGTGTCACAATGTTAGTAACCATACTCCTCCGAAAAGGCTTGACTGATTTTTATGAAATTTTATATGCATATTCAGCAGGTCTGAGAATCAGCTACTATCTATTTTTTAAATCCCTAAGTGAAATGAGTTGTCACCCCTATCATTTTATATTTATTTTTTGGAAATTTTGTTTTTTATTACATTATAATGTGGCATTAAAAATAATATATATTTTAATCATATTATAATGTTTTGGACAACATATAAAAAAAAATATTCATACCCACCAAAGTTTTAAACTAAAGTTCAGGATCCTATACAAACCTTTGCCCTTCAGAGCAATGCGCAAAGAAGACAGCAGCGCTCAAGGTGTGATAGTGACAGAGATCCTGCAGCATCTCCATGCGTGCAACAACTCCGTGAAGGTGTTCCACGGCAGATCAGACGACTTGCTGTACATTGAGACTTACATGAAGAACAGTTCGGAAAAACCCCTAGTTTTGTATGGAGAAGGTAATTTTGAGAGATAAATGTGGAATTATCAATTTCACCGAAATCCAGGACTTGGACGAACAGATTTGAGTGCTTTCCATGTCACAGAGTAACGATAAGGTTACTTTGTTGTACGGAATTTAAAAATGCATCCTTTTATCGGCCATTGACGACCTCCGTGGTCGAGTGGTTTGTACGCCGGGTTTCATGGTGTCGCCGACTCGAGAGATCCCGGGTTCGAATCCCGGTGGGGGCAGATGTTTGTGTGATGAATACGAGCATTTGTACTCCAGTCATGGATGTTTAATGTGTATTTTTATATAAATATACTTATATATGTACAGTATATGTATTCTATCCGTTACCCTAGCATCCCATTACACATGCCTTACAGTGCTTACTTTGGGGCTAGGCTAATTGGTGTGAGTGTTGGAAATATTTATTATTTATTTATTATTGCCAAATTCCCTTAACTTCCACGATCATTGATAGAATGCGCAAACCACTGCGTTATCAAGCTCCTCGAGGTCACACAACTGAACACAGAAAATGGTTAGAAGGTAGATCATAGACCGTTTATACGGCAACCGATGTCGCCGGCTCGCCCCTACTACCTTATAGATAACATCCAATTAAACAACGCGACATCAAACAATCGCACCAATCAGCACTCACATCCGAGAGTAACGACGCAATCAGAACTAAGTTTCGATCAAGTTATGAGCATTTGCTCACACATAACTGTGGCGCGCCTGCTCTGCCCACAAGGCCCTGCTAACCTCTTTGTGTGTTCTGTGGGTCACACAATATTTTAAAGTGTCGCCGCACATGGGCCACACGCCACAGCCACAAACGCCGCCACGAGAAGCTAGAAGCGGCTACTAAAGTGGCTGAAGCGCGGGACAGCGGCTGACTAAGGCAAGGGAGAGAGGGGTGGGGAATCACGCGAGTGACGTGTGGCGGGGTTTTGTATCGGCGCATTAAGTGGCCGGTGTGGGCCACAAGAAGCGAGCAATGACGATTTGTAGCGTGTGGCGGCCACCGGCGTACCGTGTGTGGCGAGTCCATATAAAATGTATGAAAACTACAAGAAATATGCCGGTGGCGGCGTTTTGTGGTTGTGGTCGGTGGCCCGTGTGTGGCGACACTAAGTCTTTCTAATTACTTCATCACATCTGTGATGAAAAGAAAAGTAGTGATCCACTTGTGTTTAAATCATCACTAACATCTAGAATTATAAGCATCCTTACTCAGTTCGCTCATTGTATGCCTAAACATGCGTATCTTGGATGTAATTGATTATTTAAACCCCTTTTTAAGATAGTTTTTAAGAAAAATATGACCATAAAGTCTTGAGCAATAGCAGTTATTAAGAATAAACATGAAACTCCTCGTAAGCTTCGTATGACAACCTAGGGGGACCTAGGGGTCTTATGTATACGTCTAATCAGACCCGTCTTTCCCAGTGGACACTTGAGGTAAGTGTCCAAGGCCCCGCGATCGATAGCCCCCCCCCCCCCCCCCCCCTCAGATCAAATACAAAGTCCCTAGTTCCTGTTAAATCACCAAACGGAAGTCATACCCCCATTATCCTAATATGCCCAGGGTCTCTAATAGGTCAAAGACGGCACTGAGTCTAATGTGCAGTCGATGGAGTTGTTCTCATGCATTCAGTTACCGCTACGCTCGCCAAGCGTTGTCGACTTTAAAGTTTGGATTTCACTGTGGTCAGTTGGTTCCTGGGTCACCAAACAATTGACCCATAGGTTATTGAGGGCCTGATGACCGCTGTGTATAACCAAAGAGTAATCTTTAAACCGAGACCCAATTACTTATTTTATCAAAACCATTTTATAAAATGCCTAATATTTTTTAAAACGCTGTGTGTCTGTCTGTTACCTCTTGACGCTTTAACCACTAAACTGATTTAGGTGGAATTTTTGTGTAAAAGTCCCAGGAAAGGACATTAGATAGTGTTCATTGCAGAAATCATGCTTTAAGTCTTTGAAAATAGGAGTGTAAGTTTGCATGGGTACGCGGACTTAGACGCAGACTCATCATCATCATCGTCATCATCAGCCTATTAATGTCCCCACTGCTGGGGCACAGGCCTTCCCTATAAATGGAATAGGGAGATTGGGCCATGACCCACCACGCGGGCCCAGTGCGGAATGGTGGTTGTTAACGACCGGGACCAACGGCTTAACGTGCCTTCCGAAGTACGGAGGAACTCGAGATAGTAATTTTTGATCACCCATCCAATGACCGACCACTGCGAAAGTTGCTTAATTTCAACGATCGCAGCCGAATGCGCTAACCACTTGAACCATCGAGCTCCTCCAGACGACGCACGCATACGCAGACTAGTCAAATATAATAAATACATGTTAACAAGACAAAGGACAATGGGCAAAACGCACCCAGCTCCGCCAATAATGTAATTAGTATGAATCGATAGATCTATGAAAAACTAGCCTTTTTTATTATGGCACCAAAAAAAAATAACCTGGGGGTCAAAAGATATACACCTGGGTATGTTCTATTTTAGGGGTTAAGGTTTCCGCACATAGTCCTTATAGACGACCTTTGTGTGTAAGTCATGGGGACCGGTTACACACGGGCATATTTCCTTAGCTCCTTATAGAGAAGCTCGATGGCGCAGGTGGTTAGCGCGTTCGGTTGCGATCGTTGAAGTTAAGCAACTTCCGCAGTGGTCGGTCATTGGATGGGTGACCAAAAACATCTATCTCGAGTTCCTCCGTGCTTCGGAAGGCACGTTAAGCCATTGGTCCCGGCTGCATCTGCAATCGTTAGCACCCGCCAATCCGCACTGGGCCCGCGTGGTGGGTCATGGCCCAATCTCCCTATTTCATCAATAGGGAAGGCCTGTGCCCCAGCAGTGGGGACATTAATAGGCTGATGATGATGATATTTAAATAGCTAAAGAAATTCATTCAATATCAATAGTACTTTCGTTTTATAATATTAGCAATAATAAGTGAGTGAATCATATCTTACTGTACAACCAGATACAAAATACTAAACAACAAAGCCTACCGACTATCCTGCTTGCTTGCTGCTTGCACTTACTAAGACTCCTCAAAACGTCTAACAGGGTATGGGGGTTGAAGGATGTGATATTGCAGTTGCCGTTGCAACTAGTCTACTCGTATGCAGTCCTATTTCTTACATTTTGTGCGCTCCCTGTTATTTCATTGATATTTAACTAACACGCTTTAGAAATAGGAACACGATTATCATCGCGTACGTCATTATAATCGTACGAGCTAATAAAAAATATATGGATCAATTTAAATGCTCGTACTCAGCACACAAACATCTGCCCCCACCAAGATTCGAACCCGGGACCTCTCGAGCCAGCGACACCATGAAACCCGGCGTACAAACCACTCGACTCGGATATATTAATTGACGACCTCCGTGGTCGTCAATTAATATATCCGTTCTATATACTCGTCCTTGTATCTTTAAATATTTTGTTCGTTATAGTTACTTTTACCTATGGAATTGTACCTATTTAACTTAAAATAACTAAAGACTCCCGGGATGGAATTTGATGCGCTTTGGCACAAATGATCATGACCATGATACCTTTCAAACAAATGTAGTTTAAGCCGTGGCGGACGTGGGTGCAGTGTCCATGCAATTTTGCCCATTGTCCTTTCCACTTAAAACACCTCCCCCATTAGGTGGTTGCGGTAAGACCAGCCTGCTAGCGAAGAGTGCTGCTTTATCCTTAGAAGAATGGTTCGCAGACGCGCGACCCACAAACATAGTACGCTTCTTGGGCACCACGCCCGATTCCAGCGCACTCACGCCGGTGCTCATCTCTATATGCCAGCAGGTATATAATTTGAGTAGCTGGCGAACAAAACGGTATAATAGGGTATTTAGGGCTAGCATCTGTGCTTAGAATGAATATTCGCATGGGTTTTTACTATTTTTACAAAAAAAATATTCATAATTGTACTAAAAACCCACGAAAAAGATAATAGTTTTCTTATCTATTGTCACGTGACCCAAAACGCTTGGGATTGGCTGAGCCTAAAATGACGTCACACGCAAGTAAACTTCCGGTTAAAGTGACATTGCATTGTATAGTTTGACGTTTTAATAACAGTCGTGTGACGTCACACACTAGTAAGACGCCATATTGTCCAGAGAAACGTTTTCGCGGCAACTAGTAAATGGAGTTTTTGACATGGTTATTTTTACTGAAATACACAACAGAATGATGAATATCCACGTTTTACGGACTCCATAAACATAAGACAATAACGTGAGATCGTTTTCTAAAACTTGTCAAATACCCAATTAATAAAATAAAATTTATAATCACACCTATGACGTGGCTTTTAACACTGTTTTTATTCAAAGTAAGTTGATATATTATTTAGATTCAACGGCGCAAACCTCCGGACTATAAAAATAAAGTATTTTGACCAGATGCATAATTATACCGTTTTGTCCGCCAGCTGATGATTTGAGAGTGATATTTAAGACATTTTTTTTTATATTTATTATAGGGGGCATACGAGCAGACGGCTCACCTGATGGTAAGTGATCACCGTCGCCCATAGTCACCTGCAACACCTGGAGTATCACAAATACGATGCCGGCCTTTAAGGAAGGGCTATGCTCTTAAATTGAAGGTTTTCGGGTTGTATTGGTCCGGAAACACCGCCGACGACAATACATTCCACAGTTCTGACAAACGTCGTAAAAAATATCTATTACCTTGTAACAGATTTTTTTTATGGATAATTCATGGATTCTTTGTGGATAACTAACTTAATGGTTATACGTTCGACCTTAATTCCTACTGCTATTTCCTCTATATGCAAAAGCAAGTTTTAGTGCCACCTAATGTTAAGTGGTCACAGTTGCCCATGGAAATCAGCTATGACAAGGACACAGCCATGTCGCTGCCTTTCGTGGAACACTGTTTTTAGGTCTCGTTTGAAGAGGACTACGATAAATCACTGAGGGAACACCTTGGAGGGTAGCTCATCCTACAACTATATTGTCCGTGGAAAAGGAGAAACTTTGGCTGGCTGTGAAGTTAGCAGCGAGCGCAATAATGCGCAGGTTTCAGATCATTGACATCTAGTTGGGGAGAGGGGAGAAGGGGTCGTGGTAGACAACGGCGCGAGCGATAGCTTTGATATCTTAAGCTTCTATAGGCTATACAATACAAATACAGTATAATACACATTGCGCCTATCAAGAGCCGTTTTCTTTGCGAGGTTTATTGGGATTGGTCTATCTAGGCGTGTAGCCGCTTACTATCAGGCGGGCTTTATGCTCCTTTGCCACAATTTTGACACGCGCGCTTATATCACTCAAAATTTCGCTTACTGCCCCGTGACTTGCGCTAACTTCACAGCCGCCATTAAGTTTGAATCGCACCATGTCAACCTTCTTCATAATAATCTCCTATTTGAAGCCGTGGTTCACGGATTTCTTGCAATGACCTGGATCAAAAATCATGGTAACATTGCAGATTACTGGTAGACCTCCTACCACAATAAATGTTCTTAGAGGCGACCTTAACTCCTCCTGCAATTTTTTAGTAAGCTTTAATAGATTATAGATGCACTAAAATGAATAAATGTGTATTCCTCTTTTATAGATATCATACAACTTCGCTCTTCCTTTTGAAAGCATACCAGACGATTTGGTCCCCCTCACGGCGCATTTCAAGCAACTCCTCACCATGGCTTCTCAGCAACAACCCTTGCTTTTGTTCTTGGACTCAGTCGACCAGCTCACGGGTATTGGGACAGAGAACAACAAGGTCTCTTGGTTGCCGACTAGGTTGCCGCCGCATTGTAAGGTAAGGAATAAAAGTCTGAATTACTACCATTTAAGAAAGAAAGGATCTAGATGTGCTTCTTACCATTTTATTCAGTGTTTTAAGGCTAGATTAAGTAACGATAATAGGTCATACATGACTATAAGCTGTTTAAACTGGTGCTTTGAATAAAAAACTCTTGTGGATTATAACTAAAGTGGATAAATTATTACCTGGTTTGATAAAATCCTTTCGTTCCTTCTATACATCTTTAGTTAATTATTATAAACACAGTTGAATTGAAAATCTAATAGTTATTCTAAAAACACCCGTTTTGTCAAGAGACTTTCACAAAATTAAAATTTTATCTCATTTGAAAAGAGACTGCCAACAGTTACCATGTTTTCATATTACATCTACGTAAACGTTTTAATGATTTATTATAGATTATAGTGACATGTGCTTGTGAAGAAGCCAATCCTGAAGTGTCCAAGGAATACGACGTATTGAGACGAATGATTGATAACGAAGAAAATTTCCTAGAAGTCACGGCCTTAGGAGAAGACTTGGCTATGCAGGTGCTGAAGTAAGTAGCTTAAAACAGTACTAAATCATTGTCTACAATAATGCCTTACAGTGGTGATGAAAGAAATTCAAAGAGTGATGAGTCTGGAGGTGTTGCTACAGAACTTATTATCGAAGAATTTTGTGGAGTTTCAAAAAAGGACCGCGTTTAAGTTATAAAATCATGTAAATTTAAATGACTGACTGATGAAAATTTAATGCATCTGGATAGCATCACGATGAAGCTTTGTATAATTTTGTGGCACAGGCGAAAGGTATATACGTTATGGCAACATAAACATATAGCGATATTTAAATTTGGACCTAACTTGGTTATTTTATACTAGCTGTACCCTGCGGTGTTACCCACGGTTTATAAGGCATATTTTTCCGCAGTAAAACGTAGCCTATGTGTTAATCCAGGGTGTAAGCTGACTCCATACCCAATTTTATTAAAATCACTTTAGCCGTTTAGACGTAAAGAAGTAACAAACATACACACTCACAAACTTTCGCCTTTATAATATTAGTGTGATTTTTTTCATTCCAATGAATAGAAAGACGAAAACTTGCTTAGGGCCTATAATGTGATGAATAATAGTTATTGATACAACTGATGTATAATGACGGGTATTGAAACACGAATGATAGTATCACATGAGTTTTTTAATACCTAATTTTATAATCGGTTTGGATGATGTTATGGGGTTGTTAGGACATTGGATGTTTTAATGTTGGCAATAAGCTAACTGTTTCAGAATCTTTATAGAGGTTTTAAAACATAGGTGTGCATAAATAATATTATATAAATAACCGAGAATGAATATTTCTAATAAGCTAGATACTGAAGCAGAATAAAGTAAGAAGCTAGTATAAGCTAAATTTATGTAATAAATAGATACGTTTGTTGTGATCGTTTTCTAATTACTTAATAATCTATTCTGCTCTTCTAGATTATGGATGGCGTCGGCATGTCGAGACTTGTCAAATTACCAGTGGAGGCTGGTATCTAATGCTATATCTCAGTGCTCGCTGCCTATATTCGTCAAACTCGTGTTTGCTGAGGTAATGATGAATCAGTCTTATATGCGGTTTGTTGTGGAAATCATTAGTTCTGCTACACAAAAACATCGAAATTTTACAATCGATGCAATAATATTTTCAAAGATGATGCTTTGATTAGGGCTCGCATTAAATAAGGTATAAGCATGAACTACAACTTATCCTTTAGGATAAGAGCAGTGTAGGCATGTGATAGTCCAAAATTATGTATACTAAAGCTTCAATAGATATTGATTCTTTCTCTTTTTATGGTAATTTGATTATATATGTATGTACTGTTGTCGATTCTGGCATGATTCTCTAAATCTAAACTTAAATTTGACAACAGTGTATCCTTGTCATTCTCTATACAGAATGAAAAGGAAAGACTGATGCAAAATTTAGTTTTAAGTTTAGAGAATCACGCCAGAATCGACACCATTGTTTGTCACTAAGCTGCCAGTAATTCGTTTGCAATAACGTAGTTATAATCTTTTTAATAAATATTACTAAATAGTAATTCCACAGGTTTACTAAATAGTAAACACTTAATTAATAACTTAACTGATTTCTTCTCTATCTTTTTAAGTTGTAGTAGTTTCTTTTAACTTGTACCTGTTTCTTTTGAAACGGACAACTTCATTGCTAACAATATAAATAGACATACTAAATCTTTTAATTTTTTAAGGAATACTTTGAAAAAGATTAATTAAACAGAAGAATTCTAAAAAGTCCTAATATACTGGTAAAGTGCGGAGAAATGCTACTGAGTTTGTTTCCAGGTTTGCCGTTGGAGAAGTTATACAAAACCCACGGACACCCACCTCGCATCTACGGTCATGGACTCCATCATGATGCTGTTTGAAAGAATCGAGAAACAGGTAAAGATAACGATGAAATCCCTACTTCCCTATCCGATATGGACCTATGTATAAGTCCCGGCACGAAACTCTATCGCTGACCGTTATTGCGCAGAAGTAAAAATTAAGATGAGTTGGGGGGAACGAGGTGCGCGGGTGGGCGTGCGTTGCGCTGATTGGCTCTCCAGTCGTACCCATGCGTAGCTATCCTTAAAGCGATTTGTTCAGCGCTAGAGTTACGTGCCGCGATCTGTATCATCTTTGTCATTAATAACCTCACTGCTGAGGCATAGGCCTTCCCTGTGGATGGATTAGCGAGGGCCACGAGTCCAGTGTGGATTGGTGGATGCTAACGACTGCAGATGCAGCCGGGACTAACAGCTTAACGTACCTTCCGAAGCAAGGAGGAGCTCGAGATAATAAGTTTTGGTCACTCATCCAATGATTGACCATAGCGAACGTCGCAATCCGAACGTGCTATCCGTCTGCTCCATCGATCTCCTCTAGTATGATTTAATGTTGGCATAATATAGCAAAAGCTAGTCAAATGGCGTTACACTGATCAACCAAACAACTTAGTTAAAAGTTTATCTTCGTTTTCAATCTCCTTTGCCGTTAAGTATTTTAGACGATTCTCATTTCATGATAAACTACTGAATTACCTTAATTTTTCATGCCCGAAATTTTCTTCAATGTGATAATATATAGCCTGTGTCACTCAGGAATAATGTAGCTTTCTAATGGTGCATTTTTTAATTAGGTCCAGTAGTTTTTGTGTTGATTTGTTGCAAACATACAAAAATACAAATCCGTTCTTCTTTATAATTTGGTAAAGATGAAAGAGTGAAAATAAAGTGTCTTATTCTTAAATAGTTTGGTTAATAATTATACACTTTAATAAATTAAGTATAAATTCAGTAATAAATTCAAAATTATTGATCTTAATTAAATTTTGATCCTTATTAATAAACCATTTTCTTCCCAGCACGGTCGACTGCTAGTATTCCACGCTCTAGCGTACATCACAGCGGCACGCAGTGGTCTTTCCGAAACTGAGTTGGAAGACTTGATCAGCCTCGACGATAAAGTATTGGACGATGTGTACCAATACCACTTGCCACCGGTCCGAAGAATCCCACCCTTACTTTGGACTAGGCGAGTTAATTTAGTTTAGAAATGTGAAGATTAGATATCAAATACATTGCTTTAAGTCTAAAAAAAGATGGTATGGTAAAAACTTTCAATCACTCTGAAAATACCAAAGATAGTATTTAAAAAAGAAAGACGATCTGCAGCATTAAATACAAATTACATAATAATGATGACGATGAAAATCATCTGCATACATCCCAATCGCCTTGAAACTGAGAATCCCAAAAAAAGGCAAGAATGCTGACACCTACACATCTACAAGATCTAAGAAGACGAACAGTTTTCTTAAATTTTGCCAAGTCTTGCACTCCACTTGATATAAAGTGGAAGTTACTAGAAATCTGATGCAGCAGACGTATTTGTCGCTTCAATTACCCTTACTAATCCAGCCATCATCGTCATCATCATCATCACCAGCAGTGTTTCCGTATCGATACGATCAGAATAATTTCAAAAAAGAACGTAGGTATTCTTTTCTTAACATCGTATTTTTAACTCTATTGTACCATCAATATGCAACTGTTAAATTTTTTTGGTATGCATATAGTTCATAACCTATATTGAGACGTAGGTTACTTTTATCCCAAAAAGATGTTAGAATCCTGAGGGATTCTCAAAGAACTAAAGTTAACGTGGATGAAGCCGCGGGTGGCCGTTAGTATTAACATAAAAGTCTTCTGTAAGGAAGGGGATAAATATTTCCAGACGAACATTCCAACTAATATATGCTCTTTGCCTTATCTCACTCAAAACTTTAACAGATTTCTCCATACTTTTCTTTTGTTTTCCCAGGATCCGTAACGACTTACCCAACTATCTTTCCGAGCGCGAAGCTGACGGCGTCTCCGTGATGAACTGGTACCACAGGCAGTTCAGAGACACGGCTCGCGAGAGATATTTCAAGAACATGAACATGGCTATGTATTTCCACTCCATGATTGCCGACTATTATCTGGGTAAGGCTTTTATCGTGCTGCAGGTTTTCAACTATTACGTTAACAGGAATTACTTAAATGTTTAAATGACTACGCTATTAATATTCAATATATGATTTACGCTTAAGTATTTATCTCTTAAAGCCTTTTGAGCCAGAATAATGTAACGGACTGTTACACTTGACTTTGGAATGGAATTTGTTTAATCTTGCTAATTGAAAAAATGTAAAAAATCTTCAATCGATTAAATCTGGCTACTCTTGGTTTTCGTGAATATCCAATTTATCAACGCTAAGATAATAATATTGGTACTAACTTTTCGTTCAAGTACTTTAATGATTGGCAGCTTCTATGTTTCGTAATACATATGATCCCTCGAATATAATCAATGATCTTTATGGGAATTGCTTCTCGCCCCTACCTTTTTAAAATTAATAGCCCAGTTGTGTAATTACTTAACGCCTCCTATGTTTTCTTTTTTATATTTGTGAGCGTCCATCATCTCTCCATCTCAAGCCGCATGATTGCTTTCTTTCTAAATTGAACGCTACCCGATTAAGAAAAATAAATGTTGAAACCAGTAAATCAATCTTTCAGGTATTTGGGGTGGTGGTATACCGAAACCCTTTAAATATACTGAGATACAGCGGCACCGGTTCAACCTGGCTGACCGAGAGGGCGTCGCCGACAGGAAGGTGCCACTCCAACCATTAGTCTTCACGTCCGCTGATGGGGCCAATAAGAGATACAACTTACGGAAGGTATCAGAATCAATGCCATGTTTTAGGGTTTAGAAGAATTATTATGGAAACGAAAGAAGCTAGGCAAATTATCGAAAGTATTGTCATGTAAGTAACCAAAGTGATGGTTGGTGTTAACTCTGTGGTTGAAAGTTTTATAATACACTGCTGAGCCAGCGAAATTCGTATTGCCATCTTTGGACGTAAGTAAAAATACTAATATCGCTATTGAATAATAGAGGTTGCTTGTAGAAGGGTGAATATGTAGAGATAAAAGCATTTTTGATGCCTAATGATTAAATCATGAAAAATAAGTGTTTCCAAAAATAGAGATACCATTTGAGGTCTAAAAATACCAAATAGACGCAAAAAACATCATTGAATAAGAAGAAGAATGAAGCCATTTCGGAAGAGTACTATAACAAACACTGTGACACGTGATTTTCTTATATAATATGTAGGAAAAGGATTTTGCTGATTTGATTTAATATGCTTCCTGAATAAATTACATAAGAATAAGACATTTATCCTAAACTGTAAGGTAATAAAGAAGAAATTCATGTTTTATTTAATTAATCTAAATTAGTGATTCGATTCGTCGATTTTATGGCGACGACAGTCCAGAAAGCTTTTCTCTAAGCTATCTAAGTTTTAAGTCCAATTTATCTAGTGCATCTTGAAGGAGATAAGAAGGACCTCATGAACATTTTAACGATCTGTTTGTAGTTTTATTATGATCTTCTTTATCTGCCCATTTCTCTACGTTTTCTTACAGTTCGGCGAGTTGCCATTCCACCTAGTGCGTTCAAAGCGCTTCACAGATTTGTACGCAGAAGTTCTCTTCAACTATGAGTGGCTTCACGCCAAATTGAACTGCTGCCCTCTTCAGGCCGTCTTAGCCGATTTCGAAGACGCCAAGCTTCACGTCAACAAGGATGCGGTTAGGTAAATATAAAAACAAATATTTTGATTCTTGTGTACTTTAGAAAATAGATAGGAAGATCAATTAAAGTAGCTTGCTGATGGTGAAATAAATGTAATGTAATACAATAATATTTATGTATCGTCTACAGTTCCCAAAGCTGCAGTTTAGAATTTCCCATTTTCTAAATATATTTTTATGACCAACCGATATTAATAAAATATGACTTGAACCACGATGAAAATAATCTGGAAATTTTCAGAGAATTGATGCTTGTAGCGGACGCGTTACGTCTCGGTGGAGCTATCCTCGGCCAATATCCTGATATGCTGGCTCCTCAATTGGTAGGAAGACTTCTGCCAGAGGCACAGCAAAATCCAGCTGTATCTTCTCTACTGAAACAGTGCCATGATAAAGGAAAGAATCACTGTGCTCTGTTGCCTTCACATCATTGCTTACATACTCCTGGAGGACCTTTGAAAGTAAGTGGTAGAATTCAATATTTTGAAAAAAAAATGTCATTTTGATCATCGTATAAAGAGAAAGTTTCATCGTTTTGGTTAGCGAGTTCGGCTTCGATCATAAAGCAACTTTTTCAGTGGTCGGTCATTGGATGGGTGACCAAAAATTTATCCTATCTCGAGCTCCTGCGTGCTTTTTAAGGCATGTTAAGCAGTGGGAAGAGGCTGATGATGATAAAGAGAAAGTTTAGTACTGTTAACTGGGCGAAGCCTAATAATTAAAGGGAATCGATCTTTAACAGCTACTTTGTTTACAATAAAATTATATAACCATTATTTTCTTCGATTTCTTTCGTTTCTAGTCAATTTGAGTTTCAACTTTATTAAGCGCCAAACACGAAATACACAATTGTCAAGTCAAAGACAAGTTCGTGCTGAAACCATAACAATTGAATACTGTATTTTTAGAGCTGACTTAGTATTTAACAAATAAGTTATTATTATAATCATTGCAACCGCGTTTTTCCTTTAGGATTTTGTTGTTTCTTACTGCAAGATATCTTATTATTGTTGCTTTTTTATTCTTGCGATTATCTCTTACTGCTTCACAAAATATTCTTATCATGATTTTTTTAATTGTCTTCTCTACTTACTCCAGTACTCCCTCGAGGGCCACCAGTTCGCCGTGTTCGCGTTCCGACTGAGCTCTGACAAGCGTTACGTAGTCTCCATATCGAGCCGCGTCATCTCCTGGGATCTTTCTACATCAGACCTGGCTAGAGATCTGTGTCCACAGCTGGAAGGTATCATGCAAAACTTGGAATTGTCACCGGATAACAAATGGGCTGCGGCTTCTACGAATAATTCTGTCGTGAGTATTAAAATGTTTCCTGTGCGAAGTGTTAGGTATTGTACTCAATGGTAAAATACTTCGAAATTATTCTATGAAATTGAGTTAGGTAGTAGATTTTCCAAAATATTAAATAATGGGCCATTTTATGTCAAAGTCTTTTAGTGAGCATCTAAAAGAAGTAACTACAGTCTTATATCGATGAAAATTCCCCATTGAAAAAAAAAGTTGAATGGTGAAAGAAAATTAAATATCGGAGAACAGTTTCGGATTCTTCTTTTGCAATATTATGTCATTTTGCAATGCGAATATATCAATTCCAAGTCACAATATAATACTAATTTCCTCTTTATTTAAATTTGATTAAGGCTTAAAATAAATCAAATATGTGTATTTCAGTCCATGCTCCTAAATATGCTGACAAGTGAATACATCACAATCGAAAATCCACTGGATGAAGGTAATCAACTTAGTACATTAAAACACACATCAAATTACCATAAACGGATAAATTCCCCAACCAATTATGATTCGTATCATAATCAACATAAAGCTCAAAGTCAATTGGACAAAGTGGACAAGTTTTGGGTAATTTGACTTGAGGCTTTTACATACAGTACCCCAAATACGAACCTTGACAAATTCATAATCGTATCGCCTGTAAATCTCTCTGACTCTTTAAATAATAAAACAGGGAGAAAAAATAGCCCTTGTCGAGTTTTTTACCGGTTCTTTTCAGTGCAAGGTCTCCCGCCGTAAATTTACGAAATGATGGCATATCTGTTAGACATTCATTACTGTAGTCTAAACTGAATAAATTATTTTGATTATTATAATTACTCTGTCTAAATTTTACTTTTAACTTGTTTTTACAGATTCACGATTTTTTTTGTTATTTCTAGGAGAAACAGTCAGAGGTGTGTCAGTGTTGAACCACCATATGGTGATCTATGGTCCAAACTCCTGGGTCCAGTACAGCATGAGGGGAGAGCTCGAGAAGACAGCGCCGGCTCCCGAGACGGAACCTTACGATGATCTTCACTGGGAGATACTTTGTTAGTCACATTTTAAGATCAATTTTAACAATGAGATTGAGAACTATCTAATCTATTTTATTGTGTTTTTATTTAACCATTAATGTGTTTAATTAATAAATCTAAAGAATACTTTTACTCTAAAATCCCCTGCTTTCCAGGCGGATTCACAAACCGCTATGCTTTTAATTTTATTACGAAAGTAGTTTATCTTTTTGTTTAAACTTGTTTATGTTCGATGACTTACATCTCGAAGATTTGGTCAGATGATTCTTTGTTATTACTATCATTAAAGTTCATCAACTTCTTTGCTTTCAAATTCATAATGATTTATTGTAAAAGTTTAGGTTTGTACAGCAAATTACATGCGTTAGATAATAAGTAGAAATTGCATCACTAAAATTCCACCTATAAAGTGTATAAGTTACCGAGATGTTGATATTGTTTCAATTAGAGACTTGCTTCCACATATAATTATATTATTTGAAGCCTTTAAAAGAAACACCATTTTTCTAGCAATGGAATTTCGTGACCTCGAGACCTTCATACTTGTGATGTGGAGTGGAGACTTGGATGATGACCGAATGCTCTTCCAATTCTGTAAAGAAGGAAACTGGGTACAACCTCTCAGGTGTAGAGGCGCTTTCGCCATGAACAAACACTGGACGAAGATTTATACTAGTGACCCTGAAAGAGGATATCAGGTATGTGTAGAAACAGGTTTAGAATTGACAGCATTATATTGAATACTATCTTTGTTTCTGAAAAAGTTGGCATTATTATATTATGCCCTTGGTTCTGCAACAGATTCCTTATTCATTACTTGGGAATGGGGATTACGGATGAGCTTGTATACTAACTGAAACTGACTAGATATAATATAATACGCCTTTAGTTTATAAGAGTTTTCTTATTGAATGCATAAGAATCGAGAGTAGCAATAAGGTTTATCTTTGAAAGTACACTAGACCCAAATTCTACGAGTAATCCAAACGAGGTAATTTGGTTAATACGTACAAGCAAAAAGACGGCTATAAAAGATTTATGTCGTTTCCGGTAAGAAAAACTACATTAGAAAGAGACATGTCGTGTTTATGTTGTGCATAAACCTAGGATACAAAACATTTTGCGTATTCTGTAAAAAGCTAAACAATCTTGCAATACTTGGTCACAATCTGTCTATTACCTTTTATTTGATTAATGCTTTTAAAGCTTTTCCGTCAGTACAAAAAAAAATCGAATTTCTTTAACAGATCTCAATATTTGAACTAATGGAAGACAAATGGGTCAAGATAGAAGAACTGCATCATAGAGAAACGGACACAGCTGAAGCGATGCTGCAGCTCAAGAGGGGGAAGAAAGACAAAATGCTGCTTGGTAACATTGCAACGCAGTATTTTATTTTAAATTTAAAAGTCTACTTTTATATTAGAGGCATTTCGTTAAGTAAAATGTCAAGGGTGAAAATACCAAAATTGCAAGTACAATATGAAAGTTAGTAATGAAGACTAGAAGCATACTTTTTAAAATAATTCCAAGTTGCTGGTGCTAACTTAGCAAAACAGTCCAATCTTATTGCTAAAAGTGTATCTAATGACTGCAGATGCAACTGGGACGTGCCTTCCTAAGCACGAAGGAGCTCGAGTTCAAATATTTTTGTTCACCCATTTTGTGACTAGGCATTGCATAAGTCGTTTAATTTTAACGATCGCAGACCAAAAACGCTGCTCTGAATTAAAGTTTACAATGTTTGTTCTTTTTTCAGCGACAACAACTTACAGTTTTGTCGTATGGGACTTTGACAACGTTATACCAAGGGATAAACACGTGATTGAAGTGAAGAAGAAGAAAGGAGAAGATGACAGTAACAAAAAGAAAAGCGAAGAAGAGGTATGTGGAACTAAAAGCATCATAATTTTCCGTATAATACATAAAACAGATAATTCCTTCGGTGTGATAATATTTCTAAACTGAGCTCTTTTTGGCACAGTTTTGGATGGATGCAGATTATGTGCCTGTATAGTTGATTTCTGTTTATATATGATGTTGTTCATCTATCCGTCTGATTTGTGTATGATAAAGGATATCTTATTTTTTTATGAAAAAAGGGTTTGCAAGCAAGTATATAACTTGGAGATGCTTACGATATTTCAGTATCACTTGCATCGTTTCCTTCCTCTACTTCAAGCCCTCGTGGATCCCTGGAGCTTTACTCATCGACAGAACCATAAAAATATGTAGTGATATTATTTAAGCTGGAGGTTACTTCCTCAGATGGGTGCTCCACTTCGAATAGCAATATAAACAATACTACCTCTCTTAAGACTAGATTTCATTTTGATTTCATTGTATCTTCTTCAAACAGGAAGAAAAGCAGGACGAAATACCAGAGAAGGACATGCGCTTAGAAGGAATAGTGCTGAAGTTGCCGCATACTATCCGGAACATTTCGACTAAAATGACTCTCTCCAACTCTTTCATGATCAGCAACAACAACACATATGCAGTTGCTGGGGTTAGGTAAGATCGGGAATGGGGCGCTTAAAAATGATATAATCTCCACTTTGCCGTAGAAAAAGAGAAGAGAGTGAAAATGGTGTATAAATGTATGATCTTAATATACCTATATGGTCTTAAAACTTACACAGATAAAGCGCTTGTTGTTAACACGGTTTGTACGTTTGTATCGACCCCAAACTTTGGCTAACGCTGTCGTTATTATATAGTGTCTCATACCTAATTTACAATCGGACGTAGACACGTTTAAAAACCTGCCTAGACTCGGGTAGAAATCATCTCGTAAACAAGCGACCTTGGGCCTCTTGATAAGGGCAGTTTTTTCACCGGAAACTGAGCCGGTACTTCCTATCGTATTCCATCGAAAAGATTCCTTTAGAAGTTTGATAAATTCTGACATTTTGAATCCAGTTCAAATGATTTCTCGTACCTCATTACTGCTTAGAGATCATATTGATGCAAAATATGGTGTAAGCAGATAAATACACAGTGGGAGAACCAGTAAAACCTTAACAATGAATCACACACAAATTTATACTTTGGTATATTTTTCCGAACAAGTGACTACCTATGTGAAGCCCATAGTGTGACAGATTATAGTAAACAATATCCAGCCAGTATGGCTCACACGCATCCTCCAACACAACATATCAATGTTAGTAATTACTTAGTAGCCTTCGTCTTTGTACAGTCAGCATCTATTCTATGTAATAGGAAGAATCTCTACGTATGGAGTCTTGAAACCACGAAGCTGATCAAAGTACTAGACGCTCACTTCGGCCGGATCGTACAGCTGGAGCCGCTCACTGTGGGCGCCTGGAACAACGTCATCACCTCTTCTATCGATAGGACCGTCAAGATATGGAACATCGACAACATATTCGAGCAAGTGCACAAGATAGACCGCCAGGAGCTGCCTATAGATTCAATCAGGTACTTATCTCTTAATTTCAAACAATCTCCATCAAAATATGGTTCCAAATTGAGTACGCCCACTTTGGCCAGATCGTACAGCTGGAGCCGCTCACTGTGGGCACCTGGAACAACGGTATCACCTCCTCCATCGATAGGACCCTCAAGATATGGAATATCGACAACATATTCGAGCAAGTGCACAAGATAGACCGCCAGGAACTGCCTATAGATTCAATCACGTACTTATCTCTTCATTTCTAACAATCTCCATTAATATATGGATCAAAGTGCTGGATGCTCATTTCGGGCGGAGCTGTCTACAGACTCCATCAGGTACAATTGTACAGTTCTAACAATCTTCCTTTAAGATGTAATCAGATTATCCTCACTTTTTACTAGAAGTTCATAATTGAAAATGGCCGTAAATAAAAGTATGTTTTAAAACATAAAATGAAACTGAAATATAAACTGTCTTCTTTGATATTTCTCGCTTTTCTTCTAGTTTGGCTCGAGACAAACAACTGGCTGTCACCGTGACCCGTAGTTGCTGGGGCCTGTGGGACACAAGCACTGGGCATCTTCTGGCCCAACTCGCCGACGCGCCGCTCGGGGCCATCGTCACCCACGCGGTGATCACTCCCAACGGGGATAACGTCGTCACTGCTGAGTCCGGGAACGTAGTCATTTGGGACACGCCTGAGAGACAGGTAACAATGTTTCTACAGCCGGGGCACAGTTCTTCCCTATAGATGGCAGCTCGTGGCCATCGTGACCCACTCGCAGATCACTTCCAACGGGGACAACGTCGTTACTGCTGAGTCTGGGAACGTAGTCATATGGGATGCCCCTCAGAGACTGATAATAATGTCTCGACTGTAAGGTATTCCTATAGATTGCAGAAGACGTTACCACTGATGAGTCCGGGAAAGTAGTCATATGGAACACGACTGACAGGTTATAATCACTGTTAGGCCTTCTCTACATATGGCAGCTCGCTGACGTTCTTCAAATCTTAGCAAGTCTAGCAGTTACCAGTTATAGGATCATCATCATCATCATCAGCCTATTAATGTCCCCACTGCTGGGGCACAGGTCTTCCCTATGGATAGAATAGGGAGGTTGGGGCATGACCTACTACGCGGGCCCAGTGCGGATTGGCGGGTGCTAACGACTGCAGATGCAACTGGGATCAACGGCTTAACGTGCGTTCTGAAGCACGGGGGAACTCGAGATAGAAGTTTTTTGGTCACCTATCCAATGACCGACCACTGCGAAAGTTGCCTAACTTCAGCAATCGCAGAACGCACTATCCACCTGCGCCATCGAACTCCTCATAGGATAAGTTTATAGGATGCGTTATGATTTTCTTGTCTTCTTCGTGCCGATGGCTTAACTTGCCTTCCGAAAGGCACGTCATGCATATAGTCGTTAGCAACCACAAACCCGCACTTAGCCCTCATGGTCGCCTGTACTCCCTTTTCCGTCCGGAAAACGTGTGTTATGGAAACGTTAATAGGTTAGTGACGAATATTTTTTGGTCACCCATCTAATGACTGGACTTTATAATAGTTTCCTGACATTTAAAATTCTAAAGTATTGAATAATTGATTGTCAGTTATCACTGAACCCTTAGCAAAATTTTACTGTCCATAAATTTAGACGTCTTAACAAAACATTCTTTAATTCATCAGGTGATCTTCAAGCAAGAACAGAAAGGTGTAAAGCAAGTGCTCTTAATAGAAGACGGCACTAAATTCATAACTGTATCCATGGCCGTCGGGTCTGATAACGTAGAAGCTGTGGCCAACGCTACCATCACCGCTAGGACTATACCTGGTAAATATCTTAGCATTTCGGATATAATAATTTTACCTACTGCTTTATTTAAAACCTCATCAAAATGACTAAATCATTATTACAAAAGCAATACATAAGCAAGTAACTTCTTACTACAAGGCGAAAATCTTCTTTCTTCTCTTTTATGTCCGTTACTATCTTCGTTAGAATGTTATTATGAAAGGTTACTTTTCTCAACAATTGCCTTTTAAAATATCATTTCAATTCAAGCTTTTATTCTTAAGACTTGTATTTCAAGATTTTTCAAACTTGATGCTAGAATTTATTTCAAGAACCGCACAACCTAATTTTAAAAAATCAAAACAATTTATTTCCTCAGAAGGAGAAAAGATTTATTCAGCAGATTTTGAAGTGAGAGGCATGGGTTACAAAGCTGCAGTGGTGTCATCGGACGAGCACCACTTGGTTGCTCCTGGAGTCGACAAATCTTCGAGAGATTGTCTCCATGTGTTCCATGCTAAAACCGGAACGAGGCTTCACAGGTAAGCGTGTAAAAAAGCATTGAACTGAATTTGAAGCTCCCAAAAAAATATATTTTAAACTGAAATATAGTGGTGATACGTATTTGTTGCCAATAACAGTGATGTACCCTGAAAACAAAGCCTTTTTCACTCACATTTTTTTTCTCACGGGAAAAATTACTTACAGCTTTACCCGATAGGTAGTGCTGTAATTGAGTATTAGGATAATCTTCAATATTTTTATCAAGCAGAACAAATCTGTCGGGATCGCTAGTATTATATAGCAATTGATAAAAAAAAACATATATTCCTTTATTTTAGGATACCAATAAAAAATAGCGGTATTAAAGACATGCAGTCGATTGTGGCTCTACCACATAAACCGTTGTGGGTGGCAGTAGTGGGCAACGACAAAGCTGGTATTTTGGATATCAAAACAAAGAGACATATCAGGTAATTTGCGCTTCACTACTTTGAATCGTTTGCTAAATGCTTACTAACACAACAGCTACACAATTTGCTCTTTCTCCCTATACATATATACATTCGAATTCATGTTTATCGCCTTTCTTGTTTTTCACCAGCCTATTAATATCCTCACCGATGAGGCACAAGTCTTATCTATAATAAACAATAATTATAGATAAGACTTGTGCCTCGCGGCGCACCCAGTGAGAATTGCCAGGTACTAGCGTCTGTACAGCTAGGACCAACGGTATAACGTACTTTCCGAAGCACAGAGTAGGTAGTTTTAGGTCACCCATCCAATGAAAGTTACTTTGACCATTGAGCTCCTGAAGCAGATTATATAATTTATTTATTATTTTACCTTTAACCCTTATGGCCCTCATTACAAGAATGGAAAAATAATAGTATAAATATTTTGATGCAAAGTTAGTTCACCCAGATTATTCTGTTTATGATTACGGTTGTATATAAAAGTTAGAATTAACGCTAAAAGCATTATCATAATATATTTCTCACAGGGTAGTTCCTCGTTGGAACGGAGCTAGCACTAAGGACGGTAAAGTCGGTCTCTGCGCGCCAACCAGAGGTGGTTTAGAGCTGATAGAACTAAAACGCGGTGCCACAGTTCAGCAGCTAATCACTCGCGCGGCAGAAGGAGTGTTCTCCATCATTACAATGTTCAGCTCCACGGATCAGTACGCCTTCTACTACCACAGTGGCAGGAAGACGTTGAGAGTTTTCAGGTAAGTTATAAAAACTTTCGAAATTTTCGTAAATAATCTGAGACAATAAATACCATTTTATGTGTATAATCTATGACAGCGCTGCAAACAAAACACTGTTTCTTCCTAATGCCGGCACTTCACTTGGCTATTCGTATTTGCTATTTTAAAACACGACATCAGTCTGTACTTTTCATTCCTTATTAAGCATGACAAGGACAAACTTTTGTCAAGTGAAAGGCCGGCATAAAACTCAATACTCTGTGGTTGTGGTGCAGGCAGTTTGGATTCGTAGTAATCTGTGGCATTCGTGCATTCCAAAGAGTAGTATAATATGACGGAAAGTGCATTTTTCGTTTCGAATTACCTGTTGTGTGTGTTTATTTGCGATTGTTTTTCCTTTAATTTAACTATTTCGGCTATCTACTATGCCATCGATATTATCAAAGAGCAGGAACCTTATTACCAAATGCTAGGGTAGCCTGTGCCACAACATCCTGAGAGGATCATACTGCCAAATTATTCAAGAGCACCTGATACACATTCACGCTGCATATTTACACAATAAACATGTGATATACAAATAAATACAATATACAATATGATACAATTATGTGAGAAATAGTCAATAAATAGGAAGCAAAACTACAGTATTTATTTTATTCATGATTCCTACCTAACCAAGTTTTGCCTACTAGTTATTGTTTAAAATCGCACCGAATATAATGAATTAGTTGTAATATTCATTCACTTCATACTGAGTTCATACTTAGTTCATAGGTTGACCTATGTTTCATTGAATATTAAACATAACCTCAAAAAAGTTTAAGTTTTCCTAATAATTTAAGTTCTCAGAAGTGTCCGTCAATAATATTTGTTGTTACCGTCATTTACTTGCTATTTTGAACCTAGAAAATAATATTTCATGATTGTTGGTTCTTAGGCTAACTATGTATGGACGCAGAACAATGTCCTTTGCCCAATTAGTTGATCTTTTACCTTACAATCTACACTTTTCTTTTGCTCCACATAGAATATATTCATCATCTTTATCAGAAATTCATTTCCAGAACTATCGACGGTAAGGCTATAGCAGAGTACCGAGCCCCTGCAGAGGTGACAGGAGTCGCCAGCGCTCACGCGGGCAAAGCCCTAGCGATTGCCTCGCAAGATGGCTGCCTCACTGTGTTGAACATTGTGGACCCACATGAGTAAATGGAAGACCAGCGGCTTCATCAGTATATAGAATAATACTGGACGTATTTAAATCTGCTTAAATTAAGGAAAGGAAAAGGAAGGTATTCTATGGTAAAAACAACTGGTTCTTCTTTCTATCATGGGTTTGCTAATTTAACAACATTAACTATGCTTGAAATATCTTTAGTTAATTTAGATAATTTAAGTTATTCAAAAATGTCAAAACCTGAAAAGAGTACCTTGCTTAGCTGATTTTTGTAATTCACAAAAAAATTAGGTGGAAATCAATCAATATGAAAGAGACCCCAAACAAATTCTTTTTGGAAACTGTTATAGTTCAGTAGCGTTTTAAAAATTAATATTAGATTTAATAATTACTTTGTATAATTTACTTATCACGATAGGATATTGTTTGTTAATTCATACTTAAAATACAAATAAAAACATATCCGATGCAAATAGGTGAACCAGACATGATAATTCAATGTAACGAAATGATGTTTTTTCCGTCCATATAAAGAAATGGTTCCCAGTAAAAATCTGAACCTGCCGAAATAAATTTGCAGGCACAGTTTATAATAGTTTGTACTATTATAATACATAGTTTAAACTATTATAAATTGTTCAAACGCTTCAAAGTGTTATCTTGTATTTAATATTTTTACGAAAGTCTGTGATATTGAAATCGAAAGATTATAGTCGATTAGATTTTTTGAGAAAATTGGAAATTTGAGTAACATAATAATGTTGAAACGTAGCTGGTATATAGATATATGTAAGTATGTAGTTCTTTAAATTAGTGTGAATGTTCAATTTAGCCGTTGTAAAATCACCAGACAATTTTGAGAAACTATCAGCGCTTTTCACTCTTAAAATTGGCTTTTGAAATATCGTTATTATCATAACCCTCTATCCTACTCTTACTTACATAGTTTTTAATACCGTAGAATAGGACAAAACACGTCCAAGTTTCGAATGCGGCCACAATAGGCTAGTTGACCCTTTTTGGAAAAAGGTTTTAAATGGTTAATAAATGTTCTATTAGACCGAAAAAAAAATTTTTTTTTTTTTAAACCTAGAAAGCTACAAATCTTTAATTTTAAAATAGACTTTTCATGGACATACAGAAACGCTGTCGGCCATTTTAGTCTATAGATTATCTATGCTATGACGTGAACTGTGGTAAACAAAAACTCGTAAACACGTAGAAAATTACTTAAAACTGAGTTTATAATAAAAAAAACATGATTTCTAATAAATTCCACGAAAAATAAAGTAATTATCATTACTGTATTGTACGAGAATATAAAAACACATCCTTGAAGACTCCAGGAAATTGTGGATTAAAGTGCCGAAAGAAATTAACCTACGCAACTTTATTACACTTATTCATATGTTGTATCAGTTTTATGTTTATTACTACATTGTAATACTATATGCACTGTACTTATATAGATGCCTTGTCGTTTCTCTGCTCCGCAGAGCAGAAATGGGGGTTAGTGCAACAAATTCACCAACCATCAATGCGTCAATTCTTGGCAGATTTGTGCTTTCTGCTTTTACAAAGCCGGCAACCATAATTAGTTTTGTCAAAAAAAACTAAGTTTACTGTTTATTTCTTTCCTAAAGTTAAAAGTGTTTTAAGATAAATTTAGTCAGACGAAAGAATCCACCTACAGTAACACGCGAATGACATTTAGTTGTTTACCACAAGAGACGTCAAAATCATGGCGGATGTGGCGAACAGCGTTTTTAGTGTTTAAAAAATATGGACTAAAAAATATTTTTTTAAATTAAATTTCTACAGCAATCTTCTGCTTTTATGAAGTGAAATCGATATATTTAGGTTCCTTAGACCAAATACTTTAAGAAATAAACATTTATTTAATACAATTCGACATGAGTAAACTAGCCTATTCATACGCGTACAAAGAAATTTGGTGACTCATTTCTTTGTCGTACTATCCGTAATGGAATCTGCCCGCTCCCGTGTTCCCTCCCTCTTACAACCTGGGATCCTTTAAAAGAGGCGTGAGGAAGCAACATGCAGGCCGGCAAGGTGAGGATAGCTGGTTTGGCAGGTAGAACTGCTGTACTTTAAGATACCTGATCTTCGCGTCTGGACTTCACTGTCACTCAAGGGTAACTCATTAGTCAGGCAGGCCTATCTTTACAAAAAAAAAGAGAATCGAATGTTGTTTTTAAAAGATTATTACAAAATGTGATTTTTTTTTTAAATCCAAAGTTACAAAGTAGAAAAATAAATACAATAATTATTAGAGAAATAAAGTTGTTAAAAGTTCCTCCTAGAAAGTAGTCTATTAAAAATTTAGTAGTGTTTATATTAGTCTTAGCAGTTACAAATGTTGCAGTTGTAAATAAATGTATGTTTTAACAAAGAAGAAGCACATGTTGAACAATATAATAGTACATTACGATACGCGTGACCTAAGTTGCCTCGCTCCGCTCGGGCGCTAACTTCACGCCGTGCAGTAATAGACAACTTAGGCCACAAGTATCTTATACTATTTTATAGCAAGTGTGACATAAACCCGCCCCGGACGCGGGCAAGAGGGGTGGGGGGGGGGGTCTCCGGCCCCCCCGAGGGATGCGATTAGTGTTTTGAAAGTAAAATTCATTTATTGCAATCACAAAGAATTGCAATACAGACTGCAAGTCAAACTCTGAAAAGAAAGAATTCCGGTTCAGATTACCATTTTGAAAGTATATTTCAAAAGGAAAAAATCAAATATCATTACAACAAAATAGAATTTCAATGTATCCATGAACGTTTATTCCTTGATTGGCATAGTAAAGTTACGCGTATCGTAATGTACTAATTCTACATGAGTGAAGTTGGTCAATTCATTTACACACCGTGCAGAAATAGGCAACTTAGGTCACGGAAAAGCGTGCGTAAAGTGCGGGTTTAGGTCACACTGTGCTATAAAAAGTTTTAAATTTATTATTTTAAACTTTCATGATCACTAACACTATAATCTAAGTTTTTACGGGATTGTTACCATGTACCTTGTTTTTAGTGAGTTTCCTGGACTCGCTATAAACAAGGTACATGGTAACAATCCCGTAAATAACTTATAATACTATAATATAAAAATAAGTTGTAATTTGGCCTTTTTATTGAAAATCATTCCAAAATAACAATGGCAAAGATTTTGTATTTATATTTCTTGTTCATTATTTAATTGTATTGTCGTTATTAACATCGGATAGTACAAACCTTAAACATGTAGAATTTAAAAAAATAAAACCATTTCAGAATTAAGTACTTGGATCATTTTATTTACCATAAAAAATATTTTACGGCTATCATTTTGCTTATCATCATTATTGTAAAATATACTTTATATAAAAATACTGAATTTGTGAAATAGTCAAAATTATAATTATTGAGTAAGACAATTTATTGGTGATAGAACACATTCAGAGCTTAACTTATGATAATTATGATACATCACAACTTTTTAAAATACAACCATACAAAATTAATATTTTAAAAGTACAGCCTTATAAATTATTTTTAAGTATACCACTAAGGCTAGAATCGTTTGACCATGATTTTGATAATAAAAGGAAACTCGATTGATTTTTCAAATTTGACCGCAATGGAATATCGTCTCTAGAGGTTCCTTCACAATACTGATATTCATTAGTAGGTAAATTTAAAGTAATTTGACAATTCATACCATCTCCTTTTTATATAATGAGACGTAAGGAACATTATAGAATTTGAGACCTAAGTACCAATTTAAAGCAACTTAAATTTTACCTTCTAGTAAATAAGGACAGGATATTATTCAAAAATTAATCTTCAATCGGTATTAACACTCATCATCAAAATGATCGACTCGACAATTTCCACAAATTCTTATTAGAATGCACTGATTTCAAAGCTCTCCTCATTGTACTTATACAAATTTAACAAGGCATCATTTGGCTACAAAAAATTATACATATTGATAGGTAAGTATATTTACTGTAGTAGAATTAAGGATTTAACATTTTTAATATCCAGTTTAATTCCGAAAAAAGACACAGGCAGTAAAAATACCTTGTTATATTATTTAAATTATCGAAATAAAAATTTTGAAGTCAATTTATTGAAGTCTTTTAGAAGTTTTTAGAAATAAAAAAGTCGTCCTACATAATCGAATCATATATTGTAGGTTGGTTAGTAATTAAAAACCACATTGGGTATAACCAAGTCGACATTCCTTTTGAAATTCACAATCCGTAAAATGGTGTTTTAAAAATCGTACTCAGACACGAAAATGTACAATTTGGCTACAGCGATTCCCCCGAACTGGTCTCTGTTGTAGAGGTCCATCATCAGCTCCAGTTCTATGCTCTGAGGACCTTCGAGAGAGCGCACTAAGGAGACCACTCCCTGATTGCCCGTTTGTGATAATCTGGAATTAAGTTTTTTTGATATTTTATTATGTAGGTTTAGCAAGCAAAAGCTCTTATTAAGTGTCACCGCACACCACAAAACGCCGCCACCGGCATATTTCTTGTAGTTTTCATACATTTTATATGGACTCGCCACACACGGTACGCCGGTGGTCGCCACACGCTACAAATCGTCGTTCCTCGCTTCTTGTGGCCCGCACCGGCCACTTAATGCGCCGATACAAAACGCCGCCACACGTCACTTGCGCGATTTCCCACCCCTCTCCCCCTTACCTTAGTCGGCCGCTGTCGCGCGCTTCAGCCGCTTCTAGTTTCTCGTGGCGGCGTTTGTGGCTGTGGCGGGTGGCCTGTGTGCGGCGACACTAAGACTAGTTACGCCGTGATTTGTTCATATCATTCAAATGTCATTTTCAAAACATGTTCTCTGAAAATGCATTTACGGAGGTTGTATACATTGTTCGAAGTTCCAAATTACGCAACATACAACAGAGCGTACGGTAAAAATTTTACCGCACAGGTCCATACTTGGCGCCGTGCGTATCCTTTACGTTTTTTAAATTTCAATATATTCCGAATAATATATCGAAATTTAAAAAAACACAAATCCGCACTGGGCCAGGGTGATGGGCCACAGCTAGGGAAACCAACTTTTTTCTATCAAATAGAGTATTTTCGAAGCTGTTACCTCTAAAAATATAGTAGATGGAGAAGCTCGATGGCGCAGGTGGTTAGCGCGTTCGGCTGTGATCGTTGAACTTAAGCAACTTTCGCAGTGGTCGGTCATTGGATGGGTGACCAAAAATTTCTATCTAGAGTTCCTCCGTGCTTCGGAAGGCATGTTAAGCCGTTGGTCCCGGTTGCATCTGCAGTCGTTAGCACCCGCCAATCCGCACTGGGCCCACGTGGTGGGTCATGGCCCAATCTCCCTATTCCATCCATAGGGAAGGCCTGTGCCCCGGCAGCGGGGACATTAAGAGGCTGACGATGATAATGATGATGATGACAAAAAAATGGAAAAATATAGTATGTGGTTAAATTATTTACTTTATTTATGAAATGCATAGTTTTGCTGCTTTATACCTCAGTTTTTTTAATTTAAAAAAGCTTTTACTAGCAATTCTCCTTTAAGCAAAATATTTAGCAGTTTCACCTAATATATTTTTTTTTTTAGAAATACAATATTTGATCCCTTAATATAGTAGGATAATATTTTATATAGAGTCTGTGCGGAAAGAGAATGGGCGTGGCGAAAAACGGAACTAACATTAAGATTTTTATTTGGCAATCAAACCAGCAATCTGTAAAACGTCAAAGTTTTGTTTTGATACGGATTTGTTTGTTGTTGTGATTTCTTGCGGTATTTTGTATTTAATCATGTCTAAAAGGGGTAAAACCTTACAAATATGGTAGAAAAGCACTACAGCGCCCTCCAATCTAAATCCCATTCCCTTTCCGCACAAACTCTAGTAGGGTTGACAACCCAAATCACTGCCCAATCTCCCTATTACATGTATAGGGAAAGGCTGTACCCCAGCAGTGAGGCATTAATAGGCTGTTGATGATGACTCACAAGAAACTGTTGATGTCAGCTTTATTCTTCACGGAGGGCGGTGCGTTCACGTCGATCAATCGCAGCTGGAAACTTATCCGAGCGTACGCCCACGTAGGACCTCGCATCGTGAACAAGTCAACCTGTAACATTAAAAATAAACTGTGCTTGTCTCCACTGCATTGTCACGGCTCTTTTTTCCGCATCAAAATCATTTTAACGCTTAATCTTTCCAAAGCTATAACCTCACTCAAAAATGTTATGGAATCTAACCTAACCTAACCTAACCTAACCACACTCAAAAATGTGATGACTGAAAATCGGTGTTTTGCCTTAAAATATGCAAATGTTTAGCCGAGCCCTTTGCTTTTTGCAAGCAAACGTATGGGTATTTATTGCCGATTTCTTGTATCTTTTCTTTAATAGTGCTATTTTTAAAATCTGTATACTGTAGAAAATAATAAATGTATTAGAGTCTGTGCGGAAAGAGAATGGGCGTGGCGAAAAACGGAATTATCATTAAGATTTTTAATTGGCAATCAAACCCAGCAATCTGTTAAACTTCAAAGTTTTGTATTGATACGGATTTGTTTGTTGTTGTGATTTCTTGCGGTTTTTTGTATTTAATCATGTCTAAAAGGGGTAAAACCTTACAAATACGGTAGAAAAGCACTACAGCGCCCTCCAATCTAAATCCCATTCTCTTTCCGCACAGACTCTATCTATAAGATCTATCATCTATCACATCACAAGCTTGGTTGGCACGAAGTTTTTGTTTGTGTTTCAAAATCTGAGCGCCAAAATCATTTTGTTTCCTAGGTTGTAAATATTTTTTCAATTCGAACCAGTAGTTCCTAGATTAGCGAGTTTAACCAAACCAACTCTTCTTCCTATCAGTTTTTTATGTTAAAAGTGTGACAAACATATCCAATAGACGCTTGCGATTATAAAAAAAATACTCGCACCGTAGCCCTTGAACCTTACATTTTTTTTCATTTATTTGATAAAATAAACAAAATACATTAATTAATAAAAAAAAGTACCACAAACACCCACATTAGGCCTTATAATTATATGCTTATTCCAGTTCTCGGTTGATTATAATTAATATAGCAAACCATGAGACATTAAGTATTCAGAAATACTCGAAAGCCAAACTAAACCATGGAATAGAGTATTTGACAAGTTTTAGAAAACGATCTCACGTTATTGACTAATGTTTATGGAGTGGATATTCATCATTCTGTTGTGTATTTCAGTAAAAATAACCAAATCAAAAACTCGATTTTCAAGTTGCCGCGAAAACGTTTTTCTGGACAATATGGCGTCTTACTAGTGTGTAACGTCACACGACTGTTACTAAAACGTCAAACGATACAATGTAATGTCACTTTAACCGGGAGTTTACTTGCGTGTGACGTCATTTTAGGCGCGTTTTGGGTCACGTGACAATAGATAAGAAAAATATTATCTTTTTCGTGGGTTTTTAGTATTATTATGAATTATTTTTTTGTAAAAATAGTAAAAACCCCTGTCAATATTCATTCTAAACACAGATGCCAACAATTGGCACTTTATTTTTAACACTGTCCTTATTACACTGTTACTTCTCATTCATATATTATTAATCAAGTTAAACGTTCTATTTACTACACAATTAATATAAATATTACAGTGTCAATTTATATTTTAACCAGCCTAAAAGTTAATATAAGTTATAGATAATATACACATAACATAATAATACACCACTAATTTTATTTTAATATGATCTTCTGTAAGGTGAATGTTGTCATATGTCATACCTAGCTGGCATTCGGTCGTCATCGTCAGAGGAATCGAATAGTAATAAATAATAAATTTTTCATCCCACCACCTCGGAAAGTGTAATTTTGCGCTTCGAAATCTGGCTGGAAAATTCTATTTTATTCGCTTGAGCGGCAAAGTAGATTTGAATTTAGAACATCACATATAATGAGTACTCAATATAATTGTAAATTCAAAACGTCATTAAACCTATTTAATGTAACCTCTATGGTGCCAAATTTATGATTAGAACTTTTTAAATTGTGAAAAAATTTAAATTTGGAACCTTCTTGGTTTCTTTGTTTTATTTGCGTGCTTCGCGCCATTCTAGTTTTTCACGTTTTATTGCTTAATATAATTAACATAACCTAAAAACTGTACAAAAAAATCAACTAAAATGAGTGACATTAGCGACGATGAAGTTTATCTAACGCCAACTGAGTTAACTGAAACAGTTAATAATGCGCAAATTGTTTTCTTTTTCATTTTGTCATTTCCTCGCTGAGGTGGGATGAAAAGTTACGTATTGCACTCGAGTGGAAAGATTTTTCACCTTGTGCTCGTTTGTTTCCCTCGCTGACGCTCAGGATTCTAATTTAGAATCACTCGCTGCGCTCGTGATTCAACTTTAGAATCCTTCGCTTGCTCGGTCATCCAAATCGAGCACGCGGTTAAAAAGGAACTTTCCACTCTTGTATAATAAATAACTATTATTTTCTCTCCACAATCTTATACATGCTTCATGAGTAACAGATTATAAAACTTAGGTCTAAGATTGTGAGAGACTGGTGACCAAACTAAGCTGACGCCTGTGTCTCAGTGCACCAGCCTCTCCCCGCATTAAGAAAGTGTTACATAAGCAAAAAAAAACCTAGTCTCACATTTATATGATTTTGCATGATATAGTTTATGGTAGTGCTGGTTGTGAGTATGGTGTTTATGTGCGTGTGTGAGGTGTGTGTGTGTGCGTGTGTGTGTATTAGTCTATGTGTGTGGAGGGAGCGTGTAAGACTGGCTCGTAGTTTATCAATATATGAGGTAGTTCCCATACGCAATAGGGCAAGCTCATAGAAGATAGACGAGTTGATTACATTCAAGAATCCATAAGGCTTTCTGTTTCTAAATAGATTAGGTTTTGCAGGTAATTGGTGACTCTCTTCTTGCAGCAGAATCTGGTGAGTAAATGTATTGACAATTTTCGATTTAGTTTGTTGTAGAGAAATGGTCTCACAATAGAATAGTGATAACGGCTTACCTTAGAAGCTGGTATGTACAAGTTGGACACGAAGGTGATAAAGTTGTACGAGTAAGTGGAGGGTTGGTGGGCGCACTCCCAGTCAGCTGGGGGACAAACTCGCTCCACTTTGGAACACCGGCTGGATAACAAACAAATAATAAATAATAATAACATATATATATATATAAAGGTAAGGCCTACAAACATACTTTTGACCTTCCTGGTTTACATTCCGGCAAAATTTTTTGAGCATCTACACATACAAGGAATACTGCGCATCATCAAATTTTCATTCAAAAACGTGTGCTGCGCAAGTTTCTTATCTAATAATAAATAATAAATAAATATTTCCAACACTCACACCAATTAGCCTAGCCCCAAAGTAAGCACTGTAAAGGCTTGTGTTTTGGGATACTAGGGTAACGGATAGAATACATATATTGTACATATATAAGTATATTTATATGAAATACATATTAAACATCCATGACTGGAGCACAAATGCTCGTATCCATCACACAAACATCTGCCTCCACTGGGATACGAACCCGGGACCTCTCAAGTCGGCGACGCCATGAAACCCGGCGTATAAACCACTCGGCCACGGAGGTCGTCAATATTATTATGTAAAGTTATTATATTATGTAAATATAACGTATTTATTAAGTACTTCAATATCTCTTTTGAATTGACGACCTCCGTGGTATGAACGCTGGTTTTAAAGGTGTCGCCTACTCAGAGGTCTCGGGTTCGAACCCGGTGGGGCAAATGTTTGTGTGATGAATACGAACATTTGTAGGTGCCTAAGTTATGGATATATTTCGAAATAAAAACATGTTTATGTATGTATCTTTATAAACATTATTAATGTGGTGAAACTTGACATCAACACATATTTTCGGTTTTTGATGTCATCTTTCAATTGACGACACTGTATGAAACAAAACAGGGAGAAAAAAAAATAGCCCTTGCTGAGTTTCTTGCCGGTTCTTCTCAGTACAAGGTCTCCCGCCGTAGATTTACGAACCGATGGCGTAGCGTTTGACTTTCACAAGAGCTTGTAACAGCCTAGACTGAATGAATGAGTTGGAGTTTGAGTTTATCAAGTATATGTATTCTATCCGTTACCCTAGTATCCAAACAGCACTTAAAGTGCTTACTTTGGGGCTAGCTAGGCTAATAATTAAAAAAAATGCTAATAATAGGTATGAGTGTTGGAAATATTTATTTATATACAAAAAAAAGAGTTGAACTTAAGCAACTTTCGCAGTGGTCAGTCATTGGATGGGTGACTAAAAATTACTATCTCGAGCTTCTCCGTGCTTCGGAAGGCACGTAAAGCCGTTGGTCCCGGCTGCATCTGCAGTCGTTAGCACCCACCAATCCGCACTGGGCCCGCGTGGTGGGTCATGGCCCAATCTCCCTATTTCATCTATAGGGAAGGCCTGTGCCCTAGCAGTGGGGACATGAATAGACTGATGATGATGATGATACAAAAACATGACTCACTGCTTAGACTCGAGCCGGTATCCAGGAGGGCAGTTGATCCGATGGCAGCGGTATCCGCCCCGTGTGTTGAGACACACGTCACTAGTTCCACTTCCTGTCCAAGCGGACTCGGCGCACGGAGCTATACCGGTCTCACACTCATCAATATCTGTAGGTTGAAAACACGGGATTTGTATTAAAATATTACTAGCAAATCAGTGAACCAAATGATCACCAAAACCTGATTTAAAAAAAAAAGAAAAAAAAATTGTATTTAATTAATTGAGAACTTCGGAGATTTTGTGTGGTTTAGTTTGAAATTCGTGATTTCTCGAAAACCGGAAGTGCTACGTTACTCAATTCCGGTTTGTAGTCTTATCAGACTATTCTTAACTTATAACTTAAACATTCTCTTTATCTATCTCGTACGGTTTGGCCGCTGAAACAGCACCACAGACGGATGGACGGACTTGTCTAATAGATAAGAGATTTTAGTGGGACAATCGGGGAACAAGTAGGTACCTATTATTTTTCGGAATTTGGACTTAGGTTCATGAGCAAAAGTTACAATATATGAACCAGCGCCTCTAGTATGCGCACCGCGATATGATACATGTCTTGTTAATACCACGCTAAATTGTTGGAGCTATGGGGTTTGACAGTAATACGCGAAAAAAAACCCTGATAAACTGCAATTATGGTGATGATGCTACGACGGCAGGTATTATTAAGGAGACGGTTAAAATGCCCAATACGTTTCAAAAAGCAGAAAAAGATAAGGTAGAACGAAAATGGTTATTCGCTCAAATTACAGCACTCCACTTATACTAGTACCCCTAGCATGAACCAATATTGAATTCGAATAGTTTGAAACAGAAATATTAATGTCAAATTTAGTATGGAAACTTGAACAGCAGCGGCACAAAGTACGTAACGAGAACTAAAAATCAGTACACATTTGACAATGACATTTCGGACTCGCAAACGATACGAATTCGACATTGGTTCGTGCTAAGGGTACTGATCTGAAAGTGGCAAGAGTTGAGGTCAGTGAAACGCGCGATTGATACTTTGTTATCACATGAGTCTTAAATGAAATGACATTTTCTTTGAATTGTTGAAAGCTTTTGAATCGTCCAATATCATTTTCTTCCACCCATTCAGGATACCTTTTAACTGATGAACAAAATGGGCGCAATAAACTCATCAGCATTTAACAGAAGTAGCAACATTTTAATAAAACCAAGTCGCTACCAATACACTTTTCATCAAACTGGACTATATCTATATTCTTGTTTGCCACCCATTTTACTTAAATCATTACGTATTATATACGTCATTATATCATAAATTTCGACGCGGCGAATAGGGCCGTGGTAGCATAATGGTCAGTGCATTCGCCCGGATTGCGAAGGGTGCGGGTTCGAGTCCCGTCCGCTGCTTGGTCCGCGTGGATTTTTTTCTAGTAAACTTTTCTTTAGATTTAAACATCTAGCAGTTAAATGCTTAAAAATAAATAAAAACATAACTATAATTGCTATTTCTTATTTCAAATGTTTAATACTTGAAAAAGTATTCATTTGACATTGTGGGTTACCTACAATGCGAAGAGATGGCGCTGCCTTGCAGCTTAAGGCTAGGAAAATTTCGACGCGGCGAATAGGACCGTGGGTGGTAGCATAATGGTCAGTGCATTCGCCCGGATTGCGAAGGGTGCGGGTTCGAGTCGCGTCCGCTGCCTGCTCCGCGTGGATTTTTTTCAGGTAAACTTTTCTTTAGATTTAATTAGGTTAGTTTAGGTACACAAAATGGTTCAACGAGAGGCAAATCCTCTCTCTAAGCTGATCCGTAGAAGGGGGGGCAGGCGGCGCAGAAACACTCTCGTACAGACCTTACAGTAGGGACTAGGGATGCCCGTACACCCGGTGCCCGTAAGGACAAGAAGTCCCATGAGTTGAGCGATGCTCCAAGTGTTCCGGTGCATCGCCCGGTAAGCGGTAGGAAGGGGCGATATGCAAGACCTTGCTCCTCTTCCAGAGGTGGGCTTGCTTAATAGCAAGCGGTCGGCCCTGGCTTGCTATGGTACGATACGGACCCGTAGAGGCGCTTAACGTCGATGCTGTTGGAACATCGTGGGGGTTTTAGTCGGTAGGCCTTGCCTACCGGCTAGGGGATTCATTCTCGTCTGGTAAGTAGGCAGGGGAGCGTCCGACATAACCTGCTCACCATTGTTCAGTGAGTGGGTATGCGTAAAAGCATTTCCCCCACGCAAAAAAAAAGAAAAAATTGGTACACAAAATAGTTGTTCACCTGTTAGGATTTATCATACTAAGCTTTGACCAACATTGGAGAAATACTAACCGATACAGCTCCTCTTATCCTCTGACAGTCTGTAACCAGAAGGACAGTCACACCGATAACTGCCGGGTTGGTTGAAACATTTGCCCACGCACGGGACCTTGGATTTGAACTCGGTACACTCGTCGATGTCAGCGCAGGTGCTGCAATATTAATAATAATAATCACTACATCGTATAAAGCAAAGTGGCTTCCCGCTGTCTGTCCCTATGTTTGCTTAGATCTTTAAAACGACGCAACGGATTTTGTTGCAGCTTTTTTTAATAGATAGATTAATTTAAGAGGAAGGTTTATATGTATAAGACATGCATAATATAGTAGAGAAGTACTGATAATTTTAGAGGAATGTAAGGTGGTAAATAAACTCATTTTTTGCGCTTACATTGCAAACGCTGGTTGTATTGTACACCTTAAAAGGTATTTGTCTATCTCATAGGGATAACCCACAATAACCATATCTTATCCTATACTATTTACGAGAAATAATAGATTATTAACGAAGCGATTTTTAGAAAGAAAAAGTAACTTAAATACATTGAGCATTTAATATAGACCACTTTGGCCCTTTAACGCATGTTATTAACTGAATATTTTCGAAGCTATTATAGATTTAAAATGCAGGGACATAGCGTGCCTATTGTTATTAGGTATTAGAAGAATGTCATTGTGTATAATACAAGCCTGAGAACAAAAAGTATAGTCTATACTACAGCTCTGCACCGAAGCGAAGCGAGGGCGGGCCACTAGTAATAAATAAATATCAGACAACATCACATACATTGATGTATATAAATAAATAAATTTATATACTTGTAATACCACTACCACATATGAGGCCATGAGAATCATAGTGGCCTTACTCATTTATTTACAATATTGAATTTATTATTTTTTTTCCACTTCAAATTGATCATTTTGATAGAACCAGAGTGATCTAAAAGTGATACAACGAATATTCACTAGATGGCAGCATAATCACTGTTACGGTTTTTAGTCTGTGATCTAAATTTCTGGTGCCATACTGGCCTAAGTAAGATAGGCTACTATGGTTAAAAAATGAGTTAGGCCACTATGATTCTCATGGACTCATATAAATATTATGGAAAGCATAGTAATCCAAACTTCGTTCACAAGCGTCATCAACGGTTCATAATGTTCTTGTGAAATGTTACTTCAAGATAATTTCTTATTCGCTCAAACTGGAGCTCTAAACTTATACCAGATCTGAAAGTGGTAGGAGTTGTAAAACATGCGATACTTTGTCAGCGCATGAGTCTTGAAATGAAATGACTTTATTTTGACTTGTTGGAAGCTTTTGAATCGGCCAATATCATTTCCTACCACCCATTCAGGACACCTTTTAGAAATAAAGAAGGAGATTAAAATGGCTGCGTTAACATAATTATAATTTTTTTCCTGGAAGTCGTTAGCATCCATTAAACACATTGATTTATCCGGCATGCCGGCACTTAACATGGCTATTCTAGTTTGCTATTTGTGAACATGTAGAGAGTTTGAACCATAACCCACCACGCTGGTCCAGTGCGGGTTGGTGGGTGGTTTCGCCAGGGCCTCGTCTGTTATGCAGCAGGACGCACCGCTTGCAGGGGAGGTTGGCTTGGGACCCGAAAGATGTTGTGTTGATGATGATGATGATGATGATGATTTGTGAACATGACATCAGCCTGTCTTTTTAATTCCTTATAAAACATGATTAGGACGAACTGTTGTCAAGTTTATTTATTTAAGTCAAGAAGTCTACATAAGGTATTTTCAGAGACCTATGATATCGATGACGGACTATTGTAAAAGTTGTTTAACTTGAGAAATCGAAAACCAAACGTTTAAATCCTTAAAACAGACTGACTTTTGATTATTTATACGCCTAGATAGAGTAATCCCAATAATAGTCCAAACAATAAAGCCAAATAACAAAATTTTGCTGCACTCTAGCTTTTTTACAGATGCAAGAGTAGGTCGTAAGAAGCTTTAGTTTACAAATAGAGGAATGTTGGGTGGTCACACCTGGCCGCCATATTTGATAACGCTTTTATCGATATATCTCCGAAATTATTGACTTTACGGAAAAAATTGTAGGGTGCTTTTTATTTATTACTAAATTCCCTTACTTTTTTGTCTAAAACTTTTTATTGTACCTCTTACCGTTCTTCAATAATTGTTGTTTATTTGAATGTTTGTAGTTTTTCCTTTATAAAACTTTAAAAATGCCATTCATTGATAAAAAGTCTTATAAAAGTTATTCGTCATTAAATTCCCTACAACTTTTGTATACTTTTTTTATTTAATAAATACTTTTAAGTTATGAGTGAGATCTCTGTCTCTTGGGCTTTAAATCACGCAAAGAAAACTGCCAATGTTTCGCGCAATGTGTGCGCGGCTAATGTCAGATTGTACTTAAGCAGTCAATGTGTGCGTGTGTAGCGATGAACATATCTACCATATGTAGTAGATATTTTTTGTGCCGTTAATACGGTATCTAGGGTGTATATAATCAAACATACTGACCTATTATCGGCTTTCAGTCTGTAGCCCCTGTGACACGAGCACCGGTAGCTTCCCCAAACATTGTTGCAACGCTGTTCACAAAGAGAGCCAGCTCTGTTTTCAGTACACTCGTCCACGTCGACACAAACCTGAAATAATTGTTCAAATATTATCAGGGCCTTGTAGAGTCCAGGTTTTGATAAATAGTGAGACCTCGTGGGACCAACGAAAATTGATGGGTGCTACTTGGATCTCTTGGTACTTTGTTTTTGTTTTATTTGTCTCACTTAACTGGTTGCAAAGAATATCCATGTAAATATATACATACAAAGAAAACGTCAACTACTTTGCAAGCTACTACTAAGGATTAATTTAAGTTAAAACTAAAAGAACATAATCAAAGAATATTGCTGTTAAATATTATCTGGTTGATGCTTTAGAACCTTTAAATATGTCGAAATCATTTCTAATAGTATTATAGGTTGAAAACATTCTAAGGAGAGGAGAGTGATTCCCGAGTCTTGTCTTACGGGGGGGGGGGGGGGGGGGGGGCAGTACAAAAATCTTTCGATTTTGCAGCCGGCTATTTTTTCACGGAACTGAAAATTTAATATTTTGCTTACGAAAACCAACGAGGCCGTATTTAATTGGACCAATGTTTCGAATGTTAACTTTTACTTTTAATTGTCATTATTTTTAATAAATGCTTAAATCATGTGTTATTTTTTTCGCAAATGGTACGATAAGTAGAGTATTTTCCTCGGTGATAAAGGTGTCTTAGTCTTGGGTGAACTTAAATCCCTCGCTACACTCAGGACTCGTCTTAAATATTATTGCTTGTGGGTTAACTACGCGGGTTTATTTCTCATTAAAATGATGTTGCGAATATTTGGTAATAACTCCGATTAATTATGGCAAATGTGAGTTACGTGTCCATTAATGTCAGTGATTTAAAAGCGGAGCAAAAAAATAAAAATGTCTACTATTTTTCCGAACAAAACGGAACCGCGCAACTCTGTGGCATGGCCGATTACGTTTACGATACGGTTTCTTTTGTATTAAAAAAATATTTAAATGTAAACTTGCAAAAATGCTTCTTCACGCCTCTCTTAAAGGACCCCAGATTATAGGGAGGAGGGAACACTTGCGCGGGTAAAGAATTCCACTTACGAATAGTACGACAAAGAAATGAGTCACCAAATTTCTTTGTTCGTGCAGGAATAGTGGCCAAAGTAAGTCGGTGGCAACGTAAGCCAGCGCGCGTGGTCCTCTGAAGAAAAGGTGATGGAGGGATAAGGGAGAATAACTCACTAAGAACAATTTCACGCGCGTATTCACACACTTTAAAAACTACACTTTAGAACTCCACTCAACAGTGGCGCCATCTGGTGAGACAAGAAACGGTATGAGGGTCATGAGGGCTCATTGACGTAGCACCATGTGGAACCCAATATAAGATTATAAGTACATAAATAAGTGTGGTAGAATCATTTGCTATTATATCATCATGTGAATAATGTAAATATCAAAACCTTATCGTTAATAGGCGCTGATCGAAATCCTTCATGGCACCTGCATTGGTAGGAGCCTATGGTATTTATGCAATCAGCATTCTGGGAGCAAATTGGCTGAAAAAAAGGTAGAATTATGAAATTTATTAAACATGTACTACTTATCTTATCTATACTTATAATTAATCTGTAGAGAGGTCAATTCTGTACATGAAATATATTTTCAAATAACTATCAGGGGGTGATTAGTGATCGATACTGATGCCAAAAATGCAATCAGTAAAATTTTTGTCTGTCTGTCTGTCTGTCTGTCTGTGTGTATGTTCCTTATAGAAACAAAAACTACTCGACGGATTTTAACCAAATTTGGTACAATTATTCTTCATATTTAGGTTATTGTATACTTTTCATCATGCTACAATCAATAGCAGCAGAGTAGTGAAGGGAAATGTTGGGAAAACGGGAGAAGTTACTCCATTTTTTAAGCCTCCGTCGCGTGTGCAGCCTTAATGGTTAAAGTTACATAGAAATCATGTATGACGAAAATATTCTACATAAAATTGTCTAAAAAATATTCAGCAACAGCATATGTCAATCTTTTATGGTTGACTCACAATAACACGTGTAATTATATAAATAAAGTCATTGTTTATAGCACAAGCCTGAGAACAAAAACTATAGTTTACACTACAGCTCTACACCGAAGCGAAGCGAGGGCGGGCCACTAGTTATATTAATAAAAATAAGCTGGGATTAATTACACCATGTTTTGTCTCTGGTCATTGACAAATTACACTGGAGGTGGTATGAACAAAAGACGGCGTAACTAGTCCAAGCTTATCCCTCGTTTATTAATAAGGGGGTTAAAAAGTATTATCTGAATAATATATACCTAGTCAGGTCATAAATTCTGTCACATGTTTAATATAAAATAATTGAAACTAGTTTATTAATTATGTAACCATTTATATACCATAATGAACTTAACAAAACATAGATTCTTATGACAATAAAGTTTATTCCAAATGACCTCCGTGATTTTGGATACAGGCCTTTAATCTGCGCGGCCAGTCGTCTATCGCAGCACGAACGAGGTCCATGTCAATATCGGTGGCTGCCTTAATCAAGGATGTCTTGAGTGACTCCAAATTGGGATGAGGCTTTGAGCACGTCTTTTCCATGAAGTGTTGCCATATCTTGTAATTTAACGGACTCAAGTCTGGACTGGAGGAGGGCCAGTCTTCGTGCCGGATGAAGTCGACTTCAGTCTTGTGTGCTCTTCGCTCTATGAGCTGGCGTCGAATCTTGTTGGAATACCCAGTGCCTGTTGTTGAATATGGTATGAGAAACAGGTTCCACAAGGTTCGTCAGGACTGTATTTTGATACACAACTGCATTCGTTTTTACACCTTTCTCACAAAAATGTACCTGTAAACTCCCAAACATGCCATGAGCGAGGATGGAAAATGACCTCGTTGGACACGCGGAATACGGTTGCTCGCTTCTTCACTACTGTGTGCGTACACCTTATCATTTTGTTTGTTGTAGCTCTCTTCTAGGGTAAAAAAAAATCCGTCCGAAAAAAGAATTTCCCGATATTTTTTCCCCGCGTACCACTTCAACAAAGCGCGGCATCTCTAGGGTCTCTGGTCCATTAGACAAGCATTCAAACGATGTCCTATTTTTCTTCGATATGCCCGAAGCCCTAAGTCTTCATTTAACACCCTTTTCACCGTGGTTCTGCTTAACCCCATCTAAAGGGCCAACAGTTTCTACTTACGTTTGGGATTTCTTTGAATTCGCGCCTTCACAGCTTTTATCACTGCTGGAGTCCTAACAGACCGAGGGCGACCACTTCTTGACCTGTCATCTACACTAGAGTCTTCATTGTATCGTTTGACGGAACGATAAATTTATATTGGTTATATTCAAATTTTTCAGTATGTCAAAATTTTGAATTGGCGCATAATCGCAACGATGCAACGCAATAACTGCAATGCGGTCTTCTTTAAGCGTCCACTCCATATTTAAAAATGAGTAAAATTCTAAAAAGTATACATTTTTATTTTCATGAACAATTCGAAATTGGAATTCAATATTTTTTTTTTGTGGCCAGCGTTCTAAAAGAAAAGTTTTTACTGTGTGACAATACTTATGACCTGACTGTGTATATACATATATATGAGTGATGCGTGCGCTGCTCCATTCCCCTATGCCATATGCACCACCTAAAGTTAGGTCATATAAGAAAAAAATAAGTTTCACTTCAGACGTGTGGTCAGTGCACACTATGTCTTTTTTTAAAATCAGCCGAGAACAAAATCTAGTTATATACAAATCTACATAGCTAAGAAAAAAATGCAATCAAATTAGTAAAACACAGTTTTTATTATACTTTTTTTTGATGAGTGTTTAATTACATTAAGTAGACTACTGTGGATCGCAACATTTTGCTAAAAAGAGTTTTTACAAAAACAGATTTTTCGTGGATCAAACAGAGAGTGTGGAAAAAACTATACCCAAGTAATATTTTCTTGACGACCTCCGTGGCTACTCAGCTACAGACCACTCGGTCTGTACGCCGGGGTGTCGCCGACTCGAGAGACCCGGGTTCGAATCCCGGTGGGGGCGATGTTTGTGTGATGGTTACGAGCATTTGTACTCCAGTCATGGATGTTTAATATGTATTTCTATATAAATATACTTATATATGTACTTCGATAAGGAGCTCGATGGTGCAAGTGGTTAGCGCGTTCGGCTGTGATCTTTGAAGTTAAGCAACTTTTGCAGTGGTCGGTCATTGGATGGGTGACCAAAAATTTACTATCTCGAGTTCCTCCGTGCTTCGGAAGGCACGTTAAGCTGTTGGTCCCGGCTGCATATGCAGTCGTTAGCACCCGCCAATCCGCACAGGGCTCGCGTGGTGGGTCATGGCTCAATCTCCCTATTCCATCCATAGGGAAGGCCTGTACCCCAGCAGTGGAGACATTAATAGGCTGATAATGATGATGATGATGATGTATGTACTCTATCCGTTACCCTAGTATCCCATAACACAAGCCGTCCAGTGCTTACTTTGGGGCTAGGCTAATTGGTGTCAATCTTGGAAATACTTATTAACTTACATTACGCCCAGCCAGCGCACACTCGTCAACGTCTTCACACTCATGATCTCCGCTGAGCCTGTGTCCTGACGGGCAGCTGCAGGTGTACCCGCCAGGCAGGTTCGTGCATATTTGAAGAGGTCCACAATTGGCTTCACCCGTTGCACACTCGTCAATATCTATAAACATGTAAACAAAACAAAAAGGTTATTATATCATTAGAAGATAGCCACAAATAGGGAAGATGCATATATAATATTTATGAAAATTTTATGATTAAAATGTTAAAACAATATAAAAGAAATGCCACTGCAACGTTTTTATTTTACATAATGTTGTTTTTTAACAATTATTACGAATTAAAAATACTTGAAACGGAACGTATTTTAAAACACCAATCAGCGTTTAGTGACGTCACTCCTGTTATGACAACTTCTTTGAGGTTATGGTTGTTAAAGTAAATATTATTTTATGGGAATATTTATTGCGTTTTTTACATTTAATAAAAATGGAAGTTGCGTTTATTAAAGCAGACTCCAGGAATTTACCAAGAGTTAGCGTTGACATGGTTATAACTTTTTTTGTCCAAAGTGCAGAGTTTTTAAGTGTAGAAATGAAAGGGACTAAATTACTACGGTATGTAAAAATCGTAGTTGTTAAACTTCGTATTTTATTCAGCGGCTTCCACAAATCTTACGGCGATAATGCAATCGGCTATGTCCAAATTAAAAGAGATAGAAAATTATGTACAGTAAAAGGTCGAGTTCTCCGGAGCAAAAAGTACGTAAAGAAGGTTATCGTGTTACAGTTATTTTAAATGAAACGCAAAGCTAGGTTCAGTCCTGCCAATGTGTGAAGATTGTGCCACACATTTTAAACTTTATCTAATTTTCGACGTCATTCTCCAAATGTAAAATTAAAAATATGTTATAGACAGGTTTTGTAAGTATTAGGTAGGTTACTGATGCGTTTTTACGTACAAGCAGATTAATTAAGCATATAACAAGAATATTCGCCGACTTACGTCAAAGTGATCTTCTCAGCATCGAATAATGGTCTTTGGAGAATAATTGTCATTTTTCTTCGGAGCTTGAAACCACTTTTTTTCAGTTTTGGGTCAAAAGTTCCAGTCAAAAACAATTTATTTGGGAACTTTGTTGAAGTAGATTGGCACAAAACATGAGTCAACACGGCTTTTTTTCGGAATATTAGTGGTATTGTTATTATAATCACATGATGTTGATGGATATTCCTTTTTAAATTTTTCAAAAAAATATTTAGAAAGTCGAAAAAATATGCAAAAGTATGAAAATTTAAAGCCAGCAACGAACAATAGGCTAGTTTACTCATGTCGAATTGTATTAAATAAATGTTTATTTCTTAAAGTGTTTAGTCTAAGGAACCTTAAAATATCGATTTCACTTCATAAAAGCAGAAGATTGCTGTAGAAATTTAATTTTAAAAAATATTTTTTAGTCTATATTTTTTAAACACTAAAAACGCTGTTCGCCACTTTTGCCATGATTTTGACGTCTCTAGTGGTAAACAACTAAATGTCATTCGCGTGTTACTGTAGGTGGATTCTTTCGTCTGACTAAATTTATCTTAAAACACTTTTAACTTTAGGAAAGAAAAAAACAGTAAACTTAGTTTTTTTTGACTAAACAAATTATGGATGCCGGCTTTGTGAAAGCAGAAAGCACAAATCTGCCAAGAATTGACGCATTGATGGTTGGTGAATTTGTTGCACTAAACCCCGATTTCTGTTCTGCGGAGCAGAGAAACGACAAGGCATCTATGTAAGTACAGTGCATTTAGTATTACAATATAGTAATAAACATAAAACTGATACAACATATGAATAAGTGTAATAAAGTTGCGTAGGTTAATTTCTTTCGGCACTTTAATCCACAGCTTTCCTGGAGTCTTCAACGATGTGTTTTTATATTCTCGTACAATACAGTTATGATAATTACTTTATTCTTCGTGGTATTTATTAGAAATCATGTCTTTTTTTATTATAAACTCAGTTTTAAGTAATTTTCTATGTGTTTACGAGTTTTTGTTTACCACAGTTCACGTCATAGCATAGACAATCTATAGACTAAAATGGCCGACAGCGTTTTTGTATGTCCATGAAAAGTCTATTTTAAAATTAAAGATTTGTAGCTTTCTAGGTTTAAAAAAAATACAATACATTGTTTTTCGGTCTAATAGAACATTTATTAACCATTTAAAACCTTTTTCCAAAAAGGGTCAACTAGTCTATTACGACCATTGACAGACAGGAGTGACGTCATCGCAATCATAGGTTCGTTTTCGCGCGAAAATTTAAATTGTCAATTTAAAACCGCATTTTTTCCGATAAATCACAATGTTTTAAATTTTTTAATATATTTGTGGTTTATTCTACATGGAATTCTTTAAAATGAAAACAAAAATAAAAATATTGCATCTTCAGGTGCAGGTGGCTAGCGCGTTCGGCTGCGATCATTGAAATTAAGTAATTTTCGCAATAGTCAGTGATTGGATGGGTGTCCAAAAATCTTTATCTAGAGTTTCTCCGTGCTTCGGAAGGCACGTTAAGCTCCTGGCTGCATCTGCAGTCGTTATCACCCATCAATCCGCACTGGGCCCTCGTCCATCCATAGCGAAAGGCTGTGCCCTAGCAGTAGGGATATTAATAGGCTGATGATGATGTAATTTAGGGCCAAGAGGGCCAAACGACGTTACGAGCCCCTACTCCCAAACTTTGACGCGCTATAACTTTGTCATTTTTTGGTTGATTGCCCAAAGAAAAAATACGTGTCCATTATTTTTTGATCATCTAACTGACGGACTAAATAGAATTCCTTTTACTGTACCCCGTCATCACCTCTATTTAAGCTAACAACATTTTGATGTTTATGATAAATCCAATTCTTGCAATACTTACCCGCGCATATACTGTCGTCTCCGAGCCTGTAACCCCACGGACATCTGATGACAGTTCCTCTGTTTTCAATCGGTGTGATCTCCGGGTCTATGTAGTTAGTACCCTTAATTTCACCTTGAGGGAACTGCGGTATTACTGGATCTCCCACCGAGGTGTACACTACGAACAGTTAAAGTAATAATCAAAAAGCAAAAAGTAATAATTAGGTTAGCCAACAACAACAACAAGTAGGAACTAAAGTAGTGACTTCAATAGAGTATTTGACAAGATTTAGAAAACAATCTCACGTTATTTACTAATGTTTTTGAACTCCATAAAAAGCGTTTTTTTTTAACACACATCAATAAGGCTAGCCCCAAAGTAAGCACTGTAAGGCTTGTGTTATAATATCACAAATATTTGCTATTAAATCAGTTTATAATAAGTATTAGAACAAAATTTGCTTCAAATGAGTTAAATTAAAAAACATTAATTAAATTCCTGTCAAAATAATTAATAATATTTTTTTTAGCACACACCAATTAGCCTACTAGCCCCAAAGTAAACACTGTAAGGATTGTGCTATGGGATACTAGGGTAACGGATAGAATACATATACTGTACATATAAGTATATTTATATAGAAATACATATTAAACATCCATGACTGGAGTACAAATGCTCGTATTCATCACACAAACATCTGCCCCCACCGGGATTCGAACCCGGGACCTCTCGAGTCAGCGACACCATGAAACCCGGCGTACAAACCACTCGGCCAAGGAGGTCATAACTTAATAATAGTATCACATGAGTGTTTAATACCTCATTACAACAGTTGCATACAAAAGATACTATAAAAGATTCTGAAACCATAGGACGTTTTAGATCTTAAAATTCATGAAAAATTTCGGCACTGTTATAGTGAAGCGCGCGTGAATGACAATGTTCTCTTTTTTAATTCATATTCCCACACATTCAGCTGTGAAAATTGTGACTGTCTGATGAGTTAGCTCTTGGCAGAGAAGGGATTTGTAACGCGAAAGATTGTTTTACAAAATAGAACAATATATGAACCATTTATTATCTTATTACTTTAGCCAAATAGAAATCTTTCCGAACGTTTGAAAAACTGTTTTAAGCCGGAGCATACAATATTTATTAAGCTATTGCATAGCTTTTATCGCGGGCTTTGAGCGCGGTGACTGAATCAAGAAATTCCGTAACGAAAATAAACCTAACAATCCCCACTCCGACCGGCACAGCGGTGCGGCGTTGAAAGCCGTGCATCGTCTAACGTCCTTTCAGTTCGGCAGACTTCTGCACGGTGTTTGTGTGCGTGCGACTAGATGTACGCGTGTAGACTAGCTGCTAACTGATTAAAACTGATTCTATATTCTATAGACACAATGCTAGGTGAGACAGCTTTTAGCTTTTTGGCCGCGACCACGAGTGAGTTCCAGCCCGCGACTAGTTGAACCTTAACGTGCATGTATATGGTGCAACTGTACGAAGTTCGCACGGATCGGGACAAGCTGATCCGAAATAGGACGAATACGTAAGCAACTGTATGAGAGAAAGTATATAGGTGTATAGGTATCTATCATCTATGTAAACAGTGAGTAGCTGTATGCGCAAATTTTATGTATAAAGTGTTTATAATTGCATAAGTTGTTAAAAAATGCTATACAATAGCTTTACCGCGGCAGTCTCCGAGTGCCACACGTATATTTTTTCCCGCTACCATTCCTGAATTTGATTATAAGGTACAGTTAAAATTAGTTTCGCTTATAAGACTGTGACTTTACTTACCAGGTTGATTTCCGTATCCTACGGGGAATTGATCGTGGGTCCTGTTGGGCACGCAGCGTTGTTGGAACTCGTCAATGTGCCAGTTAGGCGGGCACTCGCATCTGTATCCGCCCTCGGTGTTGACGCATATCTCGACCGTTGCACAATTCGCTTGTCCATTCACGCATTCGTTCACGTCTGAAGCATGTTACATTTGTTACTTAATCTCAAGCTCAAATCTTAAATAAATTATTATATCTCTCTCTCTACTAGACATTTCTCGCGACTTTACTTTATCCGGATCTTTAAAGTATTTAAAAAAAATCCCTGAGAAGTCTTTGATGATGAATATTTCCAAAAATCTAACCTGGGACTCATATGATAATATCAACAATTAGTTATTAATTTGTTTTTAAGTATTAATATGCTAGGTGTTCAAATCTAAAGAAAACTATTTCTAGGTCAAAAAGTGCTGTTATTAGAGATACAAAAGTGTTTTACTTAAACATACTTATTGTTTTATTATAAATGATGGATGAAATTCCCATGATAACATGATTATAATTTAACTCACCCTCACATTTCCCGGTTTGCGAATTGAGATGGAATCCAGCATCACAGAGATTTCTGGGCCTGAACGGTCTCACTGTTGCTGGACGGTACTCCGGATAGCCCCAGAAGTAATATACAGCTATTAACAAAGGGATAAAAGAATATAACATTAAATACTGATAGAACCAATTACAAAATGTAGTATACAGTTCTCTAAAGCTAAAACTAAATTTGACAACAGCTTGTCCTTATCAAATTCTATACAGAATGAAAAGGAGAGATTGTTACCAAGTATGGATTTAATTTTAGAGAATCATACCAGAATTAGCCATTGTCAATGTTAAATAGATAGCCTAACTAACCCACTGAATTTTACTGGGAAAAGCTTTGTCGGAAGGGCTGTTACAAAAATTTGAAACGGATTCATGTTTTGCTTCATACTTACGAGTTGTGGTAGGAGCTGGCGTAGTACTGGTTGTGGTAGATGTGGATGAAGTTACTAGATCGCAAGCTCCGGTATAAAGGTCTCTGCGGAAACCTGGAGCACACTCGCAGAGATAACCTCCCATTGTGTTTCTGCAAACTTCAGTTAGACCTGAGCATTTATGTCTGTTTGATTCGCATTCGTCGATGTCTGAAAAAAAATCATAGCCATTGTTAGAAAGTTGTTTAGAAATAAAACTTGCAATTTAAAATTATTGCGATAGATTTACTATATGGATCTATGTAGGGCAGAAATTACACTACATGAAATAATTAGACTACATTACCTCATGGAAAAATATTTCGCTAGAGAAGTGTTTTAAAATGAAGAAGTGAGTATATATCAAATACTGGATTGTTTTTTGGTTGGAGTCATGACTGAAAATACATACTGTGAAATTAAAGAAGTATCATAAACAATTACTTACCATAGCATGCCCCGTATTCGTCCAATTCGAAACCAATTTGACAATTTGTCGGCTTCTCATTAACTTTAGTCCACTCATTCTTAGGCACGTCTTTAGTATTTATAACGACAGAACCATCATCCTCTTTTTGCACTTTCACTGTAGCAGTTTCTTTGCCTACTTCCACGTATACTAAAGAAGGTTGAATGGCTATTGGCGGTAAAGTCGATGATATTGGAGAGTTTGTTGTTTCAGGTTGTATTTGTTCATTGGAATCGGGTAATGATTCATTAATACTAGGTGGTTCATAAGGACTCGTTTCTGTTGGCCTAGTATCATAGAAATCTCGATTTTCTGGCTGCGGTGGGTTTGGTGTAAAACTAGGCTCATCAGGTTTTCCAAAATCAATTATAGGATCTTGTGGCTCTTCTTCAGTTGTTAGTTGTGTTGCTTCAGTCGGTATGGGCTGTGGACTTTCTGATGATTTCGACTTAGTTGTGGATGTTTCAGGCAATATTGGTTCAACAGGCGATGGTGGAACAATTTCGTTAGTTCTATCGTCTTCGTTTCCATCAGGTACATTTGGTGTTCTATGAGAATCTTTTCGTTGCGGGGGTGGTTCAGTAGTTTGTGTTGTGGGTATGGTCGGTGAACTCGGAGCTTCAGGCTTGAGTGTCGTAGTTGTAGAAGATTTAACTTCCGGCTGACTTGCCGTTTGTGGACTCGTTTCATTGCCTTCTATTTCTTCTCTTGAACACAAATAAAATCATAAATATACTTATGACGTATCAATACATAGAAACTTATCACTGAATAATGCAGGACTATCAATGTTAAAAAAAATATGTTTTATAAACAAAATTCTTCATCAGTCTAGTAATGCCCTCATTTCTGAGGCAAGTCCTCCTTTTAAATACAAAAGGGACAGTAGGCCCTCCACTAAACGAATGCAGTGCTGATTACTAGTTGCTAATGCCTGCAGATGTAGCCGGGACCAACGGCTTTCTGAAGTACAGAGGAGCGGGTGATAATAAATTATCGATCATCCTGTTATTAATCCATTCTTAGGGAAGGCCCCAGTAGTGGGGGCATTAATAGGCTGATGATAATGATGATGAAGAACTAACTATATGGTCACTTACTCCGAGTCGTAATAGTATTCGTATTCGGGAATTGGCGTGGTGGACGTAGTAGTAGTGCTACGCTTCCGTACGCAGCGGAAGGAGCCCGGCAAGTTGACGCAGTGATACTCGGAACCGGCGCGTGCGCAGTTGTGCGTGCCCAGCGCGCACTCATCGATATCTAGTTAAAAAATCAGCATTATCACTTTGATGACCTCCTTGGTAGACTGGCTTACATCACCATACAGCCACATGTGAAGTTACATTAAACTATCAACATTTGCCAGTAGACTGTGAATCGTATTTAAAATGCAAAGCTCAAAATCATTTGGATCAAATTGGCAGTTTTGGGTAAATTGCGGGAGAGATGATGCAAAAGTATTGGTCGGTTTCCGGCAGCGATGATACATATATATTTGGAAAGCTTGTTTTATATTATAACATGAACAGATACTTTAATATTTTTTTATGCTACAACGACCCTGATGGCCATGGATGGTGTGTAATTTTCTCAAGTGTTTCTGAAGCTGCAAGGCAGCGCCATCTCTTCGCATTGTAGGTAACCCACAATGTCAAATGAATACAACATATAATGAATAAATTTTCATTACTAATATCTTGTTTTAGTTTGTCTTTCTGTTTGTTTTTTCATTAAAATCCTATCTGTTCGTACTGTTTCTTAAGCATGGTGTGGCTACCTTCAATAGAATTTTGAAATTTGTATGCATCACTACTTTAATGTTTAAAAATATGATTTAATGTAACTTTCTCTGGCGGTACTAATAAAATTAATAAAAACCTTTAAAAGTATTAAAGATTTGAAAGAAGAAATAGCAATTATAGGGATATTTTTTTGTTTGAGTTCTGGTCTGTATGGAGTTTTTTCTAGAGAAATTTTCTTTTCTTTCTCATCTAGCAATTAAATGCTTAAAATATCAGATGGCGTTAGGTTAATGATTGCATACGTGCGTTACAGGGGCTAGAGACGCCTCTGAACTCCTCTTTGTATTTTTTCTCCGCCTACACTGAATGAAAATGGAGTAAACCAAATAATAAAAAAAATCTAAACCAAATGAATTTATGTTTTTATTGTTTTAAGCATTAACTAACTAACTAACTGCTAGATTTTAAAATCTACAGAAAAGTTTTACTAGAAAAAAAAACCACGCGGACCAGGCAGCGGACGGGACTCGTACCCTTCGCAATCCGGGCGAATGCACTGACCAATTATGCTACCACGGCCCTGATGGCCGCGTCGAAATTTCCCTAGCATTAAGCTGCAAGGCAGCGCTATCTCTTCGCATTTTAGGTAACCCACAATGTCAAATGAATACCTTTTTCAAGTATTAAACATTTGAAAGAAGAAATAGCAATTATAGTTATGTTTTTATTGTTTTAAGCATTTAACTGCTAGATGTTTAAATCTACAGAAAAGTTTTACTAGAAAAAAATGAATTTCTTAAATCCTGCTCACCTTCGCATTTGCCGGTGGAGTGATGCAGGATATACCCTGTGCCGCAGGAAGTGAACCTGATGCAGAGGTAGGATCCGACGGTGTTGTCACACCGCTGCGTCTCCGCGATACAGCTGTGCTGGTCCATCGCACACTCGTTGATGTCTGTAGATAGGAATGGTTCATCATCATCATCAATATATATCAATATTCTACATGACTTTCTTTTACTTAAATCCTAGTCTGCTGTATCGGTAAAACTGTACTTCTAGGGCCCAAGAATTAACACTTCACTATTTTTGGGCGAAAAGGTCTCTGTCAATGAAGTCTCTTTGCGAAGTCGCATCCAACAAAACTGTGAAGTTTTTACTTTTGGGCCCTGGAAGTACAGTTTATCCGCTGTATCTATAAATATATAATATTGCATAATATGCTTATTTGTGTAGGTATATATAGTATGTATATATTTGTGTAGGTGTATGTTATTTATTTGTTTATAATCTTTATGTGTTTAAGAAAATATGTACATTTCTTTATTTTATCTTGCTGGCATACTGCAACTTCCTCTTTGTTTAGTTATCCTTTACCGCAAAAGTTGTCTGGAAGAGATCGCTTAAAGCGATAAGGCCGCCTTTGCCCACATTATGTTATTGTTTTCTTATTTTTGTATTCTTTTGTATGCGTGCAATAAATAATTTATCTATCTATCATCACCAATTAATGTCCGCACTGCTGGGGCACATGCCTTCCTTATGGATGGAATAGCGCGGGCCCAGTGCGGATTGGCGGGTGCTAACGACTGCAGATGCAGCCGGGACCAACGGCTTAACGTGCCTTCAGAAGCAAAGAGGAGCTCGAGATAGAAAATTTTTGGTCACCCATCCAATGATCGAACACTGCGTAAGTTGCTTAACTTCAACGTCGCAGCCGAACGCGCTAACCACCGGCACCATCAAGCTCCTCTTGATAGGAATAGTTAGATGGTTTTTATAACTTACAGGAGATAAAACTAGAGTTTGATTTATGCAAAAAATAAATCCTGTTTTTAAAAAGTGGAGTTTGTGTACCATTACAAGTGACCCTATACTTGGCTTCAGTGATTTATGCAATAAAACAGCTTTATAGCTATTAACGGGATTGTTACCATGTACCTTGTATTTTATGAGTCTCCGATATTTCGGCACTGTTGCAAGCGCCATGATCACGGAGTAACTGAAGTAATTGCGGGTAGATGTGATTGGTAGACGTATCGGTCTACCCTCTGACGTCGTCTTTTATTGCGTTCGTTACCCCTACCTCTGGTTACATTCACACTATTCACTCGCACTTGCACCAAACTTAATATGTAGTGGCGTCCAAGATTGGTCAGGGAACCGATTGAAATAACCAAACACAAGAATTTCAATCGTGAGGATGGGTTTAAATTGTCAAGTGTCTGGAATCCAGTGGTTCGTATGTGTAAAAACCGCAAGAATAAAAAAAAAGTGCCGTCCCGCGATCTGATACTGTGAGTATTGTGTGTCGGGAGCAAATGCGAGTGAATAGTGAGAATGTGACCAGTGGTAGGGGTATCGAACGCAATAAAAGACGACGTCAGGCGACGTTCTTGTTCTCCTGTCTTACAATTGCCCTGCCCGATAAAATATAGAAAATCCGAACCCTACAATAGCGCCATCTATTGGGTAGAATTGGAATCGTGTAAATTTCTCAAATGTCAAATACCCTATCGTTACACTAAAAAGGTATGTATAAAATCGATAAAGTCCTTCTCAAGTTATAGCGTGAGTTAGGGAAATAGGAATTATTTTTATGAAAATAGAAGATTAATCAGTGGAGACCTAACCGACGCATGCTCCCGTCGTGATGTCCAGCTCGAAGCCGATCTTGCAGGTGCATTCGTGACTGCCGTTGGTGTTTAGGCAGTTCTGGTACTGGTCGCAGAGATGAGTACCCTCTACGCACTCGTCGATGTCTGAAATGGTTGATGCAATTAATACTTGACGTATCAGTCTCGTTTCACTATTACTTTTGACATGAAAATGACAAATTCAACGTTTATGAAAAGACTAGCGGCCCGCCCTCGCTTCGCTTCGGTGTAGAGCTGAAGTGTAGACTACAGTTTTCGTTCTCAGGCTTGTATTATACACTTGCTTGCATGTAAAGTCTCAGCCCGATCGGTTTAAAATTGACAAAGTTTCAGTCCCTATTTTATCCCCTTGGGGTAGAATTGATCAAAATCCTTTCTTAGCGGATGCCTACGTCTCATCTACCTGCATGTCAAATTTCAGCCCGATCCGTCCAGTGGTTTGGGCTGTGCGTTGATTGATCACTATGTCAGTCAGTCAGTCACCTTTGAGTTTTATATATATAGATAAATTTTTATTTACTTCAAAGCACAGTCGTAAATGTAAAAACCTGCGCAGACGAAGGACTTTAGTTCGCGGACTGTTTTGTCCGCCAAAATAGATCGTTTGCAACCGCATCGAGTGACGCACACGAGGGATTAAAAGTACCGTCAAAAAGCCCCCCGAACAACCAAGGACACTGAGAGATAGGACAGGACAAAAGTACGGCGGAATCCCCGAAATAAATAAAACTCATGTGACTATATATAGCGCGCATCTCTAGTTTTCCTACGCGATGTTGGCTGAACGTCCGCGATGCGCGTCCATTGTGTTACCTGCACTGACACGGCCACAACCAATCAGAGCGCTTCCCGCCGAAGCGCCAGCATCGGACCGCGATCCGCGCGCCCCTCAACCAATCGGAGCGCTTCCCGCCAATGCGCCCGCGTCGGACCGCGTAGAGATGTGCGCGTTTAGATATTAGTGAAATCGATGTAAAATAATTCTCAGCCGATGCGTGTATCGATACCAAGTGAATGTCAGTCTAACTATTATCGTTGTATCACAGGATGCGATGCGATACAAAATACGATAGATGCGCGTTTTGTGTGTGTGTCTGTTCAATTCATGAATCATGACTTGGAAATATAATTGAAACCATAATTTACTTGTCGGCGTGGTAACTGAAAATATTGAATGTTAGCAAAATTATTACCTAAAAAATTGCACTCAGAACGTAGGTTTTGAACTCAGTCCAGTGACACAAACTTACTGTGCCGGTGGCAATAATTTGAACTACAATTTATCCATAGCATTACATTTTTATGGCATATTTGTTAACCACTAGCGACATCTCCACCGGCACAGATAAATTTGCGGCAATGTAGCTATAGTAACGTTGACAAAAACTAGATGACATCGGCATCCAATCGTATCGGATGCGCGCATCCAAACCTAGTATCGTTATTCTAAAAACGCCCACCCATACAGCGAACATTGGTCCGAAATGCCCTTCGATCCGATTTCAAGGGATGAACCCAGTATTCTCTATATTTTATTATAATTTATGCTACGAGTAATTACTACAACACAACGTACTTATTCTAAGAATATTTAATTCCATGGCGTGCGTTTTTCTAAATTTTCGGTTTACAAATATTCGCACATCGTGTGCGTCAAGTTCTTTTTTCGGCGGACTTTTTTCACAACTCGGGGACTTTTGTCCTACGCGAAAAATTCCCTCGTCTGCGCAAGAAATTATTCCGACAAAGTTATTACCATTTTGTAATGATCTTTCTTATTGTAAGTTAAGCTTTGTCAAGTAAAGAATACTATTCTTCTTTTGGAATTCAAGTAAGTTTAACCGCTTATTTTATAAATTAATCGTATTGTATCATTACGTAAAAGTATAACTTTTTGTAATCCATTTTATTATGGACATGTGTTTAAATACATTTTAAGGCTTAAAAAAGGGTACAAAATATTTTCCTTTAGGTGATAGGTAAATAAAATTATTTCGTTAATCAACCTGATATCAACTGTATTATTTACCTTCACATATCGAAGTTCCTTGCTTCAAGCGCATCCCATCCGGGCAAATCTGACTCTTTCTGAAACATAATAATGTATAAATCCACAGAAAATATTACTAGAAAAAAATCCACGCGGACCAGGCAGCAGACGGGACTCGAACCCACACCCTTCGCTATCCGGGCGAATGCACTGACCATTATCCTACCGCGGCCTAGACGGCCGTGCCGAATTCTTTCTAGCCTTTCCGGAACTGCAAGGCATCGGGTTCGAGTCCCGTCTGCTGCCTGGTCCGCGTGGATTTTTTTCTAGCAATATTTTCTTAGGATTTAAATATCGAGCAGTAACATGTTCAAAAAATAAAAATTATGACTAAAGATTGTAATTAATCGCCACTTTTAATTTTGTCACTATCAGCTACGTTTTAATTTGTGTGTTATGCAAACAGCAGCTCGGCTGACGCGGCTGTGTTGTATCAGTGGGCGTCGTATTTTTTATGTCAAAAGTGTGGCAACAAAGTATAATCTGATTCAAATAAGAAAAGGAAAGTCAATGAGCTCCATCTGTCAAATGTCGCTTGAAAAGTATGGTTTGCAAAAAAATCTGGGCACACTTTTTTAGCACTCAGCTGATTCTAGAATAAAAACCGAACATTTCTAAATAAACAATCACAAATGTTGATAATTAATATTAGTTGCTTTTTTTTTCATTTATTTAGCTTTGGCTATGAATGGTTGATAACCTAAATCGTCAAACAAATGTCACTTTATGTTGCGTTCAAAAACTCGATTTAAAACTTTCGTTTACATATAGGATGCATGTTCGCATGTGACCTGCATGATTATTCATAACTTCTCCGGCGGTAATCAGAGTTGAGCGAAATTGAAGAGCTAGATTCTGATTAATGCTTTTTTTTTGTTGTTCACCATAGACTATGTCTATAAGCTATGGTCTAAGCGTCTGCTTTCGATATAAAAAATATCACTCACCCCGTTGCCTACCCTGAGTATTATTGTGATGTGGTATTTTGTAAGATAGGGGTTCCTAACGGGCGCTCCAATTCGAGCGGCAAATCCGATATACCCTATCTCTCCTAAAGCAGTATCTTCGTAAAGATAGCTGACAATGAATAAAGCGTAAATAAAAAAAGCCAAAAAGTTCAGTAAACAAATAGTAAAATAATACCTGAGGAGCTTGATGGCGCAGGTGGCTAGCGCGTTCGGCTGCGATCGTTGAAGTTAAGCAACTTTCGCAGTGGTCGGTCATTGGATGGGTGACCAAAATTTACTATCTCGAGCTCCTCCGTGCTTCGGAAGGCACGTTAAGCCGTTGGTCCCGGCTACATTTGCAGTCGTTAGCACCCACCAATCCGCACTGGGCCCGCGTGGTGGGTCATGGCAATCTCCCTATTCCATCCATAGGGAAGGCCTGTGCCCCAGCAGTGGGGACATTAATAGGCTGATGATGATGATGATGAAAATAATTACCGCCAGGTGCTTTTCAGCTTGCAATCATACTGCCCTAACTGGTTGATGCAAACTTGATCAGGTCTGCATATGTCAACGCTGTCTACACACTCGTCTATATCTGGGAACAGATAAAATTAATATTTAAATATTTATAAATAATATAAAAAACGATGGGTTGCATTCCGGGAGTGCCGGCAGAAGTGAAAACTTGAATAATAACGTTGTGCGTTTTTGATATTTTGGAATGGTTAGGGAATAATTTTACACGAATTGCTTTAATTATCAGTATAAAAGTACTTACTATCATTTATGTGGTAGAATATAATATTTATTTATTGCGCTATCGTACATAAACATGACAATTTATATTACATTAAATAGTTTTTCTCTCAGAAAAATTAACTTACATGAATCACGTTTAAGCGCACTTAATCTATTGTAAAGAAATCAACTTACATGAATCACATTTAAGCGCACCTAGCGACATCTATTGTAAAAAAATTGCATTTTCTTCGCAATAAAGCTGCCACTTGGACATCTTAGACAGAGACTTATTATTATAATACGGTAAAATAAAATATTACTATGTTTCGACAATGTATTAAAAATCAACAACCTTTCCAATTTTATTGTGTGTCATAATGCGATCAGCCCACGTGTTTAACCTGACGCGAGTTTAACATTTTTTACCCATACAAACAAAAGTGTACAAGGCCACTAAAGAAGTTTTCACTTCAATAAATATTTCTAATACTTACACCATTTAGCTTAGCTCCAAAGTAAGCACTGTAAGGATTGTGTTATGGGATACTAGGGTGACTGATAGAATACAATACTGATACGTATACGGGGGAATATATATACGGGAATGAAGACAAAAAAACCGAAATATTAGGGGTTTTTTGTATGAACCTTCCTTCTGAGGTTTTAAACAAAATCCCACAATTTGTTACGATTCCGATAAGTGTGCGTTGCAGTAGAGACTTTCATACAAATTATACTGAACGGCTCCAGGTGATATAGTGACGATACCTTTCCGAGTTGAAATGTCTGTAGCGATCATCGCGCGTATATGTGACAATCATTAGGTCCAATTACGAAGAACCAATTGAACACAACTCTCTATAGAAAGAAAGAAAGTATATACATTTATTTTGACCCAAACAACAAGACAGTAAATACAAGATTTTGAGCAACAAAAAAATACTAGAAAAAAGAAAAATTATCGTAAACAATAGAATAACAACACAAAAAAGTAACACACACAATTTTTCATAATTGTCGATACCACGGTGATTTATTCTGTTGCTATCTCGCGGCTGCGCCAAAATAGGTTGTCAATTCAGCATGTTGTCAGGTTTGTGGGACCTGACGCTGATTTTCAATTGACACCTATGGTTATTTTGACAACTGACTATCGGAAAAAAAAGAAATATCTTTATATATATAATTCTTCTGTGAGTGTGTATGTCACTGAACTTCTCTTAAACGACTGGACCGATTTTGATGAAATTTTTTTTGTGTGTTCAAGGGGATCTGAGAATGGTTTAGATTCACAAAGACGTAAAGACAGGACAACGTCTGTCGGGTCCGCTAGTAAGAATATAAACTATAAACTGTTGCTTATTAGATTCAGAGTGTCACAGTAAATTTTCCGTACTCATAAAATGTAGTTCTTAAATAGCCATTAAAATTTACTTGACTTAGGTATCTAATCAAAAATTTACCAACCTTCACATCTATTAGTGTTCGGATTTATCTTGAATCCTGGAGGGCAGTGCTTGGACACCTTGTCTTGGCAGTGGAAACCGCCCCGGGTGTTGATGCAGAATTGAGAGAGGTGGTTGCAGTCATCTTTCCTGATAGCGCATTCGTCCACATCTATTCATAAAATAAACGGACATACTAAAATTACAGCTCTCTAGTGCCAGCAGCCTACAAGAAAAACTACGGACGGACAGACATTAAAACAGACGGACATGACGAAACTATAAGGGTTCCGTGTCAGGATTACGGAGCTGTGGAAAGCTAAATCAACCTCTTCCAGATAACGAAAGATTGCTGGTCGAATTCCGTCTGAACGAAACCTGACCTGAGTGGAATTCTTTTTCTAGGAAATATTTCTTTACATTGAAACATTCAGCACTCACTGAGGAGCTCAATGGCGCGGGTGGTTAGCATGTTCGGCTGCGATCGTTGAAGTTAAGCAACTTTCGCAGTGGTCGGTCATTGGATGGGTGACCAAAAATCTTCTACCTCGAGTTCCTCCGTGCTTCGGAAGGCACGTTAAGCCGTTGGTCCCGGCTGCATTGCAGTCGTTAGCACCCGCCAATCCGCACTGAGCCCGCGTGGTGGGCCATGGCCCATTCTCCCTATTCCATCCATAGGGAAGGCCTCTGCCCCAGCAGTGGGGACATTAATAGGCTTAAATGATGATGATGATTCAGCACTTATATGCCTATAATAACACCAGTTATATTACCTTCACATTCCTCGTTGTAACCAGATCTAAACCCAGGCGGGCATCGGTCGTCGGTGGGTGGTTTCACCGAAGTGACGAGATTGACAGGATCGCCGGGCACCCCACCACACTTGTATCCCCCCACTGTGTTCTCGCAGATGTATAAAGGGCAAGGTGGGCGGGGAAGAGCGCATTCGTTGATGTCTGGGAATTGGTAATGTATTTGTTGATAAGGAGCACGAAAGCGCAGTAGTTTGAACTGCGAATGTGGACCGCTCCGTCCACAATAAATAATAAATAAATATTTCCAACACTCACATCAATTAGCTTAGCCCCAAGTAAGTACAGTAGGCTTGTGTTATGGGATACCCTTAACGGATAGAATACATACACTGATACATATTTATGTATATTTATATAGAAAAACTTAATTAACATCACTAACAGACTGCGCCACAGGTTATCAGTATCGCACCGAACGAACAAAAATGCAAGAATACCTGAGTAGGTGTGTTATGAGTATAAGCAAAGTGAGACCTAAGATAGTAGACTGTAAGGGCAGCGATTGAGCACTAATACGATAGGGACAGCGACACAAACACTCACACAGACGAATCTACTGTGAACATACTCACTACACTAGTACAGTTTTCGCGGTAAATGGATACGAGTTTGAATTTTATACATTAACTAGCGGCCTGCCCTCGCTTCGCTTCGGTGTACAGCTGTAGTGTAGACTACAGTTTTTGTTCTCAGGCTTGTATTATACACAATGACATTCATCTATGATTATTCTTATACCTGCATGCAAAGTCTCAGCCGATCGGTTTAAAATTGACAAAGTTTCATACAAACTTTCATTCCCTATTTTATCCCCTTGGGGGTAGAATTGATCAAAATCCTTTCTTAGCGGATGCCTACGTCATAACATCTACCTGCATGCCAAATTTCAGCCCTTAGTGGTTTGGGCTGTGCGTTGATAGATTACTATGTCAGTCAGTCAGTCACCTTTGAGTTTTATATATATATAGATATTAGGATAAAGCAAACGACCGTGTTAACGTTCGTGACGTCACCAACGTATTAACACCGTTCACCACTTTATTATTATGTAACAGTGTCGCCAAATTGAAAAATTACTACAATATGAGATAACTCATGAAATCACTTGCCATTAATCAGTCATCAGATCTCTAATCAGTCATTACGAACGTCTTCAAGCTGCTTTGGCCGTGCTTCGGTACCTAACCAAGAACTTATTAACTCGAGCTCCTCCGTGTTTCGTTAAGCTATTGGTTCCGGCTGCCGTCATTAGCATCCACCAAGGCGCAAGGTTACATAGTGGTTTTTGGCCCCTTCTCCTAATTCAGTCTATAGTCCCAGTAGCTGGGGTATTAATAAGCTGGTGATGAGAATAATAAGAATAAAGAGGAGCTCGATGGCGCAAGTGGTTAGCGCGTTCGGCTGCGATCGTTGAAGTTAAGCAACTTTCGCAGTGGTAGGTCATTGGATGGGTGACCAAAAAAAAAAATTACTATCTCGAGTTCCTCTGTGCTTCGGAAGGCACGTTAAGCCCTTGGTCCCGGCTGCATTTGCAGTCGTTAGCACCCGCCAATCCGCACTGGGCCCGCGTGGTGGGTTTATTCCATCCATAGGGAAGGCCTGTGCCCCAGCAGTGGGGACATTAATAGGCTGATGATGATGATGATGAGAATAAGCTCGATAACGTAGTTTGCTCGATAAAATTGTCACGATATAGTGTTCCCCTCCATTTCAGTCAATAGTTGTGGATTTGTAAAAGCAGCATTTTGGAAAAGAAAATGGTCATCTCGGGTCACTCACCGTCGCATGCATTGTTTTTAATGTTTCTCGTGAACCCAGGTGGACACTGCCCTATTTCTGGGCTTTTATTATGTTTTGTGGGTATGCACCGGTATGATCCTTGGATGTTTTGGCACTGTGTACCGGCGAGGCAAACTGGGGGATCCAGATTGCACTCATCGATATCTGGAAGAAAGTTAACATAAATAATAATTTAATTTATTAAGACCATTAGGTATTATAAGTTCATACAATAATATATAAGCAAGCAAAAATCTAGGAAATAGAGTCTGTGCGGAAAGAGAATGGGATTTAGATTGGAGGGCGCTGTAGTGCTTTTCAACCGTATTTGTAAGGTTTTACCCCTTTCAGACATGATTAGATACAAAAAACCGTAAGAAATCACAACAACAAACAAATCCGTATCAATACAAAACTTTGACGTCTTACAGATTGCTGGGTTTGATTGCTAAATAAAAATCTTAATTTTAGTTCCGTTTTTCGCCACGCCCATTCTCTTTCCGCACAGACTCTAATAACGTTTCTTTTTTAGTATATCTTTCCATTTGTCCTCCTATCTTACTATTTCATTTGCTAGTCCTTAGACGTAAAAAGGGTTTAATAGTTTACCTTGACAAGATTTCCCATCAGGCATGAGCTCGTACCCTCTACGGCAAGAGCATTTCACTTCTAAGCCATTGTCGTTACATTTGTGCTGACAATGATTACGGGGCTTGCACCTATTCTTCACAATCTAGAAAAATCAAGAATCATCAAAGCCAAACTGATTATTCAGTTTATAAAAGATGAAGATTAGAGAGAATATCAAATTAATAAAACTCTTATTTGCTACATGAGGAAAAGAATAGAAAAGAAAACTGTACATAAAAGTATCTATTAAGTTTCTCAAACATATTTAAATTATCTATCTATATTTAGATAAAATCTATGATACATCAACAAAATAAAACATCATTTGATAACGGATGGCTAATGGAGTTGCTGTAGTATTATGTTGAGGCAGGGCCCTAGTTGGCCTATTTCTTCAGTTGATATTTTATGTAAATATGTTGGTAAGGCCAATAAAATTTCTTTCTTTCTCCCTTCTTCTTGCTTTTACTTCTCCTTCTCACCGAAATATTTCTTTTGAAACTGATGCAAGTCACTAGATGTACCTATGTATGTAGTTTAAAGTGCACACTAGTAAGTTGCGAGTGAATGGGGTACCTCTATACAATTCCTGCCGTCAGCCATGAGTTTGAATCCAGGATTGCATTCGCACTTATAGGAGCCTGGCACTGGGATACAATGGTGGGCGCACAGCTCGTTAGGAGCATAATCCTCGCAGAGGGAGGGCAGTACTGAAAACAAATTAACAATCAGCTAATGAACTTCACGTCACTAACATTATAACATTATAGCTATAACGGAATTGTAACCATGTACCTTGTTTTTTATGAGTCTCCGATATTTCGCCACTGATTGTGCGCCATGATCACGACGCTTGCAACACTGCCGAAATATCGAAGACTCATAAAAAACAAGGTACATGGTAACAATCCTGTTAATAGCTATAACTTCACGACTCCGTATAATAAATAAAACAGGGAAAATAACTGCCATTGCTGAGTTTCTTGACGATTCTTCCCAGTACAAGGTCTCCCGCCGTAGATTTACAAACTGATAGCGTAGCTTCTAGACATTCATGAGTGCTTGTAACAGCCTAAACTGAATAATCAATTTTTAATTTTGATCTTGAATTCAATTTAGACTGTATGAACATCAATATAATAGATAAAATAGAGGATTTCATTAGCGGACATGCAGTCGTCTTTGAGCAAAGTGAAAACAAAAGCGTCGTTGCAAGTTATCAAAGTGTGGTTAATCGTAAATCTGCTGTACCAGCTTTGGGCATGGATACTATCATCAGATAAAAATATGAGAGTCTTATAAAAAACTAAATCGTGTTTTTCAAAGTGAAATCAAAAGGAATCTTTAAACCAATATGCTTGATTGACTCGGTATAAATAGAATTTGCGTCAGCGTTTTAAGCAATAAAAATCAAAAATCATTTATTCAATTTAGGCTGTTACAAGCACTCATGAATATCTAGAAGCTACGCCATCGGTTTGTAAATCTACGGCGGGAGCCTTGTACTGAGAAGAACCGGCAAGAAACTCAGCAAAGGCTGTTTTTTTTCTCCCTGTTTTATTATTTACACAGTCGTCAAGTTAAAAAATGACTTCAGAGATGATTCATGAAGTCACCTTTCATAATGTGAAATTATACATTAATTGTTCACCTGCATTTTGATTGATGTGTCATACAGTATAATTACAAATAGTGTTATTTATATTAGGTGTAACTAGACATTTACATCTTAAATATCAAAGTAGTTAGGGCGGACTCATCTCCGCTGGCAGCACCCGTTCACGAGCATGATGCATGAGCCATCGCTTCGCTCAACCATATTTTAGGGAACGCCGACCCGCCGCCTCACACGACACCACTGAAGCACGGTTATATTATCTATACAGTATTCTATCTTCATACAAACGGTCGGAAAGCGTGTCATACCTACGCCACTCGAGTTCGCGCGGCACCCGGTGGGCATCCAGTCGCGAACGCGCCGCAGCGACGATCGAAGGGTGTGAATTGTTTTTTAAGCAGAGCCGTGCTTAAGCGGCACGTTTAAACGTGCGATTTGTATTGTGAATATTTGATTGAATTAAGTAGATACCTCCATATTTTAATATGGCAAAGAGCAATTGTCGATATTGTGCTGTTTTTGGTTGCTTGAACTCTTCAATATTTTTTTTTATACGAATGCGTAATTATTATACTATTAAATTTAATAACAAAGCTTTTCGTACGTCTCAGTCGAGGTGTAAATATTTTTCTGTCTCAAATCTACATTTTTTTTTATTAAATATTACACTTAAAATAACATGTATTTTATGTAACACTTCCTAATTCATGCACAACATTTTTTTTACATATGAAATAAAATATTTACAATCACAAAACTAGAAAGAAACTCAATTATGTAGATGAAATTAAAATACTGTAGGCGGGCAGCCCTACCGCGTAGATACGTCACGCTCGGCCGTAGGCAGTTATTTCAAGGACAGGGCCGAGTCCCAATACTGTTTAGTTATTATTACCATGACCGAAGAGACTTTTAAGAAAACATGACTACCCATAACCACCTATATTAACCACAACTTATTTACTTAGAATTTAAAGTAATTTATTTGTAGGACACTGTAAACATTTACAAAGCAAAAACAATGGAGAAACCATGACCACGACGTTTTGTCATTCATATGTTCTTAAATAGTCTGATATTCTTCCTTAAGTAATCAACTTTAAATACAGCTTTTAAATTCAATAGAAGACAAGTATCGTCATTATGCTAAGGCAGGGTCCTGATTGACCACAAACCACAAAATGTAGTTAATCTTTTGTTTTTACCTATAAATATTGTCAAAATGTTATTTTTTGTATGTTCATTTGAAATGTATATGGCCAATAAAATGTCTCTCTCTCTCTCTCATGTTTACTTTCTGGAAATTTCGACATTACCATCATTATGTCCATACTAGACACTCTAGTGTACTAACCGATTTTCGAATACAAACACTGCTATGTGAATCTTTAGCATTATAACGGTTAACAGAGGTTACTTAAAAACATATGTTAAGGGTATATAAGCCAGAATACTGTCAGATATTTACTGCTATGTTAAAATTATATTTCTATGCTACATACCCCTCGAAGGCTTTTTAGTGGTAGTATTCGGTTCTTCGCTGTGTTCCTCTGGAGGTTCCTGGGCTGCTTTCTGTAATATAAAGAAAAAAATTGTGTGTGTCAGCTCCGGCGCACGACTGGAGTTTACTCCTTATGTTTGATAGTCTAACCAGACCCAAAAAGAGTTTATTTAACTTAAAAAAGATTAATGTCAATCCGTCATCTTTGTTTGTCAAAGTTGCGCGACATAGGATGCGCACCAAAAACGTAACGAGGTCATTCATCGATAGATTTTACTCCTCACATTTTTCTCATACCGGGCCCTTTATATATGCAAATCGATTCTTAAGGAGTAAACTCCAAACAAAGGATTTATCGATTTTTATTAGTGCTTTTTTTTGGAATATCGCCGATTGTTGATAGAACAATACATATAGGAAGGCGCAGGTATTTAGCGCGTTTGGCCCTCGATCGTGGAAGTTAAGTAACTTTCGCAATGATCGGTCATTGGATGGGAGATCAAACATTTATAATCTCCAACTCCGGGCTTCGGAAGGCACGTTAAATCGTTGGTCGCTGCATCTGCAGTCATCATCAGCCTATTAATCTCCTTACTGCTGGAGCACAGGCCTTCCCTATGGATGGAATAGGGAGATTGGGCCAAAACCCATCACGTGGGCCCAGTGCGGATTGGCAGGTGCTAACGACTGCAGATGCAGCGACCAACGGCTTAACGCGCCATCCGAAGCACGGAGGAATAGAAGAATTTTGGTCACCCATCCAACGACTGACCACTGCGAAAGTTGCTTAACTTCAACGATCGATTACCTTTAGCCTTACAGAATACAATAGTAAAATAACACTACCTTTTGATGGTGTTGTGTTCCTCTCGGTGAGTAAGGTTTCAGCGGGATAGGGGATTGTATCAGGATAGGCCGCTGCCTATCCCGTACCGCTGTGCGAGTGATATTCTTGGTATCGTAAGGTAGCCACCTGCAGTGCCGTCTTTGACCTATTGGAGGCCCTGGGCATAGTAGGATAATGGGGCCCCTACGACTTCCGTTTGGTGATTTAACAGGAACTAGGGACTTTGTATTTGATCTGAGGGGGTCCCCTATCGATCGCGGGGCCCTGGGCACTTGCCCAAAGTACCCACTGGGAAAGACGGGTCTTGCCACATGGATCTATTAATTCAAACTTTGCCCGATAATCTAAACGCAGTCGCGTGTTTAAGAACTTCGAAGGTAATTTCAAACATTGCCCGAAAATCTAAACGCAGTCGCGTGTTTTAGGAACTTGAAATGGAATTGGTGCGAACCGCAACTCACTTGTCGTTACAGCGAAGGCTTAGGTCCGTTGTCACTATTTGGATGGTGGACCCTAAAATAGTTACATTACTTCAGCGGCCAGCAAAAGAGGCATTAATGGACGAACGTATGTCCTTCAACGCCTAGTTGCGGCCAAGCCTTATATAGTACTTTTCTCAAATAATGTGTGGAAATTAAAGCTAAGTTGTACCTAGGCGGAATTTATCATTTTAAAATACAATTACGTACTTTTCAAAATCGACGAAATACAGAATGCGCTAGCATCACTATATAGTTTGTGAATACAACACTCACTCATTTGTTTTTTTCTTTAATGCAGAGCTTTTAGTCAGTTTGGAAATTAAATAAAACCTTTAATAAGTTACCTATCTTACGGAGTAGATATCGTTCCTTTTTTTAAATTACACAACAGATATGAGTATAAATGCAATTTATTAGGCCGCTAAACACGACAGATATGGATTTTCGTACAACATTTGCCAGCCGCTGCTCGGATGTATGTGCAGCGGCTACATAGCAAGTACAGCAAAGGAAAATTGCTCAAATTGGCCCAAATGCACAAAAAATATAGACATACACGGTAATTTTTGGCGTAATTTATAATTTAATTTACAGTCATTAGATTTCAACGGACACCTTTGTATAATATATTTACTTTAATAAAAAGGACTTTTAATTTTACCGGTTTGGAAAACATACGAATCATTTTTAATGGCTATGGGTGTAGTAACATTCAACCAAAGACTAATCGAAGTTGTTTATATTAATTTATAGTCAGTCACCTGTATACTATATTATATAAATAGATTTGTTTTTATATATAACATAAAAACAAATCTATTTATATATTTTGTAAAGATCGTTTTTTTTTTATTATTACACTGTGGTATTAATATCCACAACTATATTATCATTTTCACTAGATGCATATGTGCTCAGACAATTATTATAGATGGTAGACGACATCATAAAGTATATTGCCATACATTTTTCGCCAAACACCTCCATAAACACATTATAATCTGTATATATGTTAGACTTTAAGGTCTATCTATGGGCCTACGTTCCCTGACTATAAATTAACTAAAAATCTAAAATATGGTTATCTTAAAAACATAACAATAATACTGAAGCTACTGAATATATGGCTATAGAACCTAAATCTCTTAGCTTTCTTTGGTTAACGAGAGTTTAAAATTTCTCTGTAATCTGTGGCTCATTCACAATCATCACACAGTTTCTGTCACAGAGTACCTTATTTTAACCGGAAATGACACCTGATTTGAAAAGTTACTCTTATGCATTAACTTTAAAAACAGGCAACTATCTGTTAATCTACACGCTCTATATACCTGAATCTAATCCATAATTTCGGTACTTGGCTTGATTTCCCCAGTTTACTATATAACTTATTTGTTTTTTATTATTTTAATATGTTCAGTGTTTATGGTTTATAGAAGTTCTCAGGGGTGTCCGTCAATAATATTCGTTTCTACAGTAATTTATATATAATTTCGAATCTAGGAAACAATTTTTCATGATTATTGGTCTTTAGGCCAAACATGTATGGAAGCTGAGCAATCTCCTTTGATTTATCGCGAGGAAAGTTGTCAAAATAATGCTCAAATTTCCAAGCATGTTTGAGAAAACGTACCTTACAGCAGGCCTCGTAAGCGTCTCCAGCCAGCAACTCCTCAGGACTGTTGCTCCTCGCTTTGGAAGCACACACAGAATCGCCCAGAGTCGAACCAGCGGCTTTACCTCTCAAACACTCTGTGCAACAACTCTGTTAGGAAAAACAAATGTGTTTCAAAGCTTCGTCTAATAAAAAAATATCATTAGATCATGGGAGTGTGAGAACAAGTTAAATGTAAGGCTCTAGATCACACAGTGGGCTATTTTCACCAATGTTCTGCTAAATACTATCCGTAAATGGAATGCTCTACCTGCTCACGTGTTCCCTCCTTCTTACAACCTGGGATCCTTTAAAAGAGGCGTGAAGAAGCAACATGCAGGCCAGCAAGGTGAGGATGACTGGTGTGGCAGGTAGATCGGCTGTACCAGTTATCTGCACGTCTGGACCTCACCGACACTTAACATCAGGTGGGATGGAGTCGTTTGTCGGACTTAACTATATATGTAGACTAATCAAAATATTTTGTCCGCACGTTTTTAATTTTATATTATGTTAAAGTATAAAGATTTCTGTTTTTTAAACGTGGAGACCTGTAATTGGCCTTCTGTTACTAATTTTTCCTCAACTATGTCTGTTTTATGAGCTGTTGGTCTCCCAAAAATTAAATAAATAAATACAAAAAAAATACCGAACCGCGCACGCGTTCCTTCCTACAATCTGGGGTTTTTAACAGTCCGCGATATGGCATCATTGAACGCATTCTACCGACTATACTAGGCGACTATTCCGAGGAGTTATTCTCCCTTATCCCTACATCACCTTTTCTTCAGAGGACCACGCGCACTGACCTACGTTGCCACCGACTTACTGTGGCTACTATTCCTATACGAACAAAGAGGTGACTCATTTCTTTTCGTAGTATTCGTAAGTGGAATTCTTTGCCCTCCTTCCTACAATCTGGGCTCCTTTAAGAGAGGTGTGAAGAAGCATTTATGCAGGCCGGCAAGGTGAGGATGATTGGTGTGGCAGTTTATAATTGCTGTACCAGCGCCTTTGGACTTCATAACCACTTAACATCAGGTGGGGTAGAGTCATTTGCCTACTTGGCTATAAAAAAATGAAAATTACATCACAAATTCACAACGTAATCTCAGAATATTTGCTTCCATAACGTGCGCTTCTCGTAGTGACATATTTGGTTATTATTGATAAGTCAATTTGAATAAATTATAACATCTGAAAAAAAAACTTGCTATGTTGTATTGTATTTCAGCAATGAGTAAAGCCCATAGAGTAAATGTTCTAAGGTAAAACCAGAGTATATTGTAACAAGGTGTAAACACTACAGAAAAAGCGTCTAGTCTGGCATGTATTGTCTGCCACGTCGGTTATCTTTGCTAGTGGAATCTACAATGTACTATCAGCCAATTTCATTCCTGACCCACCATAAGTTTATTTTCTTACAACCATTGCAAAACAATACCTTTCGCTTAAATGTACGTATCCCTGAAAACAAACTTGTGGTTTTTTGAAAAATCAAATTGTATTTAACTAATATAAAAAAAATGTAGTTCAATTTAAATTAAAAAATATAACAATATTCAGTAATTCATTGCATATTCATATTCATATTATTATCTTCATCATCATCAGCCTATTAATGTCCCCACTGCTGGGGCACAGGCCTTCCCTATGGATGGAATAGAGAAATTGGGCCATGACTCACGCCGGCCCAGTGCGGATTGACGAGTGCTAATGACTGCTGATGCAGCCGGGACCAACGGATTAACGGTCCTTCTGAAGAACGGAGGAACTCGAGATAGAAGATTTTTTGGTCACCTATCCAATGACCGACCAATAGATTTATTAATAATTCTGACTAGTTTTAAAGCATTACAATTTTCGTTATTGGTTTGTTCTTTTTTTGTAGTCACTTCGATATATTAAAGGTCCTTCAGAAAATGTAAAAAAAATATGTAATGAAATTTTTTCCTTGATAAACATTTTAATACAAATAAATAATAGATCATCATGATATCATCATATCAGCCGTACGACGCCCACTGCTGGACATAGGCCTTCCCCAAGGATCTCCACAACGATCGGTCCTGCGCTGCCCGCATCCAGCGTTTTCCCGCGACCTTCACCAGATCGTCGGTCCACCTTGTAGCGGGTCTTCCCACTGAGCGTCGTCCGGCACGCGGTCGCCATTCGAGAACTTTACCGCCCCAACGGCCATCGGTTCTCCTCGCTATGGGTCCTGCCCACTGCCACTTCAGCTGGGCTATTCTTCGAGCTATGTTGGCGACTTTAGTTCTCCTACGGATCTTGTCATTTCTGACTTGATCACACAGGGAAACACCAAGCATAGCTCTCTCCATTGCCCGCTGGGCGACCTTGAGCCGTCCTATGAGACCCATAGTAAACGACCACGCCTCACTACCATAGGTCATCACTGGCAACAAACACTGGTTAAAGACTTTCGTCTTAAGGCACTGAGGCATTTTGGACGCGAAGATGTTCCGCATCTTCCCGAACGCTGTCCATCCGAGTTGGATTCGACGAGAGATCTCTTTCTCGAAGTTGGACTTACCTAACTGGATTGTGTGTCCTAGGTAAACGTAGTGGTCAATAACTTCAAGTGTAACGTTCCCAACATTAACTGGAGCGGGTGCAACATGGGCGTTGGACATGATTTTCGTCTTGTCCATGTTCACCCACTCGCTGGGATGCGTCACCGAGATGCTCGAGCATGGTGTTCTGGTCTTCCAAGGTCTCCGCCATTAGGACTACGTCATCGGCAAATCGAAGGTGTGTCAGGTACTCGCCGTTGATGTTAATGCCGAGTCCTTTCCAGTCCAGAAGCTTAAAAATATCCTCCATCGCAGCAGTGAACAGTTTCGGAGATATAACGTCTCCCTGTCTCACCCCTCGCTGTAGTTGGATAGGATTAGAGCTCTGATTCTGTACTCGGACCGACATAGTGGCGTTTTGGTATAGGTACTTTAACACTTCGATATCCTGTAGTCCACTTGGCACCTCTGGAGAGACTGCAGCACCGCCCAGGTCTCGATCGAATCGAAGGCCTTCTCATAGTCCACAAACGCTAAGCAAAGTGGCCGATTTTACTCTTCGGTCTTCTGTATAATCTGCCGCATCGTATGGATGTGGTCTATGGTACTAAAGCCTTTTCGGAAACCGGCTTGTTCGGGAGGCTGGAAGTCGTCGAGGTTTGCGAGCGAGACGACTAATACTAGACGAGAAATAATACATTATTTTGTAAATATGGTCATGTTGTGAAACTCTTTGAATAGCTAAACATTTATTGAATGAAGTTTTCTTCTGGTTGTGTTATGAAAATTTGAGTTACGAAATAAAAAAAATAAAAGAAACAAATTGGACTCGACAGATTTTTCCGCCTTCCGAGGACAATATTGATGTTACATTATTTGGAGATTTGCCCATACGCTTAGATATCCTCATTCCTCCTCCTCTATAAGTTTGCAAACATATTTCTCAATATGAAAAAATCAAAAGAGTTTCTAATTACGTTTACGATTTAAAAGGTGATTTCGAAATTCAAACTACTATTGCAATTTATCTATAAGATGATCTATTGCTTTAAAAAGATGTTCAAATTTGAATGATCTTTGATCCATATTTGAACAGTTTCCTTGTTATTAGAAGGTCCTTAGTACGCATTCTATCATAACAAAAAAATATCAATCAATTTGTTCGACAATAAGTACCAACAGTAATTTGCGGGACTTTCTTCATAAATAAAATACTAAGTGCAGATAAGAGACTTATGACAAAATCAACAAAGCCATTCAGGTAAACGCTCAGAATACGCCGTCTCCGTTAACTCCGTCTGTGTGCACTATTTACTGAGATAGGTATGTAAACACAGATAGCTACGCTATCAGAAACGCATACGATAAGAAATCCCCAGTTACCTAGTTATTTGAATGTTCGGTGTAGTAATACTTTCGCTTATGGTTGAGCGATAAAAACCAACCATTTCGGCATAGTTATTCTGTACCCCTAGCACGAACCATTATCGAATTCGAATAGTTTGCAAACCGAAATGCCAATGTCAAATTTTGTATGGAAACTTGAACAGCAGCGGCACAAAGGACGAAACAAGTACTAAAAAAAACGACGGGTTGGGAAAACTTGAATATGGTATGGTTAGGGAATAATTTTGCACGAATTGCTTTAAATATCAGTATAAAAGTACTATCATTTATGTGGTAGAATACAATATTTATTTATTGCACAATCGTACACAAACACGACAATTTATATTACATTAAAAAAGTTTATATCTCAGAAAAATGTCAATGTCAAAACTTGTATGGAAACTTGAACAGCAGCGGCACAAAGTACGTAATGAGAACTAAAAATCAGTACACATTTGACAATGACATTTCGGACTCGCAAACGATATGAATTCGATATTGGTTCGTGCTAGGGGTACTGTAAGATGCAATCACACTTACGATCTCATTCATTCGGATTTCTGACAAATGTCAAATATCTAATACTGGCTACTTCTACAGACGTAGTGACATTTTGCCGTGTAATGGTGTAATGCATAGAGTCTGTGCGGAAAGAGAATGGTATTTAGATTGGAGGGCGCTGTAGTTGCTGTTCTACCGTATTTGTAAGGTTTTACCCCTTTTAGACATGATTAAATACAAAAAACCCGCAAGTAATCACAACAACAAACAAATCCGTATCAATACAAATCTTTGACGTTTTACAGATTGTTGGGTTTGATTTCCAAATAAAAATCTTATTGTTAGTTCTGTTTTTCGCCACACCCATTCTCTTTCAGCACTGACTCTACGATCTAATTTATTCGGATTTCTGAAAAATATCAAATATCTAATACCGGCTACTTCTACAGACGCAGTGACATTTTGCCGTGTAATGGCGTAATGCATATCAAACTAATGTCTAAAATGGCAACTACCGAAATTGGAAATCATATTTTATTTTACAGAATCGCCTTACTGTACCCTTAGCACAAACCAATATCGAATGTGAATAGTTTGTGAGTCACAAATGTCATTGTCAAATGCGTACTGATTTTTGAAGTGAAAACTTCTTTAGCGGCGTTGTACACTTTTTTGTATGGGTAAAAAATGTTCAACTCGCGTCAGGACACGTGGGCTGATTGCGTCATGACACGTGGCCTGATCGGGGATCTGACGAAAACAATAAAATTGTGTGTGGAAAGGTTGTTGACTTTCAATATATTGGACGGAACATAGGAATATTTTATTTTGTCGTATTTTAATAATAGGTCTCTATCTAGGATGTCCAGGTGGCAGATTTATTGCGAAGAAAATGCATTTTTTTTACAATAGATGTCGTTAGGTGCACTTAAATGTGATTCAGGTAAGTTGATTTTTTTACAATAGATGACGCTAAGTACGCTTAAACGTGATTCATGTAAGTTGATTCTTCTGAGAGATAAACTTTTTTAATGTAATATAAATTGTCATGTTTGTGTACGATAGCGCAATCAATAAATATTGTATTCTACCACAAAAATGATAGTACTTTTATACTAATAATTAAAGCAAACGTTAATATTGAAGTTTTCCCAACCCGTCGTTTTTTTTAGTTCTTGTTACGCCCATTGTGGCGATGCTGTTCAAGTTCCATACAAAATTTGACAATGACATTTCGGACTCACAAACTATTCGATTTCGATCTTGGTTCATGCTAGAGGTACTGATCTGAGATTTTTGTCTTCTATTTGCATTTCATGTGGCTACTCGTATTTGCTATTTGTAAATTTGACAGGAGTCTCTCCTTTACATTTCCAATACAGCATTATAGCTAGTAAAGATATACTGCTGAACAACGAACGCAATAATAGATGATTGATTTTAAGTGTTACCTTAGTAAAACCAGATGCAGAGTCGCAATTGCCTTTGCTTGCAATCGTAGCGCCATCTTCACAGTTCTCCTTTTTTCTGAAATCAAAATTAATAAAGTATTTTATTTGATACTAACGGCCCGCCCTCGCTTCGCTTCGGTGTAGAGCTGAAGTGTAGACTACAGTTTTTGTTCTCAGGCTTGTTATTATACACAATGTCATTCATCTATGATTCTTATTAAACCTGCATGCAAAGTCTCAGCCCGACCGGTTTAAAATTGACACGGTTTCATACAAACTTTCATTCCCTATTTTATCCTCTTGGGGGTAGAATTGATCAAAATCCTTTCTTAACGGATGCCTACGTCATAACATCTACCTGCATGCCAAATTTCAGCCCGATCCGTCTAGTGGTTTGAGCTGTGCGTTGATAGATCACTATGTCAGTCAGTCACCTTTGAGTTTTATATATATTGATTTAACTATTGATCTTTACATAGGACTATCGATATCAATTATTGTTCCAACTAACACCTGTCATCGAATTAACACCCCTCACTGTGACATAACAGGTTATCTAATAACTAAATCAATATTTATTACACTCACACCAATTAAACTAGCCATAATCACTGACTTGTGTTATGGAATATTATAATAAGAGATAATAATACATTATATTGATACATATTTTTTTTATGTAGGAATATAATTTATCAGACAAATAGACTAACGAATATAAATGTGCGTATTCATTATACAAATATATTCCTGCCGGGATTCGAACTCTGAGTAGGCAACACCTTGAAAATCACTCAAGTACCCATTCATCATTATCATCAACAGCCTATTAAGGCTGGGGCACAGGCCTTCTCTATGGATGGAATAGGGTCCCGACTGCATTCGCAGTCAGTTCAAAACGGCTTAACGTGCCTTCCGAAGCACGAAGGAACTCAAGATAGGAGATTTTTGGTCACACACCCAATGACCAGTCACTGCGATAGTCGCTTAACTTCAACGAACGTGCTAACCACTCGCGCCGACGAGCTCCTAGTACCCATTGGACCTTCACAATTTGATCTTGACTACAAAATGTACCCATTTTACCTCCTATCAAGAACATGGTGCCAACAGCAGTGCTATTCTGTAAAAAAATCCACAATATCTGTAGAATTTATATTGGAACCACGCGGATCCACAACATATCCGCACGTAAAAATTTTACGGAACAGCACTGCTGGACCCTCAAAGACAGACTTACCCACACAATGGGACCTATTGGAGCTCTTAACTGTTTGGCTAATTCTTTTGAAACGATAAAGTACAATCGTGTACTTGTAGTAAATTAAGATTGTAAAAGAAACAAAAAGACAATGGTTTTTTTTGAGTGTGTATGCTGTTGGTCGCAGATGACCTTTACGTCACCGGGTTTGGGGACGGCGAGATCCTAAGGGGACCTCAAGCCGAGAATTGGCGAGTGGAGGTATTCCAGTCGGATGGCGTCTCCCCACGGGGGGAGTCTCCTCTCCGTCTGGAGCCTCCAGACCACTCGAACTTGAGGGGGTCGGCTCAACTAGAGGGCGTCTCTGAGACTCGGAGCTCGGCTCTAGTTAGCCGTTGTCGTGGGGGGCAAGACAAAGGTGTAGATACTACTGCACATCAGAGTTCATCAAATATCCAAATATCCACCAGCTATCTTCGCATTTGGAATTAACCAGACTTAAGTCATTAGCACACCTAATTGGTACAGGTCGCGGCACGTAACTCTAGAGCTGAACAAAACGCGTCAGGGATAGCTGCGCATGGGTACGACTGGAGAACCAAACGGCGCAACGCACGCCCCCCGCGCACCTCGTTTCCCCCCAAAACATCTTAATTTTTACTTCTGCGCAAGAAAGGTTAGCGCTAGAGTTTCGTGCCGCGACTTATATGATTCCTAACTTTTAACTTAACTCTACGTCAATCAGGTCAGGTAGATTATATTTATATTGATTTGAAAGACGTATGACGTCACGTCTTAGTACAATAGGGATGATGACTAATTTTTTTTTTTCATTTATCAGGTAGATTATCGAAAAGTAATGGACACGTATTTTTTCTTTTTTTGCATAATATAAACATTGCAGAGATATATTAATTTGAAAATTCGCATGTCGTCACGTTTTACAATTAAAACAAGTACAATTTTCACTCAAAAGTGACGTCACAAGCCCCTACTCCCAAACTTTGACGCGCTACAACTTTGTCATTTTTTGGTTGATTGTCCAAAGAAAAAATACGTGTCCATTATTTTTCTTTGATCATCTAACTGACGGACTAAATAGAATTTCGTTTACTTTACCCCGTCATCACGCCTATTTCTACTTAGACGTTCCGAGCCCACTCTCAAACTTTGACGCTCTCTAAATTTGTTAATTTGGTCGATTAACAAAAGAAAAAATAAGTGTTCATTATTTTTAATAATGGACATGATGGACTTAACATAATTTGGTTTAGTTTACTCATCATCATCATCCCTAAAAAATAAATATCCATTGGGCCGAATTGAATTTATGCTATCACAAAGGTTCCCGTGCAAGCTTAATGCTAGGGGTAGAATAACTCACTGGAAGTACTCCTTGCAGCACTGGTCCATCGCGAAGATGCACAAGGAGCCGAAGGTGGGCGTCACGTCTGGTGGCACTGACGAGGAACACTCCTCTGACGTGTGGTTGCGGGCGTACCTGGTGCCCTGTCCGCAGCACAGCTGGGTGGTCTCCGCCAACTCTTCGGATAACCCCGCTGAGACAAAAATAAATAATTATTTTAGGCTAGAGGAATTTCGACGCAGCCGTCAGGGCCGCGGTAGCATAATTGGTCAGTGCATTCGCCCGGATAGCGAAGGGTGCGGGTTCGAGACCCGTCTGCTGCCTGGTCCGCGTGGATTTTTTTTCTTTAGATTTAAACATCAAGCAGTTAAATGCTTAAATAGAAAAAAATATAAATAATTATTTCCCACACTCACACCAATTAGCCTAGCCCCAAAGTAAGCATTGTAAGGCTTGTGTTATGGTATGCTAGGATAACGGATACAATAAATATCATCATCATCAGTCTATTAATGTCCCCACTGCTGGGTCACAGGCCTCAGACCACGCGGGCCCAGTGCGTATTAGTGGGTGCTAACGACTGCAGATGCAGCCGGGAGCAATGGCTTAACGTGCCTTCCGAAGCACGAAGGAGTACGTGATAGTAAATTTTTTGTCACCCATCCAATGACCGACCACTGCGAAAGTTGCTTGACTACAACAATCGCAGCCGCACGCACTAACCACTTGCGCCATCGAGCTCTTCTAGAATACATATACTGATACATACTCGTATATAAGTATATTTTATCTAGGAATATATATGACATCAATGACTCGAACCCGGGACTCTGAGTAGGCGGCGCCGTAAACCTGGCATATATACCACTCGGCCACGGAGGTCGCCAAAATAGACAAAACTTGTTAACCCTAGATTTCTCAGCAGCGTGAAAAACGTGGAGATTTGTGGAATACATGTTTTTCAAGTAACAAACATCTGCCCCCACCGGGATTCGAACCCGGGACCTCTCGAGTCGGCGACACCATGAAACCCGACGTTCAAACCACTCGGCCACGGAGGTCGTCAAGGGGAAGAGCGTCGTTAGGGGAAGAGCATAATAAATAAACAGTAAAAATCACCTAATTGTTATAATATTAAATATCCTTGACTTTATGTAGGTACCGTCGAAGTAGTACCTACTTTAATTAAGCTAAGTAGGTTTAAGGGCACTGACTTTTAAAAGTTTACTAGGAGAGTTTTAATAGGCGAGACTAAAAAGCATACCTAATTGATTAAACATGACTATGCAGGTAATTTATCTAATTTTTCGATGTTATTAACCTTTGCTAGTGAACATTATTCATACACATACATACATTTTGACGACCTCCGCGGCCGAGTGGTTTATACGCCGGGTTTCATGGTGCCGCGACTTCGTCCGATAACTTTAGTTTTTGCACAATCCCTCACGAATCATTTTTTTTCCAGGGTAGAAAGTATCCTATGTATGTCTCATTCCAGGTCATAAACTATGGGTGTACCACATTTCATCCAAATCCGTTCAGTCGTTTTAGCCTGATTGAGTAACAAAGATATAAACTTTCACATGGATAATATTAGTAGGATTATTACGTAAAGTTAAATTAATGACGACCTCCGTGGCCGAGTGGATTGTACGCCGGGTTTCATGGTGTCGCCGACTCGAGAGGTCCCGGGTTCGAATCCCGGTGGGGGCAGATGTTTGTGTGATGAACACGAGCATTTGTTCTCCAGTCATGGATGTTTAATATGTATTTCTATATAAATATACTTTTAAATGTATTCTATCCGTTACTCTAGTATCCCATAACACAAGCCTTACAGTGCTTACTTTGGGCTTAATTGGTGTGAGTGTTGGAAATATTTATTATTGTTATTAAGCTAAGTAGGTTTAAGGGCACTGACTTTTAAAAGTTTATAAGGAGAGTTTTAACAGGCGAGACTAAAAAGCATACCTAATTGAATAAACATGACTATGCAGGAAATTCATCTAATTTTTTGATGTTATTAATCTTTGCTAGTGTAACATTATCTATTCATCATCATCATCATCTGCAGCCTATAAATGTCCCCCAGGCTGGGGCACAGGCCTTCCCTATGGATGGAATAGGGAGATTGGGCCAAGACCCACCACGCGGGGCCGGTGCGGATTGTTGGGTGCTAACGACCGCAGATGCAGCCGGGGCCAACGGCTTAACGTGCCTTCCGAAGCACGGAGGAGCTCGATATAGTAAATTTTGGTCACCCATCCAATGATCGACCACTGCGAAAGTTGCTTAAGTTCAACGATCGCAGCCGAACGCGCTAATCACTTGCGCCATCGAGCTCCTCTATGTATTGTAGAGTCAAAATTCATAGTGAGTAATTGCTATACTGCCCTGCTAAGCACAAAATCGGTATCTCAGTAAATAATAAATAAATAAATAAATATTGCCAACACTCACACCAATTAGCCTAGCCCCAAAGTAAGCACTATAAGGCTTGTGTTATGGGATACTAGTGTAACGGATAGAATACATATACTGTACATATATAAGTATATTTATATAGAATTAAAAAGCTCAGTGAAAGCTAGATTCGAGATAATTGTAGTTATGTAAACTTCATTTTTTCGTTAATTTATTGATTGATATTTTTGCTTATTAAATGTAATTTATATATAATTTAAGTATGTTTTCTATCACAATAGTTAAAATATCTTATATATAGAAAACTGAAAGGTAACTGACTGACTGACATAGTAATCTATCAACGCACAGCCCAAACCACTGGATGGATCGGGCTGAAATTTGGCATGCAGGTAGATGTTATAACGTAGGCATCCGCTAAGAAAGGATTTTGATCAATTCTACTCCCAAGGGGATAAAATAGGGTATGAAAGTTTGTATGAAACTTTGTCAATTTTAAACCGATCGGGCTGAGACTTTGCATGCAGGTATAAGAAGAATCATAGATGAATGTCATTATGTATAATACAAGCCTTAGAACAAAAACTGTAGTCTACACTTCAGCTCTACACCGAAGCGAAGCGAGGGCGGGCCGCTAGTGTAAAATATACGTGGAAATGCAAGCTTAAGATTTGAGTTGCCGCATTTTGGTTAGCTTTTCTCCTACCATGATTGTATACAAAATGATATGAATTTTCAGTCGAATAAAATACATATTCTTATAAACAAATAAACAAATCAAAGTGTACTTAAAAATCTTTTTTATTATTTAAATTTATAATCATTAAAAACATATTTAATAAAGAAACCTATTCTATGAATTCTAATCAGTCAAAATTATAAACAGGCCGCAAAATATTGAATTCTGGTAGGTGCTTTGTGTACCAGCAAATAAAGTTCACAATACAACAGCGCGCGCACGCCGGCTGGGCCGCAAGAAAGGTTTACGTAGGTATCGTCTGACCTACAGTTTAACCGTAAAATTAAAAAGTATAACAAAGGACATTGTTCAGCGTCCATACATAGTTAGCCTAAGAACCAACAATCATGAAATATTATTTTCTTGGTTCAAAATCGTAAGTAAATGACTGTAAAAACAAAGATTATTGACGGACACTTCTGAGAACCTAAATTATTAGGAAAACTTAGGAACATAGGTCAGCCTATGAATTTAGTATAAACTCAGTATGAAGTGAATTAATATTACAACTAATTCATTTTACTCTGTGCGATTTTAAAGAATAACTATTAGGAAAAACTTGGTTAGGTAGGAATCATGAATAAAATAAAAAACTGTAATTTTGCTTCTTATTTATTGACTATTTTTCACATATTTGTATCATATTGTATTTATTTGTATATCACATGTAGGTATATTTTGTAAATATGCAGCGTGAATGTGTATCAGTTGTTCTTGAATAATTTGGCAGTATGATCCTCTCAGGATGTTGTGACACAGGTTCACTAGCACTTGGTAATAAGGGTCTGCCCTTTGGTAACATCGATGGCATATTAGATAGCCGAAATAGTTAAATTAAAGGAAAAACAATCGCAAATAAACACAACAGGTAATCCGAAACGAGAATGCACTTTCCTGTTTTTTATACTACTCTTTGGAATGCACGAATGCCACAGATTACTACGAATGCAAAATGCATGCACCACAACCACAGAGTAACGAGTTTTATGCCGGCCCTTCACTTGACAACAGTTTGTCCTTGTCATGCTTAATAAGGAATGAAAAGGACAGACTGATGTCATGTTTTAAAATAGCAAATACGAATAGCCAAGTTAAGTGCCGGCATTAGGAAGAAACAGTGTTTTGTTTGCAGCGCTGCCATAGATTATACACATAAAATGGTATTATTGTCTCATATTATTTTTTAACTTTTTAATTTAGCTTACTTAACTGGAAGTGTCCGTTACAATCTAAATACTGATAATTATCGCAAAAAATATACTAAGAATTATCATAAATGCCAAATTGGTGTTGGTTCTTAGGCCAATTTTAACATTGTCCTTTAACAATAATTCTACCTCTGTTATACCTACTTGGTAATTAATTCATCTATAATATAAAAATGAATCGCTGAATGTGTTGCTAAGCGCAAATCTCGAGAACAGCTGAACCGATTTCGGTAATTCTTTTTATAGAATAATCCTTGAAGTACGAGGATCGTTGTTACGCAGAAAAAAATAAAAAAAAATGCCTGTAAAAGTACAAAAACAACACTTTTCTATACTGCCATACAAACGATTCGTAATAATACTTAAAAGTCAATTTCAACTTTAATACCATACCATAAATTTCAAATGTTAGTGGAGAGGTTCCAGGAAGGCAAAACAATTGAGTGACGTGATGTCAATAGAAGATTGGAAAAGGCAAATACATATACCATTTTTTTTATAATTATATGAGGAGTCATTTTAGTCCACACTACAGCTCTACACTGAAGCGAGGATGTCACTTTTACCAAAATTCACATGCAAATTATAATCTTTACTATATTAACACTTACCTACCTGATTGTCTTTTACACCCCGTAAATGCAAAAAATCTATGGAAAAGATGAAACGGACATGCGGGAATGCGTGCGCAGCTCTTGCTTACGAGCATGAAAGTTGGAGGGTAACTCGGCGAAGGTTGAACTCGGAAAAGCTACGAGCGTCAAGAGCGTAAACTCTTCGAATTATACGTAACCCAGAATGACAATGCGAAGAGTTGGGGCTGCCTTGCAGCTTAAGAAAGGCTTCATTTAAAGGTCTTTTTGTTCGCTTATACAATAAAGTCCCAAGCAATATCCAAGAGTTACCCATAAATAAATTTAAAGATATTATAAAAAAAACACTTATTAAAAAAGCTTATTACAAAGTGTCTGATTATATTACATACAAAAATGCTTGGGTTTGAACTGTTCCAATCATTCTAACAGGTTTTCTATATTAAATAAATCATAATTGTATTGACGTTGTAACAACATAATGATTTGTAAATGTTGTTACATTAGACTTTTAATGTTGTGGAGTTTTATTCGCTCGTTTTTCTCCGCAGCTAAAAAATATGTCCTAACGAGTGGTAGGGAAAAAAATTTTTGGACGATTTAAAAGAGTTGTACTATACATCCAATTTAAATAAAGATATATTGATTTCTGATTTCTGCTAGCGAAAATTCGACACAGCCATCAGGGCCGCGGTAGCATAATGATCAGTGCGAGTCCCGTCAGCTGCCTGGTCCGCGTAGAATGTTTTCTACTTAAATTTTCTTTAAAAATCCATCTGTTTTTACTTTCATAACAATTGTTAACAATAATCATTAAATGAATGTTAATTTGTACTTCAATGAATACAAAACAATCGAAGAGGATTAAATAAGCATATGAGATAAAAGTAACGATGTATTCAATCAAACTGTTGAATTGTTTACGAACAAGAACAATGTTGGTATTTGACCTTAGACATCCAGCTTCAGTCTAGTCAAGTGTCTATAGATAAGCATACGGTTTACTTAGCATTGCAGATCAAGTTACTTACGGTTAAGGTGTGAAATTTTCTCAACAGACTTTGAATTCTAAAGACAAGTAGGGTTAAGTTGAAAATAAAATGTTAATAGCTTTAGACATCCTTGGTTGATTGCGTAAGTTAAAAACTAACATATGTGAGAGCATGTTCCGCACGAAAAGAGATTTATCTTATTGCGTTTTGTTGTCACGCCTACCATCTGTCCAGTTTATAATCATACATGGTCAAATGGTACGGATGGGACAATCAACTGTAACAGAATGTCATCTGAATCAATAAGGGTATCCCATTTCATCTAGCAACATAATTCAGACGGTTTATATCAGTTTTAGAATTCAATGATCTAAGAATGCGTTCTTTCTTATCTTTCACGCAGTTACTATTAATCACGTACCCTGAGCACAAACCATTATCGAATTCGAATAGATTGCGAGTCAGAAATGTCATTATCAAATTCTGTATCAAAATTTGAAAATTAGCGCCATAAAGTGCATAACGGGAACTAAAAATTAGTACACTTTTAACAATGACATTTCGTACTCGCAAACGATACGAATTCGATAGGTTTGTGCTAAGGGTACAGGGGGTCAATCGCCTAACGGAATTGCTTTGGGTAACGCTATCGCTTACCCAAAGGCGGCCCCAAAACCTTCGGCGGTCAGAAATAACAAAATAAAATGATGAGCGATAGCGTTAGCCATAGGGATTTTGCTAGGCGAATGGCCCCCTAGTCAAAAATATATCCAAATGCGAAATGGGCTTTGACCCGAATGATTCTACAGCCTTGTAAAAGGATCCTCATTATTCCTTTTTTGTCGTTATGGTGTCTATAAAGACACACATTTTGCAAAAGTTTTAGTACAGAAACCTTAAAATCAGTTTTCATTTAATTTTTGTCACTATGGAGGTGACAGAAATAAAAATTCTGCGACAATGACAAAATAAATTAAACCATAAAGTATTTCAATTTAGATTACAAATAAAACACGCCTAATTATAGAACCTTGGTAAATACCTATATTTACTTACTAGCCAGAAGATGTCGTACCGTTGACTTTAATGATTAAGACGGACCCCTCGGAGTACTCAAATATGATGCAAGTAAATCCAGTGAGTCAATCGATATAATAATGTCATTTTTTTAGTAATATAACGAAACAGACGTAATCAAATGCCTTTTAGAAATTGCAAAATATGCATATAATAAACTTCTATTAAAATAGCAAAAGGCATCGTGAATAAACTTTTTGAATTAAGTTCAATTTAATTGAATGGAGTTTTAAAATCTCTTTGATTCGTCCATTATGTTTTCTACATTTTCCTTATTTGATATTTCTTTTAGCTGATAAGATGAATGAGAGCAAGATCTCATCATCAATGAATGACCTACAATCCAACGCCTACTCTAACAGAGATTTGAACCAAGGACCTTTAGAGCAAAATGCAATATTCAGCTTCACACTTAGCGAGCGGCGTCGGCTTAAACTTATGGTTACTCTAATATTAATATAATGATAACTTTAGAACTTTTTTCGTGGGACATTGAGATGATACAGAAATTGCTAAAAAGAAAAAACAATAAATCTTTGATGGGTGGCGATTATCTGGTAATGAGGATAAATAAATCAACAATAGTAATTAAAAAAATATGTAACATAAGTTTGTAAGTAATTGCATTGTTGCAGATGATTGTATTAAAAAAATATTGTGAGATAAAATAGGTGAATATGAGTCCACTTTTATTAATAATTCTTTATTATTGTCACTGAATGAATTAAAAATTGATAGTTACAGAAATTTTTATCTATAACGATCTTGGTTATTAAAATACTTAGCTGCACTAAACATTTCATTAGCACTTAACTGATACTTAAGTGACAAATCATAACTTACCGTATACACATCCCGGTAAGGTTACCAATAATATACAAAAACACACAACACAGTCCCACATCGTGAAAAGTAAACCAAACAACAATAACTCTAATATAATTATAACACCATTTCACTCCACCACTACCGATGTGAGAGAGACCAATAACGTTTTAAATTAAGAATGATCCATTGATCCTTTGTGGTGCGCAGGAGTGCGAGACCGGCGCGTGCCCAACTCCGTCTATTTCGGTCGGTCGCCTTCGAAGCGCAGCCGTCCCTGTCTTTTCAAAGATTATTACTACCAGAGCAAGAGCAGAACCGTCAACTTACCTCTTAATGTGTCCAATATCTTTTTGATCATGTCAGTTATCCAGAAGGGACAAGATATGTTTATCTATATCAAGTTAAGTTTTTTCTATGGTTGATTGTAGAAATTTTATGCCCCAATAGCAAATAAATATATGAGATGTCTGCAATTCAATGCTGTATCAATAAGAGGTAAGTAGCCGATCTAAACTAAAGTGTTATTACTAATAAAATAAAGAGAAATTTGCAAACGTTTAGTTAATATTTAGCTGATTTATTACTATCATATCAATATAAAGTTTTTAAATAGGCAAAAACTGGACCTAACCTTGGTTATATCATCGGAGGTAGCAATAAAACTATAAATTAGAATAAAACTTTTTTTTATTAACTAGGTCACTAGCCAGTGACTTCGTTCGAAATAACTTTAGTGTTTTGAAAAGCCCTCGGGAACTTAACACTTTTATGGGATAAAAAATAACCTATGTCTCTATCCAGGTCATAAACTATATGCGTACCAAAGGAGACTGCTCAGCTTCCATACATGTTTGGCCTAAAGACCAATAATCATGAAAAATGGTTTCCTAGATCCGAAATTATATATAAATTACTGTAGAAACGAATATTATTGACAGACACCCCTGAGAACTTCTATAAACCATATACACTGAATGATTTTGAGGTTGTTTGCAAATAGGTACATAGGTATTAAAATAATAAAAAACAAATAAGTAACGAAATTATATATTAGATTCAGGTATATAAAGCATGTAGATTAATAGATAGTTGCCTGTTTTTAAAGTTAATGCATAAGAGTAACTTTTAAAATCAGGTATTATCTATGCATTTCCGGTTATAATAAGGTACTCTGTGACAGAAAATGTGTGTTATTTGTGAATGACCCACAGATTAGAGAGAATTTTTAAACTCTCGTTAACTAAAGAAAGCTTATTATTTTTGTTATGTTTATATTATAACCATATATTATTAGATTTTTGTGTATTACACCTTATAATGTGTTTATGGAGGTGTTTGGCGAAAAACGTATAGCAATAGACTTTATGATGTCGCCTACCATCTATAATATTTGTCTTAGCACATTTGCATGTAGTAAAAATGAAAATATACTTGTGGATATTAATACCACAGAGTAATAAAAAAAAATGATTTATTTTATCGATCTTTACATAATAATAGTTTTGTTTTGATGTTATTTAAACACTCTTTGGCTGAATGTTACTACACCCATAGCCATTGAGAATGATCCGTATGTTTTCCAAACCGGTAAAAATATAAGTCCTTTTTAAAATGAATGTATTATACAAAGGTGTCCGTTAAAATCTAATGACTGTAAAATAAAGTATAAATTATGCCAAGAATTACCGTATATGTCAATATTTTTTGTACATTTGGGCCAATTTGAGCAATCTCCTTTCATCGAAATCCGTTCAGTAGTTTTGCGTGAATGAGTAACAAACACACAAACACATAAACTTTCACATGTATAATATTAGTAGGATTCTTCTCAACTCAAAACCCAACTCTGAACAACGAACCCAAAGTAGGCATAGCATAAACTATGTTTGGTTCTTCTACATTTATTTTAATCTTTGCCTTCCCACCCACTGAATCAGACTGAGTCGGTTGGATTCCTCAGGACATTTAAAGATGCCCTGAAGCGGTCAAACTGATCTCTTGAAAATTGAAAAACAAGTTAACTTTTATAACACAGCTTTGTTCACCAACATTTTTAACTTAAAAAATCGGCCGAGTGCGTGTCGTGCCACGCGCAGTGTAGAGTTTCGTAGTTGCTCGTCTTCATCACAACATATTTTGGAAAGAGTCTATAGACTATACTACTAGATATATATTTGATAAGAGTCAGTAATGGATTTATTAAATTTACTCACTCGTTATTCCATATTATAGCTTCGGGTTATTCAACTATCATGGTCACTAACGTTATAGTAATATAAGTAAAGAGAATTATAACTACCTTATGTCTAAAAACGTAAAAACTAGAAATAACTAAGAACTTAAATATACAATTTACAAAATATAAAATATATCACCCCCAGCGCCGCCGTCAGGAATGGTGCCCAATAGGCTGGCAGATAAGAGTCTATATTTCAAGTAATTACTTTGTCTAAGTCATTAATAATGTTTTCTCCTAAGGATTTTTATTAGGACAGAAATGTTCTAATATGTAAGTTTTTTTTAAAGTGCTAACAGTCACCAAGCAAAACCGGGGACGGACAGACAGACATGACGAAACTTTAAGGGTTCCTAAGGACTACGGAATTCTAAAAATATTATTTATAAAACCGTATCTTTAAAGACGTCTCCAGACGAGTAATTGAAATAAGGGACGATTTCAGTATTATTAAATCAAAGCAATAAAAATTTAAAATAATCAATAATGTTTAATTTATTACGTAGGTATTTGGTTTCAACAAGTTAAATTTTGTCACAAAAGTCTAGACACGATAATCCTGGCACGCTGTTGCAAAGGACTTCCCTTTATTTAAATTTTTAATTCCAGACTTAGACAACCCTCCTCAATTGTTTAATAAATCTTTTGAGATTATTTAATTAACATTTCTGATAATGACATCTATAGACGCTAAAGATTTGTTCCAACAAATATTTCGCCATTGTCCTTTTGGATCCTTGGTGGGTCAGGGCCAAGTCTCCCTTTTCCATCTATAAGGATACTGTGCCACTACAGTGAGAAGATTAATTATTTTTTCTTTTGCTCACTTAAAAGTGGTTTAAATAGTCTACTATTTTTTAACACAGATCAAATTCAGGGCCTATTTTTTTGCTGTCCCTACTGTAACTTGATATTGGCAGTGTTGTGATATTCTATACTCACAAAGGGAAGTATTGAGTTCATTGTCGTGCAATCTGTCTGTTGATGTGTTGTCACTAGGAGCGAGCCCAGCGCGGAGACGCTTAAATATTGCTTCACACAGTATCTCTTATCTATTAGACAAGTCCGTTCGTCTGTCTGTGGTGCTGTTTCAGCGGCCAAACCGTAAGAGATAGATAAAGAGAATATTTAAGTTATAAGTTAAGAATAGTCTGATAAGACTACAAACCGGATTTGAGTAACGTAGCACTTCCGGTTTTCGAGAAATCAGGTTTTGGTGAACATTTGGTTCACTGGTTTGCTAGTTTTTTTATTAAATTACCATGAGTAGGTTAACATTGGTTAGCACCACTAATGGAATAAAAGGTATTTACGTTCGCTTTTATAATGGATTCTTGAACAATGTTCAACTTTTAAAACTGAATAAAAATAAAAAAAAATGTGTTTTTAACACTTTTACACATTGAGCAATGTTCAACTTTTAAACTGAATAAATATTTTAAAAAAAATGTGTTTTTAACACTTTTACACATTACTCTTCTACATTATTCCTTAACGACTCATCCTGAAAAGGATGCGGAAAGTCGAGTTATGTAAAAAAGTTTGAAAAAGACATTTTCAAAATAGGTATTTTAATATCAATTGCTGTCGCAAATACCATGCGATCGGGACAACAGTACCCCTAGCACGAACCATTATCGAATTCGAATACAGTGGATCCCCGGTAGTCCGACAAACATTTTGCAGGGCAGTGTCGAACTATCGAATTTGTCGTATTATAGAGTACTGCCTGAGACCCCCTATAGTCCGATTTTTTTTACAAAAGAGTACTTTGTAATCCGACAAATTACAGATCCAATGATAAGATTACAAATCATACTTCGTTATGTATGTCAAATTTAGTAAATTAAACAACACGATAGAAAGATTACGTTTTATTATAAAAGTAATAATAATGAATAGTGATGGTGCGTACAAGTTGTAACTTGTTCAATCGTGATTTAGCGAATACTTGTATATAATAGACGATGTCGGATTATAGGGGGTGCCGCATTAGCCAGGGGCCAGATTACCGAAGCTCCACTGTAGTTTGCAAACCGAAATGTCAATGTCAAATTTAGTATGGAAACTTGAACAACAGCGGCACAAACTACGTAACGAGAACTAAAAATCAGTACACATTTGACAATGACATTTCGGACTTGAAAACGATTCGAATTCGATAATGGTTCGTGCTAGGGGTACTGTAGCTAACGCTGATAATTCCGTACAAAAATTGCAATATTCGAGATTTGGCTCTCGAAGATTTCCTCCTCGATATAGATTTATATCTAATATATGTAAAAGAAATTTAACCCATAGAGTAACAAGTAGTTATACTAGGCCTTTATATTTAGCTTTCTTGTCAAATAAATGAAATAAATAAATGCTTATTGAATCTCAACACTGGACGTCTGTAATGGTGATAAAAATATGTTTATTTTTGGCATTTTTGATGGTTTCTAGTTTCTTTGAAACACAGGCTGTCGAAAAAAGGAAGACATAGGAGCAGAAAAAGAGTATATTTAATGTTTGAAAATCATTTCTTCACTACATAGTATAAAGCAAAGTCGCTTCCCGCTGTCTGTCCCTATGTCTATATGTATGCTTAGATCTTTAAAACTACGCAACGGATTTTGATGCGGTTTTTTTTAATAGAAAGAGTGATTCAAGAGGAAGGTTTATATGTATAAGACATGCATAATATAGTAGAGAAACACTGATAATTTTAGAGGTTTTTAATGTAAGGTCGTAAATAAACACATTTTTTGCGCAACGCTGGCTGAACCCTACGAGATAGATCAAAATTTTATATTCTATACTTTTTACGAGAAATAATGGCTTATTTGTGAAGCGATTTTCAGCAATACAACATTCATCCTTAACCAATTAAGTACCTTAAATACATTGTGTATTTAATACAGATCAATTAGGTATAAGAAGAATGTCATTGTGTATAATACAAGCCTGAGAACAAAAACTATACTCTACACTTCAACTCTACACCAAAGCGAAGCGAGGGCGGACTATTAGTGATAAAAATCAAGAGGGAATCAATCGAGACCGTCTGTATGGAAAAAACATTAC